TGCGTCCCCCCGCGTACCCCCGGCGTCCCCCCGGTTCATAACTTCACATCTTCCTCTAACCATCCATAATGCGTGAAATCGTACGTTGATTCCTCCCTGTTGTCACGCGTCATCTGGAACACCCAGGCTTTGTTGATGTCTGGCTGCTCCATGTCCTTTCCCCACTGCAGACCACCCCTAGATGCCCCCAGTTGTACTTCCACAGCATACAATCCCTCTAGAGAATCCCCTTGGAAATTGGGAGAAACGAACTGTGAATGTTAAGACCTAGTCGCTAACACATTTGACTATTATCTTTAATCTATATCAGGTCCATCTCCAAACCGGCCAATGCGTATGTCAAATTATTAGTTTCCCTCCCTTCCCATGGAGCAAGATGTTTATATCTGCCCCTGTTTGATGTTGCTATGCTGGATTCGTGGCTTCTAACCTCCGCGCTCTTGTGTGATCACTTAGGGTAACCAAATTGGTGCTGCTTTCTGGTATGTCAAATCCTCCAACCGTCATCACATGGCTGATATTTTTTGTTATTCCATGTTTTTGTTTACATTGTTGTACTGACCATATTTTCTTCTTTTTTTCTTTTTTCTTTTTTTTGTATATACAGGCAAACCATCTCTGGTGAGCATGGTCTCGACGGATCTGGCTTGTGAGTGCTATACCCTATGAACTTGATTAATTCGACTTGCACGAGCCCCTTCTGACTTGATCCGTAGTTACAATGGCTCCTCCGATATCCAGTTGGAGCGCATGAATGTTTATTTCAATGAGGTGGGAGAACGGTCCCCCCAACATCAGAGGCGGTCCGTCCAACAACTGACTGGTAAATCCATTATATAGGCTTCTGGCAAGAAGTACGTACCCCGTGCCGTCCTCGTCGACTTGGAGCCCGGTACCATGGACGCAGTCCGTGCCGGTCCCTTTGGCGAACTCTTTCGTCCAGACAACTTCGTTTTCGGCCAGTCTGGTGCTGGAAACAATTGGGCCAAGGGCCATTACACCGAGGGTGCTGAGCTGGTGGACCAGGTGATCGATGTCGTCCGTCGTGAGGCTGAAGGCTGTGACTGCCTCCAGGGTTTCCAAATTACTCACTCCCTTGGTGGTGGTACCGGTGCCGGTATGGGTACTTTGTTGATCTCCAAGATACGTGAGGAATTCCCAGACCGCATGATGGCCACTTTCTCTGTCGTTCCTTCGCCCAAAGTCTCCGACACCGTTGTCGAGCCATACAATGCCACCCTGTCGGTTCATCAGCTCGTTGAGCACTCTGATGAGACCTTCTGTATCGACAACGAGGTATGGTTTCCACATGTCTTCAATCTCATTTTGTCAACGGCCCAATTTCGTTATGGGATCGCTGAATGTATATATAGGCTCTGTATGACATCTGCATGCGGACTCTCAAGCTCTCTGAGCCATCATATGGTGACCTCAACCATCTTGTCTCCGCCGTCATGTCCGGTGTGACCACCTGCCTCCGATTCCCTGGTCAGCTCAACTCTGACCTACGCAAACTCGCCGTCAACATGGTTCCTTTCCCTCGTCTTCACTTCTTCATGGTCGGATTCGCTCCTCTCACCAGCCGTGGCGCATACTCTTTCCGTGCTGTCACCGTTCCGGAATTGTCCCAACAGATGTTCGATCCTAAGAACATGATGGCTGCTTCCGACTTCCGTAACGGCCGTTACCTCACCTGCTCAGCTATCTTGTAAGCTTTTTCCACCTCATGTCACCATCCCTCCTTTTTCCTAACTAAAAGGTATTCTTTCCCCATAGCCGTGGTAAGGTATCGATGAAGGAAGTCGAAGATCAGATGCGCAATGTTCAAAACAAGAACAACACCTACTTCGTTGAGTGGATCCCCAACAATGTTCAGACCGCTCTCTGCTCCATTCCTCCTCGCGGCCTCAAGATGTCTTCCACTTTCGTTGGAAACTCCACCTCCATCCAGGAACTCTTCAAGCGTGTTGGTGATCAGTTCACCGCTATGTTCCGACGCAAGGCTTTCTTGCATTGGTATACGGGTGAGGGAATGGACGAGATGGAATTCACGGAGGCTGAGAGCAACATGAACGATCTGGTCTCCGAGTACCAGCAGTACCAGGAGGCTAGCATTTCCGAGGGAGAGGATGAATAGTAAGATTTCTTCCCCCCCTCGTCTCTGTTGGGTATGGTTTGTTCTGCTTCCTTCGTACTAACCAATGATTTTTCTGTTTCAATAGTGTCGAGGAAGAGGTCCTGGAAGGCGAGGAGTAGAGCAAGAAGTTAAAGCAAAGTATAATAGTACTTTAGCCCCATTACTTCTAATAGCTTGTTTTTTGTGCCTCTTTTTTTGTTCTCTTCTGTTTGGTAGCGACATATCGATTCTATACCACAAACTCAAATCACACAGCACCTTTAGCTCAACTGCCAGCATATGTGTGTGCATGTGCATGTGCATGTGTGTATGTGTGTGGCTCTTGTTCAAATTACTTTAGTTTTGAGAGAGCAAGCTCAATGTTTCAATTATAAACGCCTCACTCGGGTCTTTATTTTACCTGATTCTCTGTTGGTAACACAAAAATTTTAATCTTCATTATTGCTTCATGGAGAGCCAGCGAAGTCTCAAAAGATTTGTCAAGTCATTTGCTCATGCCCTGCTTTGTTATCTGTTGTTGATTCCGGTTGCCTGCCGGTGGGATGGGCTCCTCTGAGGGCCATTGGCTATGAACTAGATGATAATAATAATACCATTAACAATAGTAATAGTAATAGAAGACAACAACAGGTAAACAATCAGAGTACACCAAGAGTAAAGTCAGTAAACACCAGTAAGTATAGGCATGAACCCGCCCCCCCCCCCCCCCCCCGGTCCTAATCTCAACGGAAACGAAGACAAGAAACTGCTGGACGTCAATGGGTAGATAGATAGATTAGCTTTTCCCTTCGCTCTCCAACCATGAGCCAAACTTGTCAAGTCTCTCAGCTTCCTCCTCGCTGGCATCCTCCGCCTCTTCCGCATCAACAGCAGCCAGAGCAGCTGGATTCTTCGCACTCGATTTCCTAAACCTCTCGCTGCCATCGGCGATATATGCTACTACCCTCGTGCCTGAGAAAAACCGGCCATCCATTTTCTATGGGTAAATTTTTGAAAGGGCGGAGTCAGCTAAGGAGCTGCAAATTGCATATAATTTGAGTAAATCAGGAGGGACGGGGTAAGTGGGAAGGGTGTAGAGAGACTCACCTGAACACAGGTATTTGCAGATTCGGCATCTGAGAACCGTACGCTAGCTACGCCCTCTTCCTCCCTGTCGTATAGTACGACGTTGGTGACGTCGCCTAGCTTCGAGCATTCTTGTCGGATATCTTCCTTTATGTCGAGGATTGCAGCCGGGTCTTCCTGCAATGGGCATTTGGGTTAGCATGGGGATGTTCATGTCCCTTAAAAGGGGAGGTTGGGAGGAAAGAAATGAAACAAGGGATATTTCGTCCATGTGTCATATCGTTATATAGATGGATGATGAGACATTTCGTACCTCAAGCTCCTGTAGCGTAAACATATGTTTGAGAATGACCACTTTATCCCATCGGGAAGAACTTGTTGGAACAGTCGACGGCTCGTCGTCGTCCCAGTCCGCAAGTTTGCTATAACAAATGGTTAGCATTGAACATGAAGGTTGGCTGCCTTTAAAGTCCATAAATGAGTTCTCCACTAGCCCCCAAAACACCAAACAAAAAAAAAATGCGAACACCAACCTATTCAGCCTTTGAGTTTTTATCATAATTTTCCTCTTCTCGCTCATATTCTGCTTGACCGGAGCCTCTTTTTGTGCTTTAAATGAGAAATCCGCCGCTTGGACCTTCATCTTGCCCTCGGGTCCCGTTTCTCCAAACCTAAAATCTGTATCATCAAGCATCTGAATGGCCAGGTTGACAGATTCAGGACGGAAGTATACGACCAGCGCATCCCCCTTGAACTTCCCTTCATCGTCAGTATACATTTTTATCCGTGGCTTTCGCCGGTCGATTTCTTCGGCAATGACTCCGCATTTACTGAATACGTCGTTCACTTCGTCCATGGAGGCGTCAAGGGGGATGGATGTAACGTAGACAGCGGTATTTACGCGCGGTTTCTTGGGCTTGGAGACTTGGGTCGGCTTGATATCCTAAACATCGGTCCATGAAGGGTTCGTCAGCATATATGTTCGCTGCATTATATGATAACCTCATGCGAAGAAGTAGAAAGGGCCAACTAACATTTTGGTCACCGGTATAATTTTTCCGCTTCAGCCGCCGTTGCTGCTGTTGCTGCTTGAGATCGACTGGTTCGTCTTCATTTACGCCTTCAACTTTGTACGCCTCCCTCTGTTGTTCTAAGAGGGCATCGTCCACCTATGTAATTCACCCAACAGACCAAAAATAAACCAAAGAGGTCATGCAATTAGAATACTGTCCTGCATCCAACGGGAATGTAGGATGGCATTTTAATTTTTCTTTCTTTCTTTCTTTTTTTGTTTCTTCCCCGATTTTGTTTTTCTTTTACCACCTGATACTGGAGGCGAAACAAGGGAGGGGGGGGAGTTGCTGCGCAAGCAAAAGCGTTGGGTATTGTGCATATTTGGCCCCAAACAGCATTTCCAAGCACACCCTCTGTTTGTGCCAGCAGCTGATCATGGCTTTCCGATCCCGAGATGTCGCCATCTGGGGAGTTGGGAAGGGGAAAATCACCACAGCCTTTTTGCGCCAACCAGTAGAATAGGGGAAGAGAGCAAGAGTTTCATGAACTGCCTACCAGGGGGACCCATCTATTCAGCGCATTATCGTATTCCCACTCTGTCCCATCCTCAGCCTCCAAATAGTACTTCTCGTCAAGTTTGGAAAAGGAAATTCTGTAATCGTCATGAAATTCAGACGGGGACTGGGGAAAGCTCGCTCGAGTCGTGGTCGTGTTCGGTTCGGAAGGATTTGGAAGCCCCTCCATGTTTGGTTATGCGGCAAGGGGAATGAGTTTTCAGTTCTCTGTGGGTATATACAATGTTTGAATTAAGCATTAAAATGAAAAGAAAGACCAACAGCCAAATACGTGAGATGTCTGCATGTGGATGTGAATTCTAGAGTCTAAAGCCGGTGAGATGTTGTGTTTGTTTGCCTGAGGGTCCCCCCATGTTGATGCCGTCTTGCCAAACTAGGTTTAGTTCCGATTTGAAGGAGAGTTAAGTGGAAGCGGGTCATTCCATGCGTTTAGTTATCGGACTCTATATTTACTCTGTCTTACAGAGTGTGGGGTTCTTTGCCATTAGGTGATACAGGTAAAGCCTACAAGACGCAAAAGGAATGAAGGAGATGGAATACAGCTATTGAGGACTGTCGAACAGAGGACCTGAAGCCTCAGATCCATCGCATCATCATTCTGCTTTGCATATGGATTCAGTAGTTAATCTTCAAATGAAGCCATATCACAGGAGCGCTGATGAAGATGTCCGCAAGCATATTTATGAAAATGGGATATATCCGTTGCATCACAGGCTCACGGCAAAGCGATGCAGATGAAATGCTGACTTGCCAGACCTCTTCCATCACCAAAAACCAGCCCGACTAACTCGCGAAAGCAGAATAGATTAAGGAGAAATGGCTAGTGCCCCTTGGCAGCCAATGAATGGGCCCCCCTCAAGTGAGAGAGGGGACGGGCCGGCGGCCAAGCGATTAAGCGTCTTGTCGATTTTCAGATCTATGATCAGACCATTCTTTATCAACCTTGTGTCGTCATAGGGAGAGCTCATGCCATGGAATCCATCCCGATCCAAGGTACGGCCGTCAACGGTCGGCGTAAGGGAAGACAAAAATGATAGTTATATATACTCCGTAATTTTTTTTTCTTCCCCAAAACCATCTAAGTTAACTAGTTATAGTTAATCTCTTCAACTGTATTCCGTGGTTTAACCATTGATGAGTTATCGTTATTACCTTGCGCAACTTCTTGAGGGTGGATCTTTAAATAAGTAACTAGTTATCGTACTTGACGATCTGCCTGCATATCGCACTCTCACGCCCCCATTGACGGAGGGAGAATCCCGAGTTCGTGTTCTCCGCGTCTCAACCCTCTGATGATGGCATAACCGTCTTCAAACACTGAGATGCTTTCAACTGTTCATTTGATAAGAGATTGTTATGACTGGAGGTTGTTATGACCGTGCCTCTTGATGTAACTATTATTCTTAAGTGATTTCATCCTGATGGATGACCTTTGTAGTAGTTATCTGCTTGATCTCCTCCACTGTTCCCACCCCATCATCCTTGTGACAGGCTGCAGCTATCCGTTCATTGTGATCGTCGATCGTCCCGCTCTTTAATTCGAGGATTGGAGTTGTGGCTTGCACGCAGTTCCTGTACCTGGAGCTGCCCAAAGCTTCGCCAGAAGCCCCCCCTTTTAGTTATTTGAATGATTTACAGAGAAGCTCCACCCCTCGACACAACCTGAGCTTGGTATGCTGTACGAACTGGTGAAAGCCGCTGTTTCATAGTACGGAGTAATTACACCTGATTCAAAATGCTCAGGGCTTGCATGGATCACCAGCTATAATAATGGATGTCAACTTGGTACAGCACGTAGGCAAATATAAATATACATATACGAAGGGTTAAATATGTCGACGCGGGCAGGATTTATATCTTGGTCTAATAATTCGTGCACCTCAAAAGGTGGATACTTGCCCAGCACTAGTTAATTGCTTGCTGTATGTATGTATTATTGGCTCTTAGCACCGCCACAGCACCCAGCAGAACCTTACCGCGACGGGGCTAGTGCTGTGGTTCAAACCTTCGTTGAGCTTTTGAGCAAGCTCCAAGAACGGACCAGACCTCGACCTCAGGCAACCAGCGCCAAACCACCGCCATGCACGAAGCATCAGGGTGAATCGCCCGTGCTGCGCCTATAAGCCATGGATCACCCGGACTCTTCTTCTGTCCTGGACACCACGGGCAGGTCAAGGTCCAATACCGGTTACTTTGCCCCTCACCCGCCCTATCTCCTCTCCTCAGACGGCGAGCACTCAGATGGCCTGTGCCCGCACCCACACCCAGAGGAGAACCGACCACCACCAGAAACCCCGCTGGCGCCCAGCTCTTCTCCCTTCTCCCCCGTCCCAGTGGCTCCCACGCAATCATCCTTCCCGTCATGGCCTCCCTCTTCCACGCGTCCACGGGGTAGTAGCGGTGCCGGTGCATCCTTGACCGGCTTCGACCAACCTCTTCCCCCAGACATGGCCGACTTGAGACCCCAGCGACCCTCCGGGCCGGCCAGGACTCCATCCAACACCTATGCGCCTCCCCGCAAGCCTCCCCAATTTACCTCAGTCCACTCCAGCGTCCAGATACCGTCCGTTACCAAACGCCCGCAACGACGAGATCCCGATGCTCGATATCGTGCCCAGGAGAGAGCATATGTTCAACGAGTGCGTCAGGGGCACAATGAATGGCTCAACTTCGAGTCTCAGATCCCGGGCCTGGGCTTTGGAGCTGACTCTGAGCCAGAGGAAGAATCTCCTTCATCAGAATCACAGTTCGACACTGACCCTTTCGACCCAGACACCCACCTCATCTTAGAAGATGATGATGCCCAACCTACACTGGAGGAGCTACAGGATCCAAAAAACAAAGAAAGGCTTGAATGGTACTCCATGCTAGCATCGGTGCTCAAGGGTGATGTCATCAGACAGGAGAAGCAGAGGTTGATTGGGACAATGGAGCAGAAGAGTCGCGAGGTGTGGAATACGGAAATTTTCCTCGGAGCCAAAGCTGCCAGGTTTGGAAGACCTATCTCTCTACAGAAGAAATTTGTCGAGTATCAAATAAGCAACCTTGGCCCCATCATCGAAGACATCATTTCCTTTGAGATCAAGGGCGAAACACAAGTCGGGAAACCCCCGCTGAAGCAGGTTGAGGATATCGTGGAGAAAATCGAACAGTGCGAGAGCCTATACCCTAGCAGGCGTATTCTACAGGCGGAACATCCCCGTGCGGCGTCGGAAGAATTCCAAGAGAGCTGTGATGCTGTCATCGCCTGGCATAATACGACATTGTTGATTAACACTGAACTCGCTATCCTAAAAAGATGGGTGGGGAATGAAGAGTTGGATTTCGCGAAGCCCATGACCATGGCCTCCTATGCAGCGGACTTATCGGACGAAGGCTCATTTCTCGATCGTATCATGAAGGAAGACGGGCTCAAAACACTTCAAAGCACTGAGAATGTATATGATCATGATAAGAAAAAAGAACCCTCTATCCTGGATGGTATTGGCGGTGTGATCAAAAAAGCCAAAAGTACTTTAATCGAGAACGCGGAAGCGTTTGCAAAACGGCATCTGCCGCCGTACATTGAGGAACTGTTGACACTCATAAACTTCCCGTCGCGCCTTATCCAAGAGGTCATCCGACTGCGTCTTTCCTACGCCAAGAAGATGAAGGACCCGGGCTTGCAATCTCCTATCTTAGTTGATCAAATGATTTCCCAATTCCAAATCCTACTGAAGGTTGCTGTAGACATCAAGCAACGCTACCTTATCATCTCTAATCCTGAACCTGGCTGGGACCTCCCCCCTTGTGTTGACGAGAACTTTGACAATGTTGTTGTCGGCGGCCTGAAATACTATTTCAAATTATTGAATTGGAAGCTCAGTGCCAATAAAAATACTTTCAAAGAGGCGGAGATACTGGAAGGGGAGTGGGAGTTTTCTAATGATATTGGCCGACAACTCGAGAATGGTGACATCGAAGTTGCTGAACAGTTCAGGTATGCATTGGCCTGGCCCCTATTTCAGTATTAGAGACATCTGAGAGTAATCGCTAATGCATTTGCAGCACTTTAACCGCCAAGTCCTTGCAACGATTGATGATCCACTTCGAGCGGGAATTGTCTTGTCGACCGGGCGAAGATGCTGTTGAGACAGAGAAACGCTATAAACAAATTTTTGATTCGGTGCGGGTTCGTCAGCGAAAACTTTTCCGGTTTTCACGTCTCTTGCGCCAGCGATTCGAAAACGCAACCGAATTTAACCTGCGGCAGGATATGGTGGACACGTTATCAGAGGCTCTCCTGGCCTCTGGCCATTTCATGGTGATCTCACACGATTCGGTGGGCCAGAGAGGAGTTCGTCTCATTGCGTCGCCTTCACTATACGGCCGACCTAAAGACATACAATCTATCCTGGGCACGTCGTTCCGTGCTGAGGATTTACCCGAGGATCCGTCTAATCCTTACGTTCTCGTCCTCCTCCCTGAAAAGCCTCTAGAGTGGAATGGCAAAAGGATGGAGGTGGACCTTTTGGAACAGCCCACGGATGTTAGATTGGGCAAATTACGATTAGTCGCGGACGGATCTCAACAACGGCTTCAGAATGCACGCCACGCATTAACTAGACTAACAGGTCTACAGTTGGATATTACTGTCGAACAGCGTGCCAACTTAGGTCGTGTCAATGTTGAACTGAACAAGATTAAGAAGACAGCTTACAAACTCTCAACCGGAATCATCGACAGCGTCGAAATTGTCAGACGACAAAGCAAAAATGCAGCCAATCACGAACTCATCCAATCTTGCTTTGCGTTTGCTACTGAATTTGGCAAGCGTTCGCTCATGTATATGGATGCCAACCGACGCTCGATGAACCATACCAAGCTTGTTAAGCTGGCTCTCGATTGGGTATCTTTTATTTGCGATGACTGCGATGCTGCCGATCGCAAGACCTTCAAGTGGGCTGTAGCGGCGCTCGAATTTGCTATGATAGTAACGCATGGCCAAAGCGTTCTCGCTATAAGTAACGAAGATTACAGTCGCCTACGGGCTAAAGTTGCTGGGTGCATGTCACTTTTAATTTCTCACTTCGATATCATGGGAGCAAGATCGTCGTTAGCGGCGCAAGCTGAACAACAACACACTGACACCTCTGGACAACGGTTCAGAAAACTGGACCTGAGTCGGATCATGGATGATGCACAGGCATCACGAGAGGTACAAGAAAGACGGGAGGTCCTTTTCGCAGAGATCGACCAGACAAGAATCGAGGCTGATGCCAAGAGGCAAGCTTTGGGTAAAGTTCTGGAAGGTGCCAATGAAGCAGATCGGTCCGTTACTGTGCTGTCTTCGTCAGCGACGAATGTGACATTGCGATGGCAGCAAGGCCAGTTTATTGGCGGAGGGACATCTGGCTCAGTTTACGCTGCCATTGATCTGGATACCAGTTATCTGATGGCGGTGAAGGAAATACGCCTCCAAGAGCCCTCTGTTATTCCTGGTGCTGCACAGCAGATCCGCGACGAGATGGGCGTTCTTGAAGTTCTCGATCATCCCAACATTATTTCATACTACGGCATCGAGGTGCATCGAGATAAGGTCTATATTTTCATGGAATATTGCTCTGGTGGATCTCTTGCAACTCTGCTAGAGCATGGCCGAATTGAAGACGAGATGGTTATCATGGTATACACACTCCAGATGCTTGAGGGGCTGGCCTACCTACACCAGGCTGGAATTGTCCATCGCGATATCAAACCTGCAAATATCTTGCTGGATCATAACGGAGTCATTAAGTACGTGGATTTCGGTGCGGCAATGGTCATCGCGCGCCAGGGCAAAACCTTGGCTGCCATGGATCATTATTCATCGAATGCAAAAGATGGAAAGGGCCCGGCGAAGGATGCACTTGGACAGAAGAGAAACCAAAAATCTGTGACTGGCACTCCGATGTATATGTCCCCAGAACTTGTCAGGGGAGAAGTAGGCCACACCTCCGGCCGCCACGGCTGCATGGACATATGGTCTCTTGGTTGTGTAATCCTCGAAATGGCCACAGGCCACCGCCCCTGGGCAGGTGTCGACAACGAGTGGGCAATCATGTACAGGATTGCACAGGGCAGTCAACCACAGCTCCCTACGCCGGATCAACTCAGCCCTATAGGCATCGATTTCATCAAGCGATGCTTTGAGATAGACCCCGTTAAACGACCGAGTGCGACTGAACTTCTACAGCATGAGTGGATTGTCAGCATTCGACAACAGGTCGTTGCGGAGCCTCAAACTCCTAGTAGCGAAGGGGGCAGCGTCATTGGTGGCAGTCTACCGCCAAGTACTGGAAGCTCTCGGCAGAATTCAACCAATGCGCTTTGATTGATGCATTTTTTCTCCTCCCTCCCGGATTTTCAAAAGCGTTTCCAAAATTTCCGTTAAACGTTATCGTGATAGACGAAAATCTCAATTACTTACTTGCCTATTTACTGATCTTCTATATATCTTCCTCACACATATATTATGCCTCAACTTGTTTCATATTTGCCCAGGTGATTAAGTTGGGCAAACAGGAAATTGCCACCTAGAGAAAGCAAAATAGACCCAGTTGCATGTTTCACGGGAAGATCAGGAGTATGTTTACTTACATTCGCTTCTGGGTTTTTTTTTTTTTTTTTTTTTTTTTTTTTAATTTCACATATATTAGTTTTGGTTTTATGGTGAGATATGAGATACCCAACATCAGAAATCCCTGCTTTTTTTTAATATATATATATATATGTGGCTTTTCACTATAACATCGGTCTATTTTATTGCTCGATATGTGGGATTCTGGGGTGAGGGTTTGGGATTGATTGATTGATTGATTTTTTTTTTTTGGATTGATAGGTGTTTAAAAGTGAAGTTAACAATTTACACATTTGTACATTCAACTCTTTCCCCTTGTGCTCTGGACAGTATGCATTTTCTTAGCACATATTCTCATACTTTTCTGTCACGGGGTAGTAGTGTCATTTTTGTATGTAGTGTTGGTTAAGCACCGAGTACCATCCGTAGCTGAGGAGACGAAGTGTAACTAACCCCTTCTGAAAGACCCACCCAGGACGTGCTGAGTTCCCTCAACCAGATTGCTGTTTCCAAGATTCATATCTGTTTGTCTCTGACTAAACGTCATCCAATGGGTCGGACGTACAGTACTCATGGCCAGCCAATCTTTCGGGTCCGAATGAAGGGTCTGGGGTGCAGTAATCCACATTATGATGGGAAATTTCAGTAAACAAAGCTCAATTTGGGAGTATGTTTTGTGCAGACATGTCATTCATTTATGTTCATGAGGAGCTAACTATTCTTGACTTAGCTACCCTCAACATTTGAAGAGTCAACTGGGATTTTATTATTCTTAGCGTATCACGGGTTATTTAAACCACGCGATGGCCTCCACTCCTCTCGGTTCTTAACGCAATCACCACTCACATTTTCTGCATAGCAGCCTGGAGTAATACATTAGAAATGAAACGATATTGTAGAGCTGGTTGGGGAAACACTTACAACATCAGTTGACTGAATCCAATCTTCGAAAGTCTGTTCCAGCTCTTCTTGAAGGTCATCGACGGATACCTTCTCGTCCTCGACGGTAAAATGAACCTGGAGTTTCATAATACCATAGCCAACAGGCTTTAGTTCATCCTTGGAGTATTTAAGACCCTCCTTCGTTTCCAGCAATTTTTTAACCTCAACCTTTAATTTATCCATGGGGGTTTCGTCATCTGTTCACGGTTAGGCTGAGAAATACCGAATGGAAAGTAATAGAACCTACCTATAGGTTTGATATCTAAAGTGATGAAAGATTTAGCGGGAGGCTTTGTCTTTGCCGCACTCTTCTTCCTGTACTCCTCGAGGTTCTTTTCTCTCTCAGCAACGAGGGCAGCATCTTCTTCATCGTCATCGCTACCGAAAAGATCCATGTCTTCGTCCTCGTCCTCGTCTGCAGCTGGGGCTGGGGCTTTCTTGACGTTCACTGGGATATCGGTGCTTTCGGGGCCATATGCGGTGTATGGTTTGGAAGGGTCACCGGGAAGGGTAGTGAATTCTGTTCCGAATGAAGAAATGTGCTTGTACCAACGCGCAGCGTGGGGATATTTAGCAGCGTCGGGGGCTTTCTTGAATGCCTTGAATGTAACGACGTCGGCTTGGGTTGGGGTATAGCTGATTTTGAGTTAGTACGGTGTGTCTTTCGTGGAAAGCTTCTTGCAGTACAACAGAGTTAAGCCACTGGTGGGGTAATTTTCTTTTTCAGAATGCGAATTTCGCGTAGGAAGTAGTCATTCAGCGGTGTCTTAAGCCGCCTCATCAACACGGACCAATTTATTTTCATCATTTAAAAATAGCAATAGGCATGAAAAATGAGAAAAATAGGACAGGACGTATTGAACTCACCCAACAACGTAGCTCCTCATGGAAAGAAAGTGGTTGACAACTTTGATCAAAGGGGGGTTTGGTCAGAACACATCATCCAGCTCGGGGAAAGGACAACAATACATACTGGCAAGGCCAGAGTCGCAGGAAAGGTCTGTGAAACCCATTGCAGGCGAGAAGGGAGGAATAGGGGCTTATTAGAAGTGCATGTAAATGGTGGTGGGTATTGTAGATGTTCCTTTTTTCAAGGGTTTTGAGGAGAGACGAAAAAATTAGGAGTTTTGAGTTTTGGTTAGTTACCTAATCAAAAGTTTTGCTGTTTACCTAAGCCAGGGATGCAAAGCCCAATCACATGTTGGATGTATCGGGCGCTAGTCCTTAATAGGAAACTTAGCGCCACAGAATCAACCCACCATGTCACGTGCAATATATTACATGATCTCATCGAAACCTTGTTTGACATCCATAACTATAATAATATCCGAAGCCAAAAATTATTTTTGAAGATTTGAGCTCTTCGTGCTTTCAGCGGTATGAATACTTTATAAATTCCACATTAGAGATATTTGTTTTTGGGTAATTGTCGGCAGCATATCGCAATGCAGGGATCAAAACTTCGACGCTGCGGTCCTCAACTGCTTCAAGCTTCTGCAACAGCTTCGAGATCCGGAATACCGGCACGAGCACCGGTTTTCCGGACCGAACTATTTAGACAATGGCCTTCTCAGCGCCGGATCTTCTCAAAGGTACCCTTATATAAATTCTGTGGTGTCCGCCATTATGCCAACGGTAGACCACACCCTCCAGGCGGAACTCATCGGATGAATCTGGGCGGAGAGCCGGAAAAACCCGCACTAGAAGAATACGGAGTCGATCTTACTGCTAGAGCAAGGGATGGCAAACTTGATCCTGTCATTGGTCGAGATGGGGAAATTCAGCGGACAATACAAATCTTATCAAGGAGAACAAAGAATAATCCGGTCCTAATTGGATCTGCCGGCACGGGCAAAACCGCCATTCTCGAAGGCCTGGCCCAGAGAATTGTCAGAGGGGACGTCCCAGAGAGTGTCAAGAATAAGCGCGTCATTTCATTGGATTTGGGTCAACTTATTGCAGGTGCAAAATTCAGGGGGGATTTTGAGGAAAGACTGAAGAAAGTGCTAAAGGAGGTGGAAGATGCCCAAGGGGGTGTTATATTATTTGTGGATGAGTTACATACGCTACTTGGGCTCGGGAAGGCAGAGGGAAGCATTGACGCAAGCAACCTGCTGAAGCCTGCCTTATCCCGTGGTGAGCTGCAGTGCTGCGGTGCTACGACGTTGAACGAGTATCGTCAGATCGAAAAGGATGTTGCGCTTGCTCGGCGGTTTCAGCCCATCGTTGTTGAAGAGCCGTCAGTGGCTGATACAATATCGATATTGAGAGGTATCAAGGAAAAATATGAAGTTCATCATGGTGTAAGAATTACAGACGGTGCGCTCGTGGCAGCTGCTACATACAGCAATCGATATATTACGGATCGTTTCCTACCGGACAAGGCGATTGATCTTGTAGATGAGGCTGCCTCTGCTCTTCGATTACAACAGGAGTCGAAACCTGATGCAATTCAAGAGCTTGACCGACAAATTATGACCATTCAAATCGAGCTTGAATCGCTGCGCAAGGAGACTGACATTCCAAGCAAGGAGCGCCGGGAGAAATTGGAAGAGCTCTTGAAAACCAAGCAAGATAAAGTCAAGGAATTCACCGATGTCTGGGAAAAGGAAAAAGCGGAACTTGACGCCATCAAACAGGCCAAGGAGGATTTGGAACGTGCAAGGGTAGATTTAGAGCAAGCCCAACGCGAAGGAAATTTTGCCAAAGCCAGCGAGTTACGATACTCGATAATTCCGAAACTTGAGAACAAACTTCCAAAAGAAGGGTCGGATACGGCAACCAGCACCACAGCTGATGGCGTAGTGCTTCTTCACGATTCCGTGACGAGCGATGATATAGCTGGTGTGGTATCCCGTACTACAGGTATCCCGGTTAACAAGTTGATGGCCGGAGAGGTTGAGAAACTTATCCACATGGAAGACACCTTAAAACAGTCAGTCCGTGGGCAGGATGAAGCGCTCTGTGCCGTGGCTAATGCTGTTCGTATGCAAAGAGCTGGGCTTAGCGGAGAGAATCGGCCATTAGCATCCTTTATGTTCTTGGGACCAACGGGAGTTGGTAAAACAGAACTCTGCAAAAAGATGGCAGGCTTCCTATTTTCGACCGAATCGGCCGTTTTACGGTTTGATATGAGCGAATTTCAGGAAAAACATACTGTTAGCCGCCTAATCGGCTCTCCTGCCGGATATGTTGGGTATGAGGATGCCGGTCAATTAACAGAAGCCGTCAGAAGGAAGCCCTACGCCATATTACTCTTCGATGAATTCGAAAAGGCCCATCGCGATATATCAGCACTTCTGCTTCAGGTTCTAGACGAAGGCTTCCTCACTGATGCCCAGGGTCATAAAATCGACTTCCGGAACACTCTGATCGTGTTAACATCCAACCTAGGTGCAGAAATTCTTGTTGGCTCCGATCCTACCCTTGGAGAGGAGGTTTCGACGGAGATAAAATCAGCTGTTATGGCTAGAGTTCAGACGTCATATCCTCCTGAATTTTTGAACAGGATTGACGAGTTCATTATTTTCAAGAGACTCTCAAGAAAAGCGCTGCGGGATATTGTAGACATTAGGTTGCGAGAACTTCAACAGAGGCTGGACGATCGAAGAATAATCTTGAAGGTAGATGATGGTGTGAAAGGCTGGCTTTGTGACAAGGGATACGATCCACGATATGGAGCTCGTCCCTTGAACAGACTTATTGCGAAAGAAATCGGCAATCGTCTAGCAGACAAAATAATCAGGGGGCAAGTTACTTCTGGCCAGATGGCGCATGTCACTTTCAACGCTGACAAGTCTGGTCTCAACGTCGCAACTGAAGAAGCTACATAATGTCTGTGCATTACTTGTATTTATATTTCTTTCTTTCTTTCCCCCTTTTTTTTGTTTTATTACTGGTTGCATCTCCATTCAGGTCGGGGTCTTCTTAAAACGTGAAAATGACATCACATTTTGAACAAAACGTTGGGTTCGATAACCACTACACTATGTATTTTACTACATGTACTAAATATCTCTGATCTTTCAAAATCTAGATACTGTGCCTATACTCGCAAATGTTCCTCAAAAGCCACCATCTCTGAACAGGATCAAATATGGTCTGCTTAAGTGCAGAGCCCGTGACCTCGATGCTTTAGGTTGCAGGTAATTTTTTTTGCCTAATCGGGATAGTTACTCCCCCCCAGGGCTCCGGGGCTATCTCTCTTCTAACCCAACCCCCAACCTTTCTCATGATACCACGCCAGGTCTCACATTTACCTTTTAAACAATGGCGTCGTCACCCTCAAGGAGGAGGAGAGGGGGATTCCATTCCTCTCGTGGTAGCCAACATCTGGTAACGAGGCACCGCCAACGATCATTCAACCAGAACTCTGGTAGTAGACGTGATCGGATAGCATCATCTGCGAGGGCGTCCTTAACTGCGGTACGCACTGAGAATTCTGCTGCTAGCGAAATATTAAGTGAATTTGGTCCGGAACAGGTCAATGGCGGTGAGAAGGAGCAGGATGAAAATGAAGACCTGTGTCAGGTGGTGATGGCTTTGGATATGAAAGAAAGGGGAAGTGTTGGTTGTTGCTATTATGTCGCGAACGAGGCAAAGATATATCTACTTGAGGATATTGCTTCTGGGGGACAGGAGGTAATTGAGATGTGTGAGTATTCCCCCCCCCCCCCCCCCGGCTTTTTCAATCCCGTTATGGCTGCCAGTCTGATTTCGATTTTGACAGTAAAGCTTGATGTGGAACCAACACTGGTTCTGCTCTCAACTCGTGCGGACCAAAACACAGACGCATTGAAACAGGGTGTGCAAGATCTTCAAATGAACAGTGGTAACTATTCCCTTTGCTAGTGGCTATCATTTGTTCTTTGCTTACGAAGTCGTTTATCAGATGATCAATTCCAACTACCCTATCACGTCGATGTTCGACCAGTGCAGGAGTTTAGCTTCGAGTGTGCAAAGCTCAGGCTTGCTGGCCTTCAACTTGATCCCAGTAGAGGCGATACACAATTTTTTGTCCCTAGCGATGCCTTTTCGCTGAATCAAAATGGCGGCGAAACCGATCTGGGCTTTACCGATCAACAGGGAAAGTTACTAAACCTTTCTGGTTTTATTGACATGAACAATCGTATATCTATTGGGTGTGCCGGTGCTATCGTTACGTACTTGCAGAGAATACGTGCAACAGAGTGCTTATCGCGAGACCACTCCGGGAATGAAGGATTTAACGTTCAGTCCGTTGAAATACGGAGCCTGAAAGGAACAATGTAGGTTATTGTAATTTCCCTAGTTTTGGCCTTTTTGCTGACGTTTCTGAAGGTTTGCCAATACGGATACACTCACGTCGCTCCAGGTGATCCAATCTGAGTCTCATCCCAATGCATTCAACCAAGGGCCCGGAAAGACTTCATCTGGATCTAAGGAGAGCCTGTCAATATTTGGCCTTTTCCATCATTTTGCTAGGACGCCTCAGGGAAAGGCTCGGTTAAGACGAAAGTTTCTTCGCCCTAGCACGGATCTCGCATGTATAAGAGAGAGAAATGACTTTATAAGCACATATCTGCGTTCCGACAATGGCGTGGCTATCGAAAAGCTTACAAAAAGCTTGAAAGGGATAAAGAATTTACGTCCAGTGATGGTGCATGTGAGAAAGGGTATCAGTTCGGGAAATGCCAAGTTCAAAGCGTTCAAAAGTGGCGTTTGGGCAACGCTTTTGGAAGTCTGTCCCTGGTGTGATTGCTGATATTGTACTTCTAAGCTAATCTGGGGATTCTGTAGTTTGCTTTTCACGCTATAGATGTGCGCGAAACGATACGAACCGTTACAGGTGCAGAGAACCTGGACATACATGCGAGGGTAAGAGTTCTCAGGAATCGCATATGAATTATCTGACCCAGGGTCCAGGTTCTCGATAAACTGGATATAGCTATTCTGCATCAGGTTGGGAGAATCATACATGAAACAGTAAGTAGAATCCCCAGTAGCATAAAAGTTAACAAATAGATGGCTCATGCCCAACAAGGTCGACCTTCAAAGCTCGATTGAGGAGCATCGAACTGTTGTCAAGCAAAGGATGGATCGAGAACTAGACGACCTCAAGGAAGCATACAATGGCCTGGACAATTTGCTCAACCAGGTGGCCATAAATATTGCTAGCACCATACCCGAAAGACTAAGTAATGACCTCAATGTCATTTACTTTCCCCAACTTGGGTTCAATATTGCCATGCCACTCGATGAAAGAGGTAGAGCCGTTTACAATGGCGGAGATCAGCCGTGGGACCAAATATTTACTACGGAAAATCGAGTTTACTTCAAAGATTACCGCATGCGAGAAATGGACGAAAAGTTTGGAGACATCTACGGGCTGATTTGTGGTAAGAATCGTGCATCTGATTCAATATTTATTCAACCCTAACCTCTCCTAGAAAAGGAAATTGAAATCGTCTACGAGATGGCACAAAAGGTCCTTCAATATGAAAACACGCTTGTGGAAGCCTCAGATATATGCGGAGAATTAGATAGGTATGCGTATATGCTGGATCCCACCCCCTCCCCATCGTTGTTTATCATCTAACAACTTGCAGCCTTCTAGCTCTCGTTCAAGGGGCTAGCTTATACAAGCTTATACGACCACAGATGACGCAGGACAACAGTATCATAATCAAGGGCGGGCGGTGAGGAGCCCCGCCTTCGCTCAATGGTAATTGTTTTGTTGCTGACTGAACTTAGCCATCTTTTGCATGAAGTTACCGTTCCTACATTTATCCCAAATGATACCCTCATCGTTGGCGGAAACAAAGGAGAGGGACCATCCCCAAGCCCTTCTGCTCCACTTTTGGAAAATTCAGATGTCATTGTTGAAACTCAGGGCCCAAGTATGCTTTTGCTGACAGGCCCAAATTACTCTGGAAAAAGTGTTTATTTGAAACAGGTTTGTCTCCTCGTAAATAATCCCAACAAACGAGTTAAGCTGACAACCCTCTGGGTGGCTCTAATTGTGTACATGGCACACATTGGGAGGTAATTTTGTCATCCCCTAGAGAAATCCTCATGTTATTTTATAAACTGATCTGTGTTTCCAGTTTCGTCCCTGCAGAAAGTGCTAGAATTGGAATCACAGATAAAATACTAACCCGGATAACAACGAGAGAAACTGTGTCCAAGGCAAGATGGGTTCCTGTTATTGAAGAAATATTTCCACAGTATGCTCATGTCAAATAGGCGCAGAGCTCCTTTATGATCGATTTGCAGCAAATGTCCTATGCATTGACCCTCGCAACCGAACGAAGCCTGATTATAGTCGACGAATTTGGCAAGGGAACAGAGTCAACTGGTTTGCTACATTCCCCGGCTGATTTAGAAAATTACCTACTACAGACCTATATCTAATGGGGGCTGCAACAGATGGCGCCGGCCTTGCCTGTGGATTATTTGAACACTTGCTGAGTCTGGGTGAGAAGAGGCCAAAGGTGCTGGCTGCAACCCACTTCCACGAAATATTCGAGAACGGATTTCTACCACCAAGAAGGGAGCTTGGCTTTGGGTATATGGAAGTACAAGTTGATTCGACTGCGAGGGATGTGGAAAATCAGGTCACGTACTTATATAAGTTGAGTGCTGACGCTCTGAACATGCATTTGTCCGCGGACACCTGACGTTGGTTCTTAATATATGTGTTTCCAGTTTCCGGTCCGGACGTAGCAATGCCAGTTTTGGGACCAAGTGCGTTTTGCATTCCTCCCTTAAAGACATCTTGTTTGATGCCGTATTGACGGGGCCTGTCACAGCTGTGCAGCATTGAATGGCATTGATCCAGCGATAATCGCACGAGCAAACGAAATTGGCACTCTTGTTGCCCGTGGTGAAGACCTTGTGGTCATTTGCGCAAAGATGTCTGCGGGTGAAATGGAGGTACTTGAAGAATCTGTAGGTCATGAAGCGGAGATGATGCACAAGCTTCGTTGATGCTAAACTTTTAATAGGAGAGCATCGCGAGGAGATTCCTCGCGACGGACTTTTCGAGAACAGAAGCTGCTTCGGGCCCTGGGAGCGAAGGTTATGAGCGCCCCGAAGCTTTGCTCGAGAATATTATAGGTAACAGGTATTATAGCACTGTAATGGGTGGGTTTACGTGAGTTACCCCTTAAATTGAGTGCCGTGAAACCACTTTGCATCAAAGGAACGTGCGGACGAGTATCTATAAAAGGGGGCTTCCATTATCTCCATATATGTTTCCTATATCTTCTGCGCAGCAAGCTCCAAGTCAGCTCGTTCTAGACAAATATTGAAAGCAATATCTTAGTATCACTACTACGCATGTATTTCTCTGAATCTTTAGCTCATATATTAGCTTACGTTGACGAAGTAGAAGCAACTTTCATCAACCTCATTTATATTCCAAGAGATGGTGTATTGTCATTTGAGTAGCATGCATTACGACGGAATTATCTAACGAACTGATAAACAAACCTCACCCCCACACCACCTAATTCCCACCGTTCAACTATAACTTGACACTCTTGACCAGATTAGTCTTGATACCAGTGAGCTCTCCGCCGTAGCCACCACGCCCTTCACCGCCCTTATAAATCTGCCTAATACTCCCCAACTTCTTCTTCTTCTCCTCATACTTCTTCCTCTTCTTAACTCTCGGATTCCGCACATCCTTACTCCTCTTCGGCGCCAAACCCCTATTCTTCTCAATCGCGTACGTGATGGCTCGCTTGCCATCCTCCCCAATTTCCTCCTGGACCTCAACACGGCCACCTTCGCGAACAGCTTGGGCTTGGGCCTCGGCAAGTTTCTTCTTCTCCGCCTTCTCCTGCTTCGACCGCGCAGCGACCATGTCATAATAATCGTCTGAGTTGGAGCCTGCTCCACCCTTGTCACCTCTCGCTTCCTTAGCAAGACGGCGATCGTCCTCGTCGCTGATTCCCCCGAGGTCGTTGAGGTTGTCAGGAGGAGTCCGTTTGCCTCTCTTCTCTGCCTGGGCATTTAGACGAGCTTGGCGATCCTTTAGCCTCTCCCGGTATGGCAGGTCTGCATCGCCGCCAGCGTCACGACCAGCAGTGCCACGCTTGTTGGCCTTCTGGGCAATTTCTGAGGTATAGAAACGGAGGGATTTTTTCTTCTTGGCTTTTTCTTCGGCTTCATGGGCGTTGAGGGTGGTTTCGTCACCAAAGTCCGAGTCATCGTCTTGCGGTGGTTTGGTCTTTTGAGTTTGCTTGGATAGCTTTTTGATTGTTCGGGAATGTAGCAGTTTAGAGAGGTCGGCCAGTTCAGCTTCAGTTTGGTGGAGTTTTTCGGTTCGTTTCTTCTCTGCCATAGCTATAGCATCTTCTACGGCTTTTTGGGCCTTTGTTCTCTTATGTTTGGTCACAGAAATGGGTTCAGCGGGCTTCTTCTTTGTTTCCGTGATTTCGGTTTCCGGTGCTTGTGCGTGCGGGATCTGGTCATCAGCATTGTTGTAATCCGACTCCATTTCAGATTCCTCGACTTGTTGGATATCCTCTACTTCGTCCCATTGCTTCTTGCAGTTAATCAATGTGGCCATGATCGGGTGTTCTCTTAGCTCAGCAGGCGGCATTGCCAGGCGCGCTTCTCCATTTCTTGAAGGGGATGTCAAAAGAAAGAAATACATGCTGATAGCTCCCAAATAAGCAGAGAGTGCGCGAAACTTAATCACAGGTAGAGGAACGGAGTCACCTTCATGATCTGCCATGTTTTCAAGACTCTTAGTTGTAGCAGCAAGCTCCCCGTGCACGGGTTGAAGCGAGAGAAAGGCTTTTGACAACGGCTCGAATTCGGGATATCGTTGGTTTAGAATCTTCCGTCGTTCGTCAACACTCATATCATCAGTCACCTGCAACTCAGGTAAAACCTCGGTGACAACATTATTCTCTGCCTTGTGATCCAGTTCAGCAGAATTCCCCGAAGCGGCCCATTCAGCTTCGTCGAACCCGAAATCCGCCTCGTTGAGAGCCTGCAGCCGCTGTTGCTGGATCTTTTTGGCCTCTGCCTCCTCTTCGAAAGCACCTGCCTCTGTTTCAATAATATCTGCATCGTAGTAGTCCTTTTTAGACGAACCCCATCCCTTCATGATTTCTTCCTCGTCTCTCCCTTCCTCCTCGCCATCGATCGGACTGGACGTATCCCGGTGACGTAACTTTGATTTCTTGAGTGTAGATCGTCCAGCACCCTCCTCCTCCTCCTGCTCCTCCTCCTCCTCCTCATTGTCGTCGTCGTCGTCGAATTCTTCATCGTCTATTGATTCAGACTGGTACCGCAGGACTTCTTCGTCGGACGGTTGAAAGAACTCTTCTACAAAACGACATGTTAATAACTCTCCGCGAAAATTAAGCCCGAAGGGAGAAATATTACCTTGCTCCTGTAGTTTCCGCCTCCTCTTTGCCTCCGGGGCCTCTTCCAAAAGAATGCGATCCCGACCCTGCTCGAACTCGTCCTGTGAATCGTCGAAGCGCGCATCGGCTGCAAACCTGAAGTTTTGATCGGGAGCAGATTGCTTCAAGGAGGAGAGCTTGCAGGCCTTTCTTTTCTTGCCCATTATCACAAGTTATTGATTAAATAATTGAATTGTGTTTCTCTATTGCCCGAACTAAGATTAATTAATTGATGTTCGAACATATCAAAAATATTTAAATTATTAGAACCAGAAATCGATGCTAGTCCCAATTAGGCCAAGCGCATGATTATCTGCCTTGCCATCCTTGGCAACCGTTTTGCTGTTTTCAAACAAACCTGCCAGGGGTTGGCATTTGGGCCCTGTTAACTAACTAACCCCCCGGAGCTCTGCAGTCGGCCCTCCGCACTCCGCACTCCGCACTCCGCACTCGCCACTCGCCATCAACCAAGGCCGCGTTTGTTGACATTTGACACCCGCTTCTGGAGAGAGAGGAGAGGATCAAGGCCATTGCGATATACTAGGATAACCCTACCGTAGTTTTCTACCCCACAGGTGCCTAGCGTAACCCCCCGATTTGCCCAACCGCGCACAAGCCGGCTAACTACCTGCCTGCAAGCCACCGGGGCGCCCCATCGTCGACAGCTCTTCCCCTCCCCGGGTGAGCCTGCAGAGCGACAAAACAAGCGACATGCCGCAGAAGGAACATTTCAAACCCATAGCGTTGCTACTGCCCCTTCGCCACCATGCCAGACCTATTATCTTCCATCGCTGTGGTGGACTTTGGCTTGTCTCCGTCAACTCCCCAACTGATCACTGCAGTCGCTCTTTTGATATTCTCCCTATACTTACTCAGTATGTTTGACTACTTCAGATCTCTCAACCATTTCGTGGTGCAGGGGAGGGTATGTACTCGTCGCGTTTCCTATTCCCTCTTCACTGTCCGCGCTCCTGGGCACCAAAAGGCTAACGGGGGGTGCCAACACAGATGGCCGTCATCACGGGCGGTTCGGATGGCATGGGCAAAAGTGTAGCCATGGAATTGGCCAAGAAGGGTGCCAGTGTGACTGTCGTGGGACGCGATGTGGCTAAACTACAGGCTGTCTTTGATGCCATGAATGTAAGCCCACTCAAACACACCAGCTTGAGCCTGCTCTCTCTCTCTCTCTCTCTATATATATATACTAATGAGGGGAGAAATCATGTTTAGACCATTGCACCCCATGTGTGCGGCCAGAAATTCCATTGGATCCAGGCGGACTTGATCGACCCTAAAGAATCAGAGCGAGTCATGGCTGAGGTTACCGAGTTTAATGGTGGAATTTGTCCAGACATCGTTTGGTGCTGCGCGGGGAAGTGTATACCCGGGTTTTTCGTAAATACCGATCCGGAGACCCTTAAGTCGCAGATGGATACAAACTATTGGACCTCAGCATTTACAGCGCATGCCATTTTGAAACTCTGGCTGGCATCAGGCCCTCCTGGTCAGTCTCCAGAGAAAACTCCTCGGCGCCATCTGATCTTCACCAGCTCCACCGCATCCTTCGTGCCGATCACCGGGTACGGACCCTATAGTCCAGCAAAATCGGCGATACGCGCGCTTGCGGACACTCTGAGTCAGGAGGTCGAGGTTTACAATGGCACCAGACGGAATCCGTCCATCCCAGCCCCAACTGCGGATGTGAGAGTTCATATTGTCTTCCCGATGGGCATCCTGAGCCGCGGATTTGTCGAAGAACAGAAGGTGAAGCCGTCTCTCACGAAATACCTCGAAGAGGCCGACAAGCCCCAAACTCCCGACAAAGTTGCCTCGATTGCCATCAAGCGACTGGAAAGAGGCCATTATGCGATCACAACTACGATGGTTGGCTCGATCATGAAAGCAACTTCGCTCGGGGCTAGTCCTAGAAACAATCTCTTCAGAGACACGCTCAATAGCTGGGTGAGCAATCTGATCTTCCTGCATGTTATCCCGGATTTAAGGGACAAAGCTCATCGATGGGGCCGCGTTAACGGCGTCCCTAAAGAAAGGGAAGAGAATGGAATTACATCCGTGGCGCCTGATGTGCCCTGTTAAAGGGGGAATTGAGGATGTGGTCTCTCCATACCTGCTGCCTATTCGAAATATTCTTCTTCTTCTTCTTCTTCTTCTTCTTCTTCTTCTTCTTCTACTTCTCCTATACTAGATACATCATTTCCTATGCTTCATCGAATAATACCTTTTTTCTCTTTCTCCTTTCTTTTCTTCCATTAATTGTTGTGCTATAACGTAATCCGCCACTCAACGAACGCTTCTTACCACTTCTCAACTAGTCTTATGAAGTTCACAAATTTTCAACAACACTTTAATGTATCTAAATAGTATAAAGATCATATATCTAATAGTTTATATTAAAATATATTAACAAATCAAAAATCATAATTGGAGCTTAATAGCCTGACCGGAACATGAGAAATCATGAGGTTGCTGAGGAGGAATGAAAGAAGCTATAAGGAATTGCCGGCAGAAGGCCTTTGAAAGAATTCCCTATCAAATATAAATCAAATTACCGGGTGATGTAGAATTCTTATGGTCAGCTTTCTTATTAGATTCTTCTCTTCATGAGAGTTGTGTAAAACAGATCAATGATATGAGCAGAGTTGTTTACAGTGCTGAGAATCAATCACAGACTCGCTTAGCTTGCTTGGTTACTAATTGAGTGTTCTTCATCAACCTAGGCTTGCTGAGCAGTTAATCTGCAATCAGCAGCCTTCCAGTCTTTGCTTTTTTAACATTGCTTTGCAGCAGCGAACGAAGCTTGGGTCAGTAAGCGTCTTTCTTACACCTTTGTCAAAGCAATTAATCCACTCTTTATAATAAAGTTTTATATTTATAAGAAGAAACTTTTTACAATTGATCTTTTATCAATATAAATAATATTAATAATAAATAATTCTAATTAGTTAGTTAGTTATCTATTATAAATTTTATATAGTAATAAAAATAATTAAATTTTAAAAAAAAATGAATTTTTTTTTTTTAATTTTTAATTTAATATTTAATTTTTATTATGTATAAAGATTTATTAACTACTTTTTATTATAAAATCAATTTTATTAAAATTATATGTATTTTTTAATAGAATCTTATATTTAATAATTGCAGTCTTCAAGATTTTAAATTAAATCTGAATAATTTTATATTCTTACATTTGATTTAATCATAATTAAATATCTGAAGTAATAGATTTGAAGTACTGAACAGTATATTACTAGATGTGATGGAGCTGGCTACTGGCTACGATACTTGGCATCATTGACCGGAAAGGGTAATGGCAACGGCCTAGCAACCACCCCCCCCGCAAGCAACTACCCTGTAAACAAATACCCCACAGAAACTGCCTAGCAACGGCATAGCAACTGCTGGTGGAAAAGGGGTACATAAACAGAGGCTTCCCCGGCCCTCGTTTCGTAGAGCATCTTAGTATTTTTCATTGAAGTAGCTTACCTAGCTGGCAATCAAACTCCTGTTTACCTGCGCCTAGAATTGAAATCGTAACAAATTATATGATATGAGAAGCAAACTCTCCGGATCATTATTTATCCATCCCGACATAGGACTATTCTTTATCCGTACTCATAACTTAAAACCTTCTTCATCTACGCTCTCATCTACGCTCTCATCTTTTCATTCTCTTACTCTTCTCTCTATAACGAATTCGCCTATAAGGAAGTACTAGGGCTGTATTTGATAACTCGCTCATTACACTGTTGATGCTGATTTTCGAGCTTCTGTGCTTCTAATCTTCTTGTAGTAATTAAGTTTTTGAATTAAACTCTAATCTCTCTAATTCTGTTAGGCTACTTTGAAGCTCAACCTTTATATAGTGAATTTCTCTATAAAATGAATTGGGTAGACTTTCAAGATTAAATTAGTATAACAAAGTTTCCCTGTAGTGTGAAAGTTGTAATATATTTAATTATCCAGCGAGGCGTTGTTTTTGTTTAGGGATTCGTGCTTCACAGACCTTGTTTAGGCCCAGCTTTTTACGTTCAGTCTGAATCCCGGGAGGAGGTGTGCTTCCACCGGGCGCAGGTTAGGGAGCGGCGGTGAGCAGCGGTTCAACTCCCCCTTGGGCATGCTAGCTCAGTTGCTCACCCTTTTGCTTGGCGGAGTGGCCTGACTAGTCGTCTACGGGTCAAGCATTAGACACAGCGACCCCTTGAGAATAGGAAGTCAGTGACTCATCTTTGACCCCAGTGACTATCGCCAAGTTAGTTCAAAGTATAAAAATGACTGTAAATAGCAATATATACAAACTTTAATTTTACGTCAGTAGTATGAAGATTTATTAAAAAAAGATGTTAACTTACTTAGTTTTGTAACATATTTACTTTTTTCACACTCTATTTTTAATATACTATTATAAGTAAAGAAGAATTCAACATGTATATTCTGTAATAATAGAAGTTAGACGGGTTTAATTTTTTTAAAAACATACTTATTAATAAGACTTGATAGTATTATTTACTTGTAAAAGATATTTCTTTACTTCTCTATCAGTAGAATCACTACTCCGTGAAGTATAAAGTTCAATAAAGCTATTGATACTTGGAAATTCATGGTTTCAGAGCCAGAAGGACTAAGATTTGAGATATTTATAGCTAATTTATACAAGTTTTATAAGCAGAATAGAAAGATTTTGAAGAGAGTTAACTAATATACTAGATTGTTTTACAGCTTTTTAAAGTAAAAAATATGATCACAAAGTTATAGATTATAACCATAATTAAAAAGCTTTTAAATATACATTTCTTTAATAAAATGAACTGAAACAGGTAAAGTAGATCTTGTACTTTGTTGTAGATTATAGATGATAAATATATACAATAAATTTAAATATAATTATAAAAGATGAAAATCTTACTATAGAATATAGGTTTTAAACTCGAAGAAGATTTAAGATATATCTATGATATTCGAGACTTCAACATTGTAGTATTACCAAACAATAAAGATTGATAAAGTGAAAACCTACGTAAATTCAGAGTTGTATTATAAAAGAAAAATAGCATTTAATCATTTAACTGTTTAGAGCATAGAAAGTTGCATGTAGATTCCTACAAAGAGAGGAAGAAAGAAACACTTGCAGGTTACCTGCAGGCCAGGGCATCTTCGATTATATGCAGCTGTAGGTCATGATTGTAATCGGTTTAAGGCTTTGAAGCCCATCAAGCGGCATGCCGTAAAGAAGAAGCATTACGGGCCATTGGGATCACATGAATGTACTTCTCTTCAACCAATCAGAGTGTGATAATGCATTTGAAGCAGACCAATAAGAACACAGATTTTCAATTATACTCAAGGAGAGGAAACTCTCTGGCAGGGGGGTAATATTACATACATTTACTTCACTCGCTTCGCTCACTTCGCAAATCAGGTTTAGATGATGTATGCGCAGAAATGGGTCAGGTGAGGAGGCTCAAAAGGGGGAGCTGTGGTTGCGTCAACCATTTACCTCTTCTCTCCTGGCTCACACTCGCTCAAACCACGGCATCCCCATCTCTATTTTCATCCTGCTAGGCTTGCTACTGCTTTCTTCGATAAGCACTGTCTTTCAGCATAAGCACACCCCCCTACTTTCATTCATCTCACCCAGAATGAAGCCCCTCGTTATTCTCTGGTTTCTCACTCTGGCCGTCTGGGCAGTGCCCCACACTGCACTAAGGGGACAACAGGACCCCGAATCCATCACATTTAACGTCAGCTCCGTCAGCCAATACGACTACGGGGCCAACCCCATTGAAGGATGCTGGGATGCTCTCAATTGCACTCTAATGCAGATCGAAGCAATGTCCATCTCCAGCCGTCTCGAGTACCTCAAGTATATGAGCACCTGGCGTTTGGATGCATTGCAGTCCACGAACCAGTTCCACGCTCTCGAGGGGGTGATGAGCTTCTTTATGCGGAAGGATATTGCTGGCACGGGCACATGGCTTTCTATTGTTCATGCTGCTACGATTGAAGGGTTGCAGAGGGGCGCGGCTATGTCGCTGGGTCTATCTGATAATACTGGAGGGAATCCGGCTAGTGTGAAATGGGCTGATTATTTCCATCTGCGGATGTCGGGGAGGCTTACAGAACGTGTCGTAAGGACTATTCCTCTTCTTCTCTCTGCTTACATCTTGTCTTATCTTTGGCTTCCGTGTGCATGATAAGGATTTATATTTTTACGGGGAAGAGAAGGAAGATTGGCACTGGCTAACTGACTCGTTCTCCGAGAGGCTCTCTACGCTATGTAGACCCACGACATTGCTTGGGCCACTGCGGAACAAACTGCAGTTGATTATGGTATCCGTCGTGCCGACTCGGCTATCAATGTCGAAAAGCCCTCCAGTCGCATCCTGCGCTGGATACAGTTCACTCGTATCTATAGAACATCCATGCAGTACCGCCGTACTATCCTGTGGCTTGTGAGGATGTATGTTTTCCCGTCTTCCCCTATATATCACGATTGATGTTTCTATTCTACACTTTAATTCCTGTGTTTGCCTCCCTGGTCTGGGCAAGGGAGAATAAATGCAGTTGTTTTCAAAGAAATAATAAAAGAGCGTGCTGATCGAAATATCTAATATCCTCATCTCAAAACTACAGGGCATTCACATTCACCAGCCCTTCTGTGCCTATGGCAACTGAAGCCTTTCTAGACTGGCTCACTGATGTGACAGACGCCTCGTCAACTGGCTTCCTGGCCGATGTTGCATGGACCATCTCCGCTCTGGGGCTATCTCAAAACGGAGAGGATCCTATTGCGGACTCTGAGGCACTCATGAAAATTGCGACGGAGTTCTGGGAGGTTTTCCAACTGAGGAATAATGGCGGTGAGAGGAACGTAGGGAAGGCATCCGACGACCGACATTCTTTTGCTCCCCTTGTGTTGTAAAAGTAATGTGTAAGCATGTGCAACAGTATGAGAATGGTCATGGAGTAAATGGTAGGTAGAAACGAAATTGAGGGAGATTTTCGATGGAACTGTCTTTTATATAATACATCGAGTTTTACTGTGTGGTTGACGACCGTGGGTGATATACGTGGCGGAGTATGAGTACACCTTATGGAAGCCCCTTATTTTAGAGGGTTAAATTATTCTCTTATATGGATATTTTAAACATAAGTGCTTTTCAAAGAATGCAAACATGGAAAGTGATATAACTTTGTATGATACTGTGGCACTTTACCTTATGTTATTTCATAATATCCATTGAAAACTCTGGCCAGAAGGTTTCTCTAAGCACCTAAGATAGCAGTTTGTATGATTTGTTCTTATGGGATTTAATTCAGGGGCAGCCCTGGGCAGGGTACAATAAATACGGGATGATGGAGTTTGGAGCAAGGATTACAGACAGTAAAACTAAGCTTTGCCAAGACACCGCCCCCTGACGATCTTTGATGCAACGCATCAGTTTTTGCCAATTGGAGATAAAATCGTGGATGGCCGCAGTAACAGAACAGAATAAGTCGCAGATAATATTTCCATATCATCCAGAAACAATTGAAACCCTTTATAAGGCAATTAGCAATTGCAAGGGTAATATAATTGTTGCTCTGACGCGTGGGAAAAAGAATTCATATGATACAGGCCAAATTCCCCCCCCCTTCTATGTACGGGATCAAGCGGAAAGCACTCCGCACGCGAATACATAGTGACCGCATTTTAAAGGAGTTTGCAGGTCAAGGAATAAAGTATAATTCTTGAACTAATGTACACTTTTGCATTGAATGTTATGCAAGCATGCCCTTTTTCCCCAAATTCATCCACTCGTCATTATCCAACTCATATCAAAAGACTCTATCCGCACACAACCTCAATAATTGCCCTCATTTGCCGGTCTGGGCTTCTTGCGCTTATCAGCAACGATCCGTGACTACAAAAGAAAATGGACTGGTGAGTTCAAAACTTCAAGACCACTAAAAAAAAAAAAAGAAAAGAAAAGAAAAAAAATCACAGCCAAAAGGCAGCATCATGGCACGGATGTTCAATCTCCAGACGCACGCACCGACACTCGCACACTACGACTTCCGTGTGGATCCCTCCGGCCAATAATCTCTGACCCATGGCTCTGGCCCTCAATCGTGTCTTCCTCGGGGACCAGTATATAGGGCTCGTCGTCCTCAGCGTGAGCCGCGGTAGCAGCCGCGATCTCCTCGTTTAATTCGGCGATAGACTGCACCTCTGCGCTTAGCGATTGCATTCCGGGTGCCGTGCCCAACATGCGGCCCTGAAGACATGGTGAAAATGTTGGATAAATCTCTTTTCAAATTCATTCAGAGTGGGAGGGTTGGATAGTGTAACTGAACCTCCAATGATCGCAATTCCTTGGCATCCTGCCTGGTAATAGTATCAGGTGACTTTGCGAGGATTTCCTCGACCTTATTGTCAAAATTCCGTTGCTTCGAGTGGTCACTCTGTACGAAGGCTGTCCGGAGGTTGATTGAACGATGTTTAGTATAAGAACGTTGAGCTTCCAATTGTTACGCTGTTCATCCCACTTGAAGAGCCATTTACTGACAAATTGGACCCTGTTTGATAGGATCTCCACTTCTAAATTCAGTCTCAAGTTGCGAGATGTCAGATGCCTCGCCGATAGAAGCATGTCTTTCGCCAGCCTCCGCCATTTTGATTTCTTCTGGAGTTGGAATTTCTCCTGACATGTTCCAGGGGCGTCTTGTGCCAATGTGTATTATAAAAACAGATATTAAGTAGATTTGATATTGAGTAGGCCATATCACAGGATGGAATTATGCACAAGGCAAATAGGGATAACGATTTTGTTCGAATTATATTGCAAGTGGCGGGTGGGAATGACGTTTTTGTGACGCTGGTGCGAGTATGAAAGGTCTCCCACCAATTGAGGCTTCGAATGGTTTCCCAGTCAACAGGAATCAAGCTTTGTGCCATTTGGGGTTAAGTTCCCATAGACGTGGTAAAATTAATGTTCAGGCGTTCCGATTCGACCAAATCCAATGCGGACTTATTACGACAACATCAGCGAAAGCATTCCGTAGTCAGAAGTGAATATAAGCATCTTTTTTTTTTTTTTTGTCAGGCGGGCTGATCTCGATATGGGGCTCCGTGACACACCCGAGATCCACCCTGGCAGATCCCTCAGGCCAAGGTTAAGTGCTCTGAAAGCCGGTCGCATTGATCAAGGCAGGTAGTTAGCGCTAGCATGCGCCCAGAGAGCCGGGGATTGTCGCAAGTTTCAAGGTTTGCTTTGAAACCGATGCGACAAGAATAATAAACAAAACAAGAAAAAATGGCGCCAATTCTTCCTCAGAACAAGCTGCGACACCACATCTAGGAAAATCAAAGCGGCCATGTCTTGAATCTTCTACATATAACCAAATGATAAGAAGCGAATAAGGAGAAGAAGCAGTCCGTCGTCCCACCCCACTCGAAAATGTTGGACGCACTCGTATCCATACCGATGATATCCTTTCTCCTCGTCCCCGCCCTATCCTCCTACACAACGAGCCTGAACCTTATCTTCTTCTACGTAACATGGGTTACTCTGGTCCTGTCGCTTCCCCCATTAAGAGTTGAATTGGTAGCAACAGCCGCTGTCCGCGTCCTGCTCTATTTGATTCCATCCTTTATACTTTTTCTCTTCGATGTGCTGTTACCTTCTGCTGCGGTCGTGATAAAGAAGCGGGGTGCCGCGGGTCTACCGGCCGGAAAGAAAGGGAAGAGGGGTGGAAGGCGGGAAGCGAAAGTTGCGGCTTGGGCCATCTTTAATCTGGCATGGAGCATTGCGGTGCAAGGGTTGGTGGAAGTTGTGTTGACCAAGGTGCTGAGGATAAAGAGTGCGGTGAAGATCGTGGCGAGTTTGCCGATGCCGTGGGATATTGTGAAGGATTTGGTGATGGGGTTTGTGGGGCGGGAAGTATGTTTTCAGAATTTTCTCGTGTCTCGTAGCTGGCTGGTGTGAATGTCGCGGGAAGAAAAAAGGTTACAATTGAATCTAATAGAACTCTTCTCGCCAATACACATAATGCGCAGATACTCCAATACATCATCCACAGATACATCCTCCACTCATCTACGTCCTACGTCGCAAAGCGCCATGACGCATGGTATCACTCGCTCAGAGCCCCTTACCCCCTAACAGCACACTACGACCACCCGCTCGCGTACTTCTTCTCCCGATTCCTGCCCACATTCCTCCCCGCCGCTACCCTCCGCTTACACCTCCTCACATATCTCTTATATATCGCCTTCATCTCCCTCGAAGAGACATTTTCCCACTCCGGTTACAGCACCATGCCGATAAATCTTTTCATTGGTGGTATGGCACGCAGGGCGGATTTGCACATCATGAGTAAAGGTTGTGGGAATTATGGAGCATGGGGAGTCCTGGACTGGATATGCGGTACAACAGTGGACGGTGATGAGGACGAGGAAGATGATGAACATGAAATCGATATTCAAGAGGTTCTGGGTGCAGTTGCTGAGGACCCGAAAAAGAAGGCCAGGGGACTGAAGAGTCGGGGTCGACGGAAGCATTCATGATTCAGCCTTCCCTGCGGTGAGTGTATTATGTATTGTGTATATGCTGGATGTATCAATCGCATTTCGTCGTGTCCTGTTTGGGCGAAGATTTTGTGATTTATGTAAATCTTTTGTGCAATTCGGGATTGAATGTATGTTCTTTTGGATATGGGCATATATATTTGGCGTTTAGCAGAATGTTTGGCAGGGACTCTATCAATTCGAAAGGCCTATACTGCTGCGGGGTTTGGACCATCAGGATTATGGAAAGCGGAAACCTATGAAATCTGGATAAGTTATGGAACATGACAAGGACACATTGAACAAAATTCAAACCTCCATGGGAACACCATGGAACTAGAACAAAAAATATTGTATTGTATGCGGCGGGTTTTAAAACACGCCCTGCGGAAAGGGTGGAGAATTTAGAAGGGTTTTCGATGAAATTATCAGTCGAGGGGGAAAATCGGCCAATCCATGTACATTATTTCATTGAAAAAAAACCTTTGGAAGTGTTTTGTATATTATAATGTTTTTTTTCCATATATTTCCGAAAAGCAATTTTCTCCCGTTGGACCCGCGCAAGAAACAAAACAATTGAAAATAAGGAAAAAACATCCCGATTCTTTCTATGCCATCACCGTAGACAACCCGCCGGTTTTACCACTTCATTTCATGAGGCTTGTCACCTTTCCGGAGGCTGAAGCTGGTGGAGAGGTAGCTGGCGAGAAACTGCTCCTTCTTAATGGTGGCCAACAATGGCCGATCTATGGCCTTTTGGTCGTTGGCACGGGCGCTGACGACCTTCTTCTTCTGTTTCGAGTTATGCAATATATCAGTAACCCATTTCCACACATGCGCACAATACATATTCACATCCGCCAAAACTGAATAGCTTGTTGCCGTGATCGTCGAAAAAAATAATAAAAAATAAATAATAAATAATAAAAAAAAAAAAGAGGGGAACGTACCTCTGGCTTCTCTCCTTGTTTGAAGAAAGCTTCCTCTCCCTTCTTCTCGGCCTTCTTCTCACGAGTAAAGTACTCGGATTCCGAGGCTTTCTCCAGAACCTTGTCGTCAATTCCCGTGAGGTCCACCTTCGAGCTGGTGGCAATGACGTATCTGGCGTTTACTCTCCGGAGAGGGACGCCATTGAGTTTGAAAGGACCGGTAACGAGGAGAACGCCTTGGGGGAGGTGCTTAAGGAGCACAACACGCTTGCCTCGGAAGCGACCGGCGAGGAGGATGAGGATGGTGCCCGGTTGAAGACTGGCCCGGGGCTTCGCTGGGTGGATAGTCTTGCGGACCTGTTTGATATCATTGTTAGTGATATCTCCAGTGCAATTCTGTCTTTTTGGAAATTTTCAATGTGCGCGATTCGGGAACTTGGAACTTTGTGTGTGCGTGTCTGCGTATATCATCTCGATAGGGACCCGTCGGTAATATAGATGTAGATGTGTATAGAAACGTCAAAACGAAACAGCACTCCTCCAACTCCCGCAATTCCCCCACAACACACACAACGTTCCCCTGACAGAAGCATGTCTTCGATTGAATACTGACTTTCTTTGGCTGTGGCTCATCCTCAGTGGGATACCACTTTGAAGCCTTTTGGCTGGGGATGGTCCTCTCGCCCTTTCCAAACTTCTTCGTCTGGCCAACAGACTTTGAGTCCAAAGTCGCCGACATATTGGCTATTGTGACGAAGATGTGGAAAAGAAGAAAGCAGGAGTGCGAGGTCCAAGTTGTCAGCGGAGGGAGGTGGGTGGGTGTGGTTTGTCGTTGGTGGTCGTCGTCTGGCTTGAAGCCGTGAGCAACAACCGCTCTTCGTTTGTCGGTTGGTTTGTGGGAATCCCTTGCCCTACCCTTTAGCCGAACGCGCTAGTGCGAATCCGGCGCTGCAACCACCTGACCTGGAACCTTGTTCCCTTCCAATGTCAACATCAAACATCAACATAGAAAACAACGCTGCCCTATGGCAACCGACCCACGGGCTCTGCCGGTGTAGCAATACGCAACCCATTTTGCCTCATTTGTAAGATAGCTACTAGATAGGTAGTCGCCTACGGGCGTAGCTCTACCCGCCCTATAGTTCGACGCGGACTCTACTAGATCACGTGCCCTTAAGGCACGTGGACTAACCAGGCGTTAAATAAAAACACACACACATAGAAAACAACGTCACCGGCAACTTGAAGCCCCATCAATGTATCTCATAAATCGTATCTGATCTCCCCTTATACATGGTGATACTGTTTCGCAAATAGCTCCTGGACCTTTCCTCCCCCCCAACTCCCTCACCTAATTCCCGTGTCCTCCGCTCTTGGATTATCCCCCAAAAGTTCCTTCCACCACCGCAGCCATGCCCATAGCACCCATCATCACCTTCAAAGCAGGCATTTGCGATCTTGACGTAAGTCATTTTTAGTTTTACTATTCTAATTACCCCAATAGGTTCCTAGATTTTAGAGGTTCAGGGCGGGAGCCAAACACACTACTCCCCCCAAGTCACGATCTAACGGACTCTCCCCCCACCATACAGACCTCAGTTACTCCACCCAGAGTAAAACCAAAGCCAATTCCAGGCTACATTTACCTTTATACAGAAGATGATCTGGTACACTTTTGTTGGCGTCCACGCTCTGCTTCGCTCGACGAACCGGAGCTAGACTTAGTCATGGTCCCATCCGACGGCACTTTTATCCCGTACAAACCCACAAACGCAGAAATCCACTCCAACTCAAACAGACCCACCAACGGAAGAGTATTTGTCTTGAAATTCTCCTCAAGCTCGCAAAGACATCTATTCTGGCTGCAGTCGGCAAACCAACATCGGAACGGGAACCCGGCTTGGTTCAGCACAAGAGACCTAGAGCTAGGACGAATCGTAAATACGTTACTACAGGGTGAGGAAATCGATGTTCAGGGTGCCATCGCTAACCTCCCAAGGAACAATAATGGCGGCGGAGGTGATGGCGACGAGACAATGGAGGATGTCGAAGGGACAGACCACAGTACAACTCACCGAAGAGGCGGTAGCGGTGGCGCAGGACCAGATGCTACGGGCGGAGATATTCGGGAGGAAGGACAGGAGTCGAGGGAAGGTGGAGCGGACGGTGGAAGAGCGTAGGTGCAACTCTCTACATCTGTCATTGGAAACTCTACAACGGAGAAGAAAGAAAAAAAAAAAAAAAAGACAAGGATGGGAAACAAATGAGGAGTGATTCCTGTCTTGCACAATGCGATCCTACCATTTAAATAAAATTACACGCCAATTTCAGTGTTTTTTTTTGAGCATCAATTAAAATCACTACCCCATTTTTATTTACTTCCTTCCCTAGCTTCCTGTTTGGTACATGTTATTATTGGGCGCTGACGGCCATAAAAAGCGCACATGCCTCCTCAGATCCATCCTCAGTTGTCCAGAATCTCATCAGATCCCTCCAACATGGAAACCAAGGGTCTAGCTCAGAAGCAGCCGTAGATCCATTCACAACACTTGCAGATTTGCTCACCCCGTCATCAACGCTCCCCCTCATTGAGTCAGCGGACTTGCAAACAATCGACCACCTTCTCAACTTCCTCCCCACCTCCTTACTATTCCTTGCGCAAGACATCGATGAAATACTCAATGATGCCGAGACAGACTCCGAAGCCGCCAAAACCGCATTGCAAGTTCTAACTCTGGAACAAAAACGAGATATACTCAGGAGAGTTCTCCGATCCCCGCAATTTATGCAGAGTCTCGGCAGTCTTACGGTTGCACTGCGTGACGGCGGACTGCCTAGCATCAGCGATGCGCTAAATATCAAAGTGGAAAATGGCGGGTTTTTGCGGCATGGTGGCGTTCCTCTGGGAGGAGGCGATGCTGTTCGTGCGTTTTTGGATGGAGTCAGGAGGCATGTTGAAGAAATGGAGAATGGAGAAGACAAGATGGAGACAGATTAGACACATTAGATATGGAGACTACATCATCTCACAGCAGAATGCAGGAGCAATAGTGGAGTAGGAAAAGACATAATCATGGCAACGAAACGTTCCCTCCTGCACAAGGAGCTGAGAAGAGGATCTACTGGGTAATTAGCGTCCGATCAGGTTGAGATACCTCGTAACATTTGCTTCAGGCCCACTGCCCCTGGATAGAATATTTTAGGACAAATATTGTTTTTGCCTCAAACCCTAGTTTCCTGCGGACCAATGCCTGCGACATTTCATGGCAAAAACGTATCCCGAGCCGAGCATTCCAGTGGTTGTTGGATCACCAGAACAGCGGATGATACGGCAAGTTCCAATCTTTAACAGACCTTCGTTATCCCCGTCAGTTGCCTCCGCTTTCTTCTCGACACACCCCCGAGCATCCAAAGTCATCAATCAAAACATTAACTGCCTTCGCATCACTGGCCTTCCCAACTTCCATCGCAGAGATGTCTTGCATCGGCACGGCCTAGTGCATACCCCCCGGGAGAAGGAAAAATCATTTGTATTTTAAATTAAAATTCATACATAATAGGAGAATTCGCCCACAGTATTTTAATCTTTACATATTTTGAGCGGGAACCTACAGGCGGAATATAGTCATCCATAATATCTAAACTACAGATGAAGATTTTAGGGTTTACTTTCTAGAAGATGGCTAATTGTGATTTTCCCGTGAAAAATGGCCGTTTTTAATTTCCCATCTCACTCCAGACCTACAGAGGAACTTTCTCAAATTTATCTACAGGAAAGGTGCATATCCGGGCAGGAAAAAGGGGTTTTTGTAAAACGTTTCGCTTGATATCGCGCTCTGCCTGACCCCGCGCGTCATGTGATCTCGAAAGTTTACGCCCTTCTACAATCAAGCATTCTCCTCACCCCAACAAAGTATGTGTGTTCTCCAGAGCAAGTACTCTGTTCTCTAAGCGCTTCTAGCAATTACCGTAGACTTCAAGCTGTCCCTAGCTCAAGCAGATTATTTGATCAGCTGTGGCTGGATTCTCATAGAATCTGTCACACACTGCGGACTGGCAGAACCTAACTACCCTTTCAGCTACCACAATGGAGAGCCGCGTGCAAGAACTACTGGCTGAACTCGAGAAAGAGAGACGACTACGAGAAGAAGAGAGAACATTGCGGGAAATCGCTGAAACACAGTCAGAAAAGAAAAAACAACTCCGCCAGGAGGAGCAGTGATGACGATGTGAAGAAGCAGAAGCAAATTCAGAGCCAACAACATAGCCACAATTCCTTCACACCTGTCATGAGCTTTTTGCTCGCAATCCGCATTGTGACAGACCCTACAAGAACAACCCAGGGTGCTGTAACAAAGCCAGCTAATCAGAGGGTTCCTTCACACATCACATTATGGGACTCCTTCATTGACAAGCAGATGATGGTGTGGGAGAGACTCAATGATAATCCATCATTTTTGACTGAAAAACTGTTTCCATCAAAACATCAGCTTGAGTATGTCCACCAGCTCATCACCCTGATCACCTCAGAATGGGATCTCTGATACTATGAATGAGACACTGTGGGAAATCAGATTTACATCATAGTCAACTGAATCATGGAAAATGAGGTTCTCAGGAAGGCACTTGGGCTGCAAGGTTCTGTCATCTTTGAAAGCCATACAAATCTGGGGCATCTGCAGGAGAATCCACTGAGTGAAGGGGTTAGGCAAATGTCCATTAACTCTGCAACAGAAACCAGATCATCAGCCAAAGGAAAAGGCAATAGTCAGAAGAGAAAGAAGGAGCCTAATTTAGCTACAAGAGGGGCAGGCAGATCAATTCTGTATCTACTGACAGAAGGATGATGAACACATCCCTGCAATCACAATTGAATATAAGGCACCTCACAAACTCATGCAGGCTGACATGGCCACAGGACTGGCCAAAGAGATCCATCCCGCCCAGGATGTTATTGGTCAGGACTCTGATGATGTTGAATTCTGCTGTAGACAGCTTGTTGCCACAGTTACAACTCAGCTCTTCTCTTACATGGTCCAAAAAGGGGTGTGTTATGGCTACATATGCACTGGAGAAGCCTTCATCTTTGTTTACATCCCAGATGATTCATCTTCAGTTCAGTGTGCGCTTTGCAGACCAGAACTGGATGTCAAGACAATTGGTGAGGATGAGCTACAGTTGACAGTCACTGCACAGGTTCTGGCAGTCACAAATCAGAGCATTGACCTCCCCAGCAGTATCCCAGGAGTGGCGTGATGCTGCTGTGAGGCTTGACATTTGGCCAGTGGAGTATTCTGAAATACTGGAGCAGACTCCACCCACTGCTCGCCCAAAACATGCGTCCCCCCTGTACCATGGCAGACGACCCCATAACCTTTCTCCCTTCAGGATGATGCTGTGATATGGATGCCGGCCCTCTGAAGACAAACACCAATTGGTGAGCTCCCACTCACCATCTCCTCCCCCATCTCCTCTTACCCCATCGCAATCAGGCATTCGTGGTCGAACACAAAGGGGAGGGTCCGGATCAGCTGCAAAGTCGCGAGGCACGCCATGATGTGGGGAAGTCAGTAGCACCCAGCGGACGTCCAATGTCATTGAAACACCAGCCATCAAGACCCACCCATACTGCTCCCAGCAATGTCTCCTTGCGCTCAGAGATGGTAGCCCTCTTGATCCATTGTGCCCCAACTACCAGGATCATCAGAAGGGCCGGATCCAGATACATGGCTTCTGTGCTGGTATCCGGAAGCAGCTTGCCATGGATCGTGGCCCGGACACTGACTGCCGTCCTCTCTACAAGGCAGGAAGTTGTGGGGCACTGTTCAAAGTCCGGTTCTCATCGCATGGATACACTGTGGTCGCTAAGGGTGTGGAATACAAGCATGTGCATAAGCTCAAACATGAAAAGCAGATCTATGATGAGCTCCGAGATCTCCAGGGTGAATGTATTCCAGTTTGTCTGGGTGTCATCCAACTGGCATTGAAGTATCCCTATTACCATGATGGCGGAATCTACACCCACATGTTATTTTTGAGCTGGTTTGAGCTGGGCGGGAGAAGCAATCCAAAAAGCTAGCACACTCAGCCATACCACAGGTGTGTCCTCCATGGTACACTGTGCCCTCCAAGCCATTCACTCAAAAGGAGTTCTCCATGGCGACGCGGAGCCGCGAAATATACTTTGGAACCCAACCTGCCAACGTGCGATGTTAGTTGATATTGAACGAGCGACTATACGGAGTGCTCTGTCAGATGTGTCTGCTAACTCAGCAAGAGAGAAGAGGAGACTGATGAAGACTTGTTTCAGCAAAGAGCTCCAACAAATCACGAGCGTGTTTGAGGACAATGTCGCATAGCATGGGACACTTCTAGTTCCAGTAATACCCCCTTGGTACATTGCGGGCCCATCTGGTTGCTCATTTGTGGCCCATTTTTTTAACAAGTTTTCGGGTTGATTGTTCGTTTATTATCTCTTTCATGGACGGTTCTCCACCTTCCTCTTAGTTCTGGATAGTATAATTGAGATTCTCTACATTCATAACAGAGCTCTGCCATGATTTCTGGGTCGTGGGCTGCATTCTTAGTTGCGGATGAGGCCCAATCTGCAAGTTGGCATCCCGGTGACACATACCCATATATTAAGGACGGGCGCCACCTATATTTAGCTCTCCCCCAGCCAATATATAGAACTTGACTCAGTTTCGCCGCGATGAGCCAAAACAACAGCAACATTGCTATCACCAAGGCTCCTCTTCGCTCTAAAAAGAAGAGAGCCCGCGCAATCTCCTCTGCTCCGCTAAAACCCCCGGACGACCCCCCCCAGCCCCAAAACACCATGTCCCAGGACGCGTCGGACACTACAACAGCCACCACAGCTCAACTACATCAAATCAATATCGACTTCAATCCCCGCCCGGCCCTCTCACCAGGAGGAGAATCCATCGAGAATGTGACCGACTGCACTCAAGCAGTCCCGCTAACCGCGAAGAACTCCTCTTCCACAGCGAATTATAAGCTCAATGCTCTGCTGAGTCATGCCAACAACTCCTCCTCTGCAGAGCTAGCTGCAGTGCTTGAGCTATGCAATAAGCTATCTGCGGTACTGGACCCGATACTCTGCACTTATGAGAACTCTCTACCACGCCAGACTGCCGTACTAAGGCAAGCCATGGGACACGGCATAGCCAAAGCCATTAAAGGCCTCACCGCCGAATCAAAGCCTACGTTGACGTATGCTACCGCCGCGACAGCTAAGGCAATCCCCTCAAACAATCCCCCCCAGGCCGTTCCAGCAACGGGACAACCTCACAAGAAGCAGGTACAGCGGGCCAACCGCCCCCTGCACCAAGGACAGGAAGACAAACGAGTCATGATTAGGCTACCTGCAGCACACGCTGCTCGTGACCTAGACCCCCAAGCTATTCGTGAACAAGTACGCGCCATGATCCCTGATCCGACCTGGATCACTGATGTATGGCACTGCCCATCGGGAATCACCGTGGCTGCCCCCTCCCCAGCGAAGGCAGCCTCCATTCTTGAACATGCAGATAAGCTGAAAGCTGCTGTAGGTGACTGTCTTATTGAGCGACAGGAATCCTGGACCACCTTTGTAGTCGGTCCAATCAAGAAGTCGACACACAGCTTCGAAGGACAGAATATCACTCTGATTCCAGTGTCAGAAGAGATGCTTCTTTCTGAGATTCGAGGCGCCGCCCACCAGGCTCCAATCACCCGTTGTCACTGGACAAAGAAGTCCATGGACCCCAATCTGCATGAAGGGTACGCCTGGGTTGGAGTACGAACCTCTGGAGCGCACCTCTTTCCAAACAAACTCCGCCTTTTCAGTCGCCCGGTGATGGTTAACAAAATCAAGAAATCGCCAAAGATCCCAATTTGCACAAGATGTCACGGCTTCCACACAGAAAGAAACTGTGCGTGACCCCTACGTTGCGAGAAGTGCAGCAGTCCCGCACACTCAGGCGGATGTCAAACACCAGCTCGCTGCTGCAACTGCCTTGGCCCCCATCCCACTCTCAGCACTGACTGTCCAGCGAGGCCCAAAATAGTCTCTGGACGTATAGAACACATCTCCCGCCGTCAGCTACACTCAATACGCGAAGCTGGCAGAAGAGCATTCATCTCAGCTCATCAAACTTCAGCGGAGAAGAGCAACCCAGAGCTAAACTCTAGGGACTCCACCTCATCCCCTCTCTCAGCTCCGCTGACACCAGTCACTAGCTCCCAGAGCAACCAGACAGACTCAATGACCTGCTCTCAAACAGGCACCAAGATCACACCAAGTCTGAACCTCCACTAATGAAGAGCAGTCACAGCCCTCCTCACAAATCTACACTCACTGTATATCAAGCCAATGTAGGAAGACAGTCAAGCTCCCACGACATCGCTCTCTCACTAGCAGACGAAAGAGCCTGCGACATTGTGGCCATTCAGGAACCCTGGATAGCTACGGACCTCTCCACCCGCCTCTCCAAAAGCCATCCCTCATACAAACGCTTCACCCCGCTCTCCTCCAACTGGACCAAGAGGCCCAGAGTACTGCTCTATGTCAGAAATGGAAGGGCCCTTGCGCCAACTCAACCTATAGCAGATATCTCAAGGGATGTTGTCTGTGTCTCAGTTAAGATCTCTAACTCCAAAAGGGCTAATATCTACAACATATACAACGCCCCATCTGGCGCCACAGATGCAGGTCAAGGCCTTCAAGACCTCCTCTCTCTTACACACACCACAGAGACCATCCCCTGGATGGCATTAGGAGACTTTAATATTAGACACACAGCATGGGACTCTACAACTGATAGGCATCCTCAAGCAGGAGAGAATCTGTATAACTGGGCAATCTCTCTGGAACTCCAGCTTCTCAACCCGGCTGAATCCCCTACACATAGACAAGGAGGCACACTTGACCTTGTCTTCTGTGCTGCCAACTCAGCTATCTGTCATATTGCTCCTGAACTGCACTGCACCTCAGATCATGAAACTCTTATCACAACAGTTCAATTATCACAGACTCAGACTCAATTGGTTAAGGAGAAGAAGCTTAGCCTCGCGACCTGCGATGCTGATCGCTTCTTGCAACTACTCACTCCCTTCTCCTCACCGGTCTATGAGGACGTGAATGAGGAAGCGGCGGACATCGTGAAATCTCTCCAACTGGCTCTACAAGGCTCCTGCTCTCTCGCCCCAGGACCCAAGAGTCATCATGCCCCATGGTGGACCCCAGCAGTCAAGATAGCCAGAAGAGTATATCATGCAGCACGTAGACACGGCCCTTGTCAATCAGAACAAGTGGCATTCCGGGCGGAAATTAGAAAAGCTAAGAGAGCATGGAATCGCCAGCGAATTGAGGAGGCTTCCTCCTTATCAGATGTCTACAAGATTGTCAAATGGCATAAATACCAACCTCAAGACCCCACTCCTCCTTTACGACATCCCGACGGACACCTAGAACAATCTTGTGCTGGCAAATCTTCTCTACTGCGCGAGACACTTCTGGCCAGACATCTTGACGCGGAAGATATCCCAGAGCATACACCAACAATCCCATGCAGAGAGATACCCTGGATGCCCCTTACAGAGCAGGAAGTCTACAGAGCCACCTGCCAGACACTTAGCACATCTCCTGGCCTGGATGGCATTACAGCCAAGGTTCTTCAAAAGGCATGGCCAGTGATAGGCAATCGAATTGTTCTACTCTTTCAACACTGTATAGATCAAGGAATCCACCCCCAGAGCTTCAAGAAGGCTGAGGTGGTGATTATTCCAAAGTCAGGGAAAAGAGATTACTCTCTACCAAAGTCTTACCGCCCAATCGCACTGCTATCCTGCCTCGGCAAAGGGCTGGAGCGTCTGATAGCTAGACGAATGTCCCATCTCGCTCTCCATCATCACATTCTAGCAGAAGATCAGTGTAGTGCTGTTCAACAGAGGTCTGCAGTAGACCTCACCACTGCACTAGCCTGTGACGTACAAGGGGCATGGGACAAACACCTTCTGGCCGGCATGATCACCCTAGATGTCAAAGGGGCCTTCGACGGAGTCCTTCGAGGCCGGCTTCTAAGACGTCTACAGGAACAGGGCTGGCCGGCAGTTCTGATAAAGTGGGTAGCGTCTTTCCTCGATCAACGACTAGCTTTGATTCGACTAGACGGCGTTCAATCGAAGGTGTTTCAGATTCTCTGTGGCCTTCCACAGGGATCCCCCGTCTCACCAATTCTCTTTCTGCTCTACGTAGAACCCCTCCTCCAGCTTACCAAAGGCCGGTTTGGGTACGCAGACGACATTGCAATCCTGGAGACTGGAAGCTCCCTTGAGCGGGTAGGAAGTCAGCTTCAGAATTCTCTCAACCACACCCTGGAATGGGGTATCGACAATGGAATCTCATTTGACCCAGCCAAGACGGAGCTTCAATACTTTCATAAAAAGATCAAGTACTCGGAGCCCTCCATCTCCTTTAATGAACAGACAATTTCCCCCAATAACTACACCAGATGGCTAGGGGTTTTCTTTGACAGAAAGTTACTCTTCAGAGAACATATTCGCCTTGCGTGCACTCGAGCCAGAATTGTTACAGGACACGTTAAATCACTAAATGGAGCCTCATTCGGAAATCAAACACATTTGCTCAGACAAGCAACTCAAAGCTGTGCCTTCAGCACTCTGTTTTATGGAGCTGAGACCTGGTTCTCGAAGCGAACCTCTCAGGCAGCCATTGGCAAGATTCAGGTAGCCTTCAACAACGCTGCTCGAGCCATTCTACCTGTCTTTGCCACAACGCCTACCCCTGTTCTCCTACGCGAATCAAGCTGGGGCCCAGCCAAAGCCTGGCTAGAAAGAATACATGACCGACTAGCCGTTCGCGTAGCTGCAGCCGACCCGTCACATCCCCTACGCCGAAGATGGTACACCTCACGTTTTAAATGGATTAGACGAAACATTAAAACGACGGCCATCACACCCGGCTCAGGGTCCTTGCCTCCTTGGGACAATCCTGGCATACCAAATAGAGAGCAAAAGGCACTAGAAATTGGGGCTGTGGGACAAGCTGCAGGACCAGCAGCTTTCCAAAACTGGCTTCAGAAAGCTGTATCCCCCCTCGATCTCATCACATATACTGATGGCTCCAAAGACAGCCAAGGAGTTTCAGGCGGAGGCTACTGTCTATACCGAGGAACAAATCAATCTCTGGAGCTTGGTAAGCTGCCTCTGGGCCGCACCGCCGAGGTCTTTGATGCCGAAGTGCTTGCAGCAGTTGCCGGTCTCGAGGCAGCACTACGGAACCCCTTCTCTATGTTCGCACGGCACATTATAGTGGCTCTAGACAATGAAGAGGCTGCAATAAGACTCCACACAGACACGCCCACACGAACATCTTTTCTCGCCTTTGCTAAGTTCAACGAACTCCGCAGGTCCTGGACAAAACAGGGCCCAGGTCCAGCCGGCCCGAGACGGGTCTATGTTCGATGGTGCCCCGGCCACGCTGGGATTCCAGGCAATGATGCCGCAGATGCTGCGGCCAAGTCAGCCTGCACAATGGAATGCACTCGCCGCACTCTGACCCTGGCGCGGGCCAAATCCTATGCTAAAGAACGCTTCAATGCCTCACTGCAACAATACTGGAGCTCCAATAGCACATCACAATACAAGGACCTCAATATCCCAATGCCAAAAGGACCCTCCCCTGAGCTCACTCTCCCCCGAAGGAACCTAGGCCACCTGCTGGCAGCTAGAACAGGCCACGGTGACTTTGCAGCCTATCATCACAGATGGGCACATGACGACGCACTCCTCACCTGCTCTTGCGGCCGAGATAAGACCCCCGAGCACTTCTTCTTTTGCTGGAAAGGCCGGAACATTGAATGAATTAAAACCCCTGAAGCATGCCGAGGACCAAAGGAAGCAATTGACTGGCTTCTCAGCACAGTAAGAGGAGCTACGACCTTCTCTACCTGGTGCACTAATACCCGCTTCTTCATCGACATCCAACGCCGCTACTAGAACCTGTTCAACATCCGACTTCTCCCTCCCCCTCTCTCTTTCCTATGCTCCTTATATACATTTCTCATCACCCCTACACACCACCCTAGAAGCCCTTGGCTTCCTCAGTCCCGTAATCTTCGGCTACTACGCCATTCAGAACCTCCAGGACGGGGGCTACTCTGTACATAGACTCTCAAGAGGGCTTCGGCCGACTAGACATGTCAGGCAGCAGACTAGCTGCTGCGCTGGCACGCCTGATACCCTTAGGGAGGTGCTGTGGCCGCGACGGCAGACTATTCTTAGTCAGCTGATCACGTGCCTCCAGGCGTTAAATAAGTAATAATAATAATAATAATATTTAGCTCTCCCCCAGGTAGTTCTTGATCATTCATCGAAAGCAAACCCTTTTAGGCAAGACGAATTATCACGTGGTGTACACTATTCGGCGTCGAAATTATGCACGTAGCCGCTTTTGGCGCCATATTTTACATGGGGGAATTACAGTATGTGGAATGCTGCCACCCGTGGATTTCTTAGAATATTAATAAACGAGCTAGGGAGTAAGATAAGGAGATCCTTAACGTCAGCGCGCTTACAGAGATGGTGGTGGACAGTGGTGGTGATGGTGATGGCGGTGGAGATGATTATTCTGGAATTGACCTTACATTCGACGAGATCATAGACGCCGACATCATTCCGACCCAGTGTCCAGGCACCCAATGTATCTGCCTTGGAGATGACCAGCTTCCGCTCTCCGGGCGCATCAATTCCTTTCTTTTCACGTCCCGATCAATCTCCGAAGACAACATCCAAAATAGCCACTTCTCGATCCCAACGCTCCTCTGTGGTTGCACTCATCCGACTTAAAGAGGTTCTAGATGGTGTGCAAGACTTTCAGGGGCACGCACTTCAAATTCACATTTGAAGAGTACGTGATCTGAACGTTCCCATCCAGGTCATTATGTATCGTTGTGTATGCTGCCAAGGTCGACTGTTCTACCGCTATATGGCGGCTCTAATCTGCTTAAAGCTTGGAAGATAGAGATCACGTGCTGCAATGCCAGGGAGCAACAAGCTCGGGATTAAGATGAAATATGGCCAAAATTCAATGATACCACTCACTGGTTTTCACACAACAAAGAAATTTGCTCTTTGCTCCTGCGCTGCATATGAGCAGATGTTGTCATATAGGCCAGCCTGAGCTCTTTTGCCTTGTTAACATGCATGCTATTAATTACATGCATGCGCAGTTTTGGCACCAGCGCGCGCCTCATTGATGACCTGGGAACACAATGCAAAGAGGTAGAAGAAATCAAGGAGTGAGCTTCCACATCCTGACAGCCCGTGATTTCTGTTCCTTTTCAATGCTTCTTAACGGCTTATTTAAAGAAGGGTGCAGCCTTATCTTATAGACAATGTTCCGGCCCCTTTCACACATACATACTTTACAGCATATCTCTTTCCTTTCTGCCAGAGCTATCCTCGAGTCTCAGAGGTCTAGAGAGATATCTCTCTCCCTTCCCCCATGATTCTCGCGAGAATGTGGACAAACGTCGAAGCAGATGAAAAACCCGGTCCCAGAGCGCACAGCCAGACCAGGAGCTCACCCTGTGAGGCCACCAGTCGAAAAAGGATCAGAAACGGTACAGCGCATCACGGAAGGGCCTGCAGTTCCAGGCTCAGGCCGGGAACGACGCAATGGCGACACCAGCGCCGTCGGCGGTTGCTGGCGAACCAATAAGCCGTGTGGAAAGGAGAAAACGGCGAGAGGTGGCGCCATCGGGACCCCAGGGGAAGGTTCTGGTTTTGGGGGTGGGGAAGTGAGAAGGGAAAAAGGAAGAAGGAGAAGGTGGAAGAAAGAGGGAGCCGGACGAGGTTTATATAGGTTGTTGATAGCTTTGATCGCCAACTGGCGCGGCGAGGAAGGAGGCCAAACCCGAACGGGCGACGCCAGTCCGGATTGGGAGGGGGCAAGCGGAGCAACGGCCGGATAAATTTACTTTAATTAATTAGTAATAGCTTATTTTCTTTATAGAAAACTTTAATCAACAACTGCGTATTATTATCAAAAAAGATAATAAATTAAAATAAAAATTAAATAAGTAACATTTTATGTTGCTGAGAATATCTGATTTAATAAATTAAATATAAATATTTAATTAATTAAGGTGATAATTTATATAATTATTTTTAAAAATATTTTCTCAGTATTTAAATAACTATGATGCCAAGACTTCTTATACTAACTCCTTGTCCTCATACTGCTTACTAAAGCACTTCATGAGAAATCAGCGCTAGGGTCAGAACTTTAGAACTAGCACTTCATGGAGGAATCAGATTACTGCATCACTATTTTCTCATTTTCATGGAAGATTGAGAGTAAACCTGTGTCACTCATTCATGTATATAAACACTCTGAATCTCTCAAAATTCTTTCTAGAGATTTAATAATTAGTTACCATTCAATTCTATATCTATATTTTATCCATCACTATTTTTCTTTTTCATAGCACTAATAGCATCTACACTTCTACTCTCTCATAATACTAGTTATAGTGCTTTTCACATCTTCTTTTGACACTTAGCTCATTCACATTGAGTGTCTTCATAATAACTATAACAGTCACTAGAAAGTACTTAACATGAAAAAGTAAAAACTGTAGATTTAAATTTTATAAAATGTATTTAAAATTATTTTATATTATTTTATTTTTATCAGATAATATTTAATTAATAACTTTAATATTATATTATTTAAACTAGTTATAAATTAAAAATTATATATTATAAATATTAAAATTAATTATTCTTTAATATTTTTTATAAAGTTAATATATATATTTAATTTTATATTTATAATTTATTATAATTATTAATTATTTATTATTATAAAATAATAATACTTTTATTAAAATATAATATAATTATTATTTTTAAAAGTTATATAATATTATTAAATTTTTATAATATTTATATATTTTTTAATTAAAATATTTAATATTTAATATTTTAACTATTGATTATATAGATTTAAAAAATTATAATATTTTAAAATATAAACTTTTTTTATAAATATTATTATTATTATTATTATTATTATTTATTAATAAAATATAAATAAATTAATTATAATTATTATAATTTTATTATTTATATTTAATATTTATAATAAAATAAATATTATAAAAATACTTATAAAAATAATAATAAATAATTTATAATTATAATTATAATTTTTTATAATTTTTTTTATTTTAATTAAGTAAATTTTTATTTTCAATTATAAAAATTTTAAAAACTTTTAATAATCTTTATAATTATTTTTATTTACATTAAAATAGAAAATGATTCTCTTTTTAAATATAGATTGTAATAAAATTTCTTTTAATATATTGAAAATAAAACAATCTTTATAAAAATAACAGTTTATCTTTTTTTATTCTTTGAAATTGAGCTTATTTAGCATTTAATGCAGTAACTAACTAGTTAACTATTCTTTTGGGTCAAAGTACCAAAAACATGTGCGTGCTGAGCTATATTAATCTCTCGTATTATAGCTTACCTGGTCTATTTATGCTTGATCACGTGTAGTGGGGGGTCGCTCGGGGCAACGGCTAATCCCTGTACGCTCAATGGATAATGTCGTCGAGCAGGTATAGGTTTAGACGAGGAAGTGAGAACCATGGAACTGTAAAGATTCAATATCAAGCAAATTAAGAGACTTTGTTGAGTCTCAACGGCAGTGAATTACAGATAATAACAAGTGTGTCAATCTTTCGCAACCTGTGGACTTGACTGTGAACTGTTCGATGCTGAGGCCTGACACTTTTCAGAAACAGAGTCGAAGCTGGGGGGTTTGTCGAGTTTTAAAGGAATAAGGAGCGAGACACGTCAGCCTCATCTATAACTTACCAGCTTACCGTAATGAGAAGGATTCTATGCCGAGCCAAACGATCAATACTGCCTGTACACGTGCTGTAATTGCTTACCGTACCAGTCAGTACCGTATCTATTACCTGTTCGCAACAAATCGCTCAGCTCCGTATAAAAAACCGTTGCTAAATTACAGTGCTCCAGAGTATCCTGCTACCACCCCCGATGCTCATGATCATTCTCCTGCTCATAGACATCGAATCCAGAAGATTAGCAGAACAACGTTAATGATTCTCCTTATCAGAATCCCATCGTATTGTTATTCTGGAGTCAAAACGACCTCCTGTTCGCCGGAAGGCAGGTCACTCAAGAACCTCATCTCTAATACCACGTTAATTAATCGCCAAACGACATCTTCAAACCCCACCTCAACATTAGACGCCAACGGCCGGGCATTATTTATTATCTGTTCCCAGAAGAAGTTGTGACGCTGCCCATTCGTGTGCAGAACTCGGTGGAGACATACAGTTGGCAATATTTTAGTTCCGAGCCGGAACGGTTTGGGTGGACTCCATGTTGTTACATACATCCTTTCTATACTGAGATGTGTGCTCTTCGATAGCCAACGCCTTCCGAGATGGCGTCGCCAAACAGCAACCACTATGACACGGGGAACTACGACACCGGGCCCCCTCCGATTAACCAGTTCATCCCGCTCCAAGACCTCTCGAGACCTCCGGATACCGCAAACCCAGATGTAACAGGGCGACAATGCAGTAAACCAAGCAGCAGTAGCGGTGCTGGGGGACGCGAGGGATATCCAGTGCGAAGACCTTCATTTATTGGTCGCACTGGCATTGGGAGGAGATATGAGCGGATAGCGGAAGATTCCCCAAGCCCGCACGAGCGGAGTAGGATAGAAAATTTCCAGAATATCAGCTTGACTCCGCGACCCAATTCTCCGGAATCTCACGCGGAGGAAGATGGGCCAGTCGACCCTGAGACCCGTCGTAATTTTCAAGAAGCTATAGGGTCTGTTGGATTGAGCTTCGATCCTTCGCAGTTCTCTAGTCGTAATCCCGGCCAGGAACGCCCTTTCCAAGCTCATGTGAGGGATTCAGATGATCTGACTCGCTTCCCCTATGCGAACCAGCAGACTTCAAATGATGAAGAAACCTACATGCCCCCAACCGATACACCGGAGAATGACACGACCCCTCTCACGGACCGGAGATATCTGCAACCCATGGATGGTGCCTCTATTTCGCATGGCCAACGACACAACAGACGGAGTGGCAGCGTGCAATTTGTGGAGGGTGCGACGGTGGCTGGGTCGCATCTAGGGGATGATTTACCACACTTGGAAGAAGGGAATACTAGGTCGCGGAGCGGGTCTCGCAGTTTACGGCCATACCGCAGCCGGTCACGGCAAATATCGCCCGCTACTCCAAATTCAGCATTATCAAGAGCTGGCTCGATGGTGCGAAAGATGTCGCAACGTGTGGTCAACATAAGCAATGAACCGGAGATTGTTGAACAAACCCTTCGGCGCAAATCGTCGATCAAGCAAGCCCGCCTCGAGGCACCGCCCTCGCTCCCCGCAATGACAGAATATGCTCATGATATGTCAACCCCTGGTTTGGAAGATGGATATCCGCCGGAAAAAAGGCCGTCGCTTTTTTCCAAAATTCGAGATCTGGATGCCCATCAGACTGAGGAAAACCCACTGCGGGGCAACTCGCTTGGTATATTTAGTCCGCAAAGTAAACTGCGGCGAGCCTTGTTGGAGATTTTAATCCACCCTGCAACGGAACCGATAATACTCGTTCTCATCATTGTCCAGACGGTACTCCTAGCCATTGAATCTTCGATATACAAAGGTAAACGAGGAAGTCATTGGGGCACCCCAGCTTTCGACTATGCGTTTCTTGCTCTCTTCATCATCTATACACTCGAAATTGGGGCGAGGATAATAGTATCCGGACTTATTCTCAATCCCGGCGAGTATAGTACTCTAGATCGATCGCTTGGTTTAAGAAAAGCCTTAATTGCAAAAGGAAAGGATCTTTTGATGCCCCAGCGGCAGCTTTCCACAAGAAAGCCCCCGGGCCCAAGCGATCCTCAAGTATCAGTTCTAAGGTCGTTCACGGGGATGCAAAATGCTTCAGACCCGTCGGGTGACGCTGGCTCTCTGCAACGATTTCGACTTGCTCGCCGCGCTTTCCTCCGCCATTCTTTTACTCGGATTGACTTTCTTGCAGTTGTATCATACTGGATATCTTTCGTCCTGTCGAACCTATCTTTTGAGTCGCAGCATCATCTTTATGTTTTTCGGATGCTCAGCTGCCTTCGAATTTTGAGACTTTTGGGACTCACCAGTGGTACCTCGGTCGGTTTTCCCTTCATCTCCTCCAGGTGTCTCTATTGTGGTCCGGAATGTAAGCTAACTTTCGAATTTAGGTGATTTTCCGAAGTTTGAAGAAAGCTGCACCTTTGCTAGTCCATGTAGCTTTTCTAATTAGTTTTTTCTGGCTCTTGTTTGCAATTGTAGGCGTCCAAAGTTTTAAGTCCAGTTTGCGCCGGACTTGCGTCTGGATCGATCCTGATGGGCAGAACAATTTCACACTGAACGACGCCCCTGATAAAATTCAATTCTGTGGAGGATACCACGAACTTGGGACTGGCGCAGAAAAGCCCTGGGTTACGCCAGATGGAACTCCTGGCTCTGGTCCCGCGAAGGGCTACCTGTGTCCTGAGGGTTCTCTATGTGTACAGGGTAGTAACCCGTATGGGGGAACCATCAGCTTCGACAATGTAGCACATTCCCTTCAACTCGTTTTCGTGGTCATGAGCTCAAACACCTTTACTGACATACTTTACTACACCACTGATACTGACTACCTTGCCGCCGCTTTATTTTTTGTCTTTGGATTCATAGTCCTAAGTTTGTGGCTTGTCAACTTGCTAGTTGCCGTAATCACGTCCTCGTTCCAGGTGATTCGAGAAGAAAGCAAGCGAAGCGCTTTCACCAGCGAGAAGATTGATGAAAGGGAAATCGAGGATGCAGCTCCTCGAAAACTTCGCGGTTTGAAACTTCTTTACGCCAGAACTTACTGGGTATGGATTGCTGTGGTTGGTTTTGGACTCGTGGTGCAATGCCTTAGAAGCTCCACCATGGGCCCTAGTCGGGCAAAAATTATCGATTCTACTGAAGTCGTGGTCACAATTATCCTGGCTATCGAAATCTGCCTTCGATTTGCGTCCGACTGGAGAAACTTCTTTAAAAACGGTCATAACTGGGTCGACCTGAGCCTTGCAATCATTACTTCCATTATTTTAATATCGCCCATACGAGACTCCCCTCGGGTGTATGCAGCGCTCTCAATTTTTCAGGTGTTACGTATATACCGCATCGTTCTCGCATTCTCCGTGACAAGCGATTTGACTAAAATTGTTTTCAAAAACGCAGTTGGCTTTCTCAATCTAATCGTTTTCGTGTTTCTTATTACGTTTTTGGCGTCAATATTCGCTGTCCAGTTGTTCCGGGGCCAGATGCCTAGTGACAGCGATGCAGAGATTACGTTTTTCGACATCTATAACTCCTTTCTGGGAATGTATCAAATACTCTCCAGTGAAAACTGGACAGCGATTTTATATTCTGCAGTTCAGTCCACTTATCCGTGGGATACGGCTTGGATCACGGCTATATTCCTCATTATGTGGTTCGTTCTAGCTAATTTTGTCGTCCTGAACATGTTCATTGCTGTTATCCAGGAGAGTTTCGACGTGTCAGAGGATGAGAAGCGAATTCAACAGGTGAAGGCGTTTTTACAACAGAAGCAATTGAGTGGCTCATCTCAAGGAAATCTTTCGCTGTCAACCATTTTTAGACTCGGTCGCAGTTCTCAACGGTATCGGGACCCGCTCGATCATGGACCTGCAGCGCTCGAAATGCTTCTCAAGGATGCTGTTGTCAATGAGTTTCTGGATGAGCAACCACGATCACCACCCACAGATACCCCACATGTGGAGAGCCCATCCGACCATACTCAACATGGTAACGCCTTTACGAACATGTTCAGTTCGATCACAAACCGAATTATGGACCGAGAACCTAATCCATTTTATTCAAAATTGAAATTTTCAAAGGTCTATGACGATTCGGACCCGACTGCGATGGCTAAGGAGGTTTTATCTGCTTCTGAACAGCGGAAGCGGGCTCAGCGGCAGTACCTTCAAAAATACCCTAGCTACAATGTCTCATTGTATATCTTTAAACCCACACATCCTTTACGACGATTCTGCCAACGTATCGTTGGACCAGGTCGAGGGAGCAGTCGTATCGAGGGAGTTGATCCATACAAACCGGTATGGTACACCTTTTCAGCATTCATCTATGCTGCCATTGTTACCATGGTTTTGATTGCCTGTATTGCAACCCCTCTCTATCAGCGTACTTTCCTCGAGACCCACAAACCTGGTATTAGTAACTGGTTCGTCTGGACGGATATAGCTTTCGCAATTCTTTTCACTATCGAAGCAGTGATCAAAGTCATTGCAGATGGCTTCTTTTGGACGCCAAACGCATATTTCCGTGGCTCATGGGGTTTCATTGATGGGATTGTGCTAATTACTCTTTGGGTTAATGTTGTATCGGCAATATTTAACGCTACAGGTGCATCGCGTGTTGTGGGCGCATTCAAAGCTCTGAGAGCTTTGAGATTGCTTAATGTCAGTGACAGTGCAAGAGAAACTTTCCACGCTGTAATAATCTTAGGTGGATGGAAAGTTATATCTGTAAGTACTGTTTCTTCACCTTTCTCGTCTTTTTGTTCAAAGCTGATTAAGCGGTATCTAGGCTGCATTTGTCTCCATGAGTTTCCTTGTCCCCTTCGCTATTTATGGCTTAAATCTTTTCAACGGGATGTTGAGATCATGCAACGATAATGACTTCGGGTACACCTCACTTGACAACTGTGTCGGCGAATATATGAGCACCCCATACGCATGGGATGTATTGGCTCCCCGTGTGGTCTCGAATCCGTACTACAGCTTTGATAACTTTGGCGAATCGCTCTTCATTCTTTTTCAGATTGTGTCCCAGGAAGGCTGGACAGGCGTTTTGTGGAACGCAATGTCGATAAATGGAGTAAATCAGCAACCCGTTCCACTCGCATCTCAAGAAAACGGCCTTTTCTTCGTCGTGTTCAATTTGCTTGGAGCGGTCTTCGTGTTAACGCTGTTTGTTTCCGTCTTCATGCGAAACTACACCGAACAAACGGGGGTGGCATTTTTGACTGTAGAGCAACGGTCTTGGCTCGAACTTCGCAAGCATCTGCGACAGATATCTCCTTCCAAACGGTCCGTTGACAAGGATAGCAAGAAGCTCAAAGCATGGTGCTACAGAATTGCAATTAAAAAGCATGGGCGCTGGTCAAGGTTCATCAATGGACTTCTCCTATTTCATTTACTGCTTCTAGTACTTGAATTTTACCCTGAATCTAGTTGGTGGGACAGGACTCGAGGTAAGAATTCCTTCTTCTAACTCCAACACTATGCAGAATGCGCCAGTTCACATCCAACGTAGATGTTCTTTTCTTGATTTTGACGTTATTCTATATCGCCAACATCCTCATTCGTGTTATCGGCTTGACATGGCAACGATTCCGTAGGAGTTCATGGGACTTGTACTCGATCATTTCAGTATCCGGAACATTTTTCACCACAGTGCTTTCCGTTATCCGATATAACAATATCGTCTTTGCCCGACTCCATAAACTCTTTCTTGTCTCTATCGTGCTTCTACTAATCCCTCGGAATAATCAACTCGATCAACTATTCAAAACCGCAGCTGCTAGCCTGCCAGCCATCGGTAATCTTCTAGCTACTTGGTTTGTCCTCTTCCTGGTTTACGCTATTGCTCTCACGCAGATATTCGGCCTTACAAAGTTTGGGGGCGGGGAAACCGGCAATATTAATTTCAGGGACGTCCCAAGGGCCCTCATTCTTCTTTTCCGCACCAGTTGCGGAGAGGGTTGGAATGAGATCATGGAAGATTTCGCCACGATGGTGCCACCTTACTGCACAGCTGAGAACCACATCTTTCAGAGTGACTGCGGCAGTGCTGGCTGGGCCCGCACACTCTTTATCTCCTGGAACATCGTCAGCATGTACATCTTCGTGTCTCTCTTCGTTTCACTCATTTTCGAAAGTTTTTCGTATGTTTATCAACGAAGCAGTGGGTTGTATGCCATCAGTAGAGAGGAGATCCGTCGCTTCAAGCAAGCCTGGGCTACTTATGACCCTGATGGAACTGGATATATTTCCAAAGAGGTGTTTCCGAGGCTATTAGGGGTAAGTCAACACATACAGCAACAATTTCACTATATTTTATGAATGATATTCTAATATGACATCAGGAACTGTCTGGAATATTTGAAATGCGTATCTACGACGGTGACTTTACGGTTGGTCGTATCTTGGAAGACTGCAAAGTTCATCGCAGAGAATCAAACCTGGCACCATATGTCCGAGCTGTGGATGGAATCGATTTGGACAAGCTGCAAAGGAGGATTAATCGCATCCCTGTGCAGCAAATCCGCAGGAAACGGGCTCGAATGAATGCCTTCTATGAAGAAGTGCTTGTCTCAGCAGACCCCGAGAAAGGCATATCCTTCACTTCTTGTCTCATGATTCTTGCTCATTATAATGTGATCACTGATAGCAAGAGTTTAAGGTAAGTCAAGACATCCTATCACTTCTCTTAGCAACATTCTTTTTCTGGACTGTTCTAATATATTATTTCCCTTTCAGACTCGAAGAATTCCTTCGTCGTCGAGCTCGTCTGCAGCGAGTCGAGGAGGCTGTCCGGCGAAGCGTTGTCATTGGCTTTTTCGACACGCTATACTGGTCTCGAAAGTTCCGCCGCCGATTTGAACCTCATGATGCTTCCCGCCTAGCTTCTGTGCCTCAATTCGCTGTTCCAGAAATCTACGTTGACGATGCAGAGCATGAAGAACAGCACCCGTGCCAGCAGCAACAGCTATCACAACAGCAACTACAGCAACGACAACATAGCCCCTCCCAGCACTCAGATTCTTCTTCTTTCCCCTCTCCCATGTTATCACCCGATGCCCTGGGTCGTCCACCCGGCACCCCACCCGGCGGCGGACAACTACGAAACCTCCCACCCCTTGACACAAACATATCGCAAGGGTCAAGAAGCTCCAGGTCGCCAACACGTGCTGGCGAGTGGGGAAATAGAAGCCCGTCACTGTCTCCGCGTCAAAGCCGTATCGTTAGAGGGTTCTATAGTTCCGACCCGCCTAGTCCGGAGGATATAGCGAACCATCGACGGCATGAAAGCTCCGTCAGTTTGCAGGAGGTGGTGGAGTCGCTGGACAATTCTGCCTGGGGCGAAAGTATCCGACGAAGTTTCACGCTGCGTTGACCGCAAGGGAGAGAATAATCATACTGGAAATGACACCTTCCATATATCATAGTCTATCAATCATTCTTCCGATGGACGTCAACTTTTTCCTTACCCTGTACTTCACTATCCTCTTCTCCCTCTTCCTTCCCCCATTTTCTCATGCATATACTGGGTATATGCTTTATATACCCTTTCCCATCTCCGTGCATTTTCCCTTTTTCGCAATTTTTTTTGGAGCTTATAAATAGCAGACGTAAAAAGATACCATATACATGTATGCAGCAGGGCTTTACTAAAGAACTTATGCAGATCACGATATACATGACAGGTTGAGAGGTGGTGGACAGGTGGCAGTCGTCAATGTATTGAATATGAGCACATATCAGTCAGGCTGGCCTTTTCTTAATTCCCTCTTTAATCCCCCTTTATGTTTCTCGGTACGTTTTTCTAGAGTCTGAAACACAAAAGGGTGGGTGGACATGTCTTGAACAAAAACATCAGCTGTGTTGTCTGTTATGAGGAAGGTTGGTCATTTTTCTTTGGGCCTTTTTTGATGTTTTGTTGATTTTTTGCTTCGGTATTACCTTTTTTCATTTATTTTTGGTTTTGACTTTGGGGTGTATAACAACATTTTCATGCCTGTATATTTTTATTATTTCCCCACTTTTTCGCTTTCTTTGTCTCTTATTGTCTTGAGACCTTTCTTGCTTCCCGCATTTCGATTTCGACTTCCCTTAAGTTTCCCATTCTTCGCATTTCATTTCGATCAATAAAAGACTAGAGGGGAGTGGCGGATTCTTTTTTTTTTTTTCTTTCTTATTTTCTTTTCTTATTTTCTTTTCTTTTCTTTTCTTTTTTTAGATTCTAGGACACATGCTTGAGCCGAAGCGTCTAATTGTTAATTCGGTGTACTTTCATAATGCTTATGCGCTTATGATATGAGAAGGTTGGTTCAGTTGTATAGTTTTGGTTTAATCCATGTTGTAACTAGTTACTTTAGGAAGCTCTTGAAGAGAATTAATTGGACATACACGTCAAATTACAGAGTCATGATGATTAATCATGGATGACACTGTTTCCATGACCGAGCTGGTCCGGCGTGACTATTATCGAGACGCGCATCCCATCCATGGACATATTGTACCAAAACTGGTCATTAAAAACCATGTCCCAGGGAAGGTTACCAATAATCTGTGACGATGTCTCGAAGCCAGCAGCTGGTTGTTGTTGTTGTTGTTGGTTCAGCGTGTATCAGGTTTATCCCGTCCCCCTCTTCAGGTTCCTCCGGCTTTGCATCCGAAAGGAACCCAATGCCTCGTATTTCTTTTTTTTTTCTTTTTTTTTTTTACTAGCAGATTGGTTATTTATGCTAACATTTCACTAAGTTCGGCACAGTTCACGTCTGAGAACCAGACAGGTAGGAACATAAAAATAAATGCTTAAAATGCCGATTAACCCTCCTGGAGAAGTGAGGTGGGGTCCTTCAGGAAACCAGCGTAAATGCATCATCGCCGTCTCAGAAACACCTCCTGACCCAGAAGTTACGTATGAAGCGGAAGGTGATTGATGTGGTTGGAATGTAACGCAGGACCTCAGGAGATAAGAAAGGCTGTCTTTGAGACATGGCAGATACAACGAGATAAATGATGGAAGCTGTGGGAGTTTGCATAGAGGGAGGGCAGTGCGCTGCTATCATTGTCTTGACAAGTAGTTATTGACATGTTCATTTCTTCTTCTAATTATTTACCTCTCATGCTCCACCATCCAACTCTTTATTTTCGATGCTCAGATCTTCAGGACGAGACAGCCAAGCCCGGGAGAGACTCAAGCAAGGGCTTGGTTCGGTTAAATATCTCAAACAAGGCTGCTACATCATATGCTATGATAGTGGCGAAGATGAGAAACTAGAGGCGATGGTCAGGAGGGACTGGGAAGATTCCTCCAGCTGCCCGTAGATAAAATATATCAAGCTGAGGCAGTCATGTCAATTATGCTCTGGAGAACAACAGTGATATGCCTTCATTAATTTAGTTATTTATGTATTTCTCATGTACTGGCTCGCCGGTTAAATAAAAATATGCTGTCAACATGGAGATCAATAATCGTAAATATCATGTTATATATCTCTCCCTGCAAAACCGCCGCAGGGTGGATTCCCAACCTGAGCTCCATCGGGCCCTGTTTGTGTAGTTCCTAGCTATAAGATCTGTCTCTCTCTCTCTCTCTCTCTCTCTCTCTCTCTCTCTCTCTCTCTCTCTCTCTCTCTCTCTCTTTCTCCTGTTTTTGCTTGCCACGCCGAGGGTTTCTGCGGTTTCGGGTGTCTCATAAATAAATAATTCGGATTCCTTGTTTTTGTTCTTCGTAAATAACCAAATAATTCTCTCCTTTCAATTGCTCCCCTTCTGCTCTTTTTGCTTTTGCTTTTTCCAACCCTCTCCAGGTCTTAAACCTGCTATCCCCAACTTTCTCCCTCTTCGGGTGTTTGTTGTTCGTCGTCGCTGTCTTCGTGGTTGTATTCATGCAGACGCTTCAGATCCATACTTTTAAATAAATATTTAAACCCTTCTGATGTGCAACAGAAAATAGCTATACACTTCGTTTCTTTTCTGTTGCTGTCCAATTGACTATCGTCACTCGCTTCCAGAGAGTCAATTTAAGTCCCTGGCCTGGAACTCTCTTTGCCCTTGTTAATTCCATTTCTTCTTTCTGTTCTTCTGCTCCTCGCTCTTCTATCTATCCGGTAACTAAATCCGTTGATCTCACTCTTCTTGACACTTCAAAACCTCTAGCTCCCCAGTCCTCCGCCATTGCTGGCTGCCCAGCTTTGCTCCCCCATTTAATCCCACATCCCGCTCGCTGGCCTGTGATCTGCTGGAATTTGGGGTTCATCCAATTCAATTGAAATTGGGACTCTCATTTAATAGTTGGACTAGTACACAGCCATATTTCTTTGGTGGTCGTGAGCTCACAACCCTGAGCTCGAAAACAGCACCCAACTCGCTCGCTCAATCCCACTCGACACAACAGCAGTCAGGCATTCATCTGGCCTCTTCGAGGCCTTGGACAGCTCTCTCGCTTCTGCCACAATGAGCAGCACCACAGAAACCTCAAATAATAAGGAGTTGCTCACCTCATCATGGACCAGCTACACAACCGACTTGCGCAACCCATGTTACAACACTAGCAGTAGATTGATGATAAGTATCCCCCTATCCTCCGCAGACTCCAGCCCGACAGGAGCAGGTCACCGGCACCATTTGTCTGCATCCCTCAACCGCATGTACAACCGCGGTCGTAGCGGCAGCCCGTTCACAATGCACTCCGCCACTTCATCATCACGCCTCTCCTCATTTCTACACCGTCGTCGTCCATCTGCAGTAGATCTAGCACTCTGCGAGGAACGTTGCCGCTGCAGCGAGGACTCGATTGAGAAGATTGGGCTGGGGCTTATGGAGCCGCGTCCTGTGGATCCGATGCCAATCCCTACGGCCATGCCAACGCCAACGGTGGTGGGAGATACGGATGCGAGCTTGAATATGAATATGAGTGTGGGGCAGGTGTTTGACTTTGAGCCGGAAGTGGACAGTAGTTACATTGATTCGTTGCGGATAGGGCGTCAGCCGAGATTTGTTATGGGGGGGATTTTCGAGGTTATGGAGGGGTCCGACTTAGGGAGGAAGAGTTGACGGGCAACGATGATTTTTTGCACGAACCCCAAAAGTGAGACGAGCTACATACGCCTGGATATGATGATGAAACCCACTTTTTACTCGACCTTACCTCTTGTATGCTAGAAGAGGAGCTATTTTGTTTCTAGTGTACATTTGTGTGAACCCAGCCTCCCACCACCAACCCCTGTCCAGAAACACACTATATTAACACTCCATATCTGCATTCTACACTTCCCCGGTCAACCATCCATTCGAAAAGTTTGGGAGCCGCTTTGAAAGCAAGTTTGTTTGCAATGTTAGTCTCCTTATTTTAAAACACAGAGCCCTATTTATGTCTGGGAGATTTCCCTTCTCTTCTTACCTTTTGAATAATCTACTTCGTTGCACATTGGCCTCCCATCCAACTCCCTTAGTAGTTGATCAAGCAAATTGCCTGGGTGATGACAGCGCGACAAAGTTTTATATCCTCTATGTTGAACAGGGGAGGTCAGAAGTCCATCTATATATGAACTCCCGATTTCCTTTCTCCTTCTGAATTCTTGTTAACTTGCAATGTCAAGTGGTATTTCTTTCATCTCTTGTTTCTTCCCACCTTCACCATTACTTCTCTGGCTCTATTACTTGCGTTCTCACTCTCTGTTCATGTGTCATGGCTCCTCGAAATTTAACATTTTCAGCTTCATATGCCTAAATGTCTCGTTATATTTTAGGGAATGTAGTGGTTGAAAGAAGAATTTCAGGGAATTCTGGCATGTGTATTGTAATTTGTCTCTTATCAGGAGTGGAAGAAAGAAGAGATTCTTTTCTCCATGCTGGCTAACTTCATTTGAATCTGCTGCATGAATTGAGAAACACATACTATCCTAAAGACTTGACATAAATTGGCAGGAATAAATGAAAATGAGTCAAGGAAGAAATGTCAAATGTTGAAATTTCATGAACTTTCCATTTTCAGTGATGAAACGGTAAAACGAAGGAACAGAAAAGGGGTTCACAATAGTCAACTAAATCAACCTGCCTATATGCATCTGTGTGCAACACCCTTTCGCATGAAAAGTTCTAGCACAAAAAAGGAAAGAAAAGTGTTAACTGAAACACCAGACAGAAACTAGGCTTCTATAAACATCAAGCAGAGGGAGGTACATATATGCATCATTTGTAATCTGAACTCTTGAAGAGACAAGCTAGTGTAGCATAACATAAAGGTTGAGATAAAGAAAAAGAAATGTCAGTTAAACGGTCCAAGAAACTGGGGTATCACGAACTGAAGATAGCTGGGAAAAAGAGAGCCATCCGAATAGGACATACAAAATTGCAGAAGACAAACAAGGCTGTAAGATTTTGTGGAACTTGGGGATTTTGTTGAACAAGCTGGAAGGGGATGGAGGATGGGCATGGAGCAACTGAGCTAGTGCCCATCTCCAGCGCCAAAGCAGGGGCTAAGGGCGCAGATGCTAGCAGCAAACCACAACTTAAAAGATTCCAAAAATGAAGTCAATCAGAAGACATCCGGGGGGTGGCGCTAGAATTGTCAACACAGAAATATATATAAATAAAAAAGAGAGAGAGAGAGATTCCGAATCCAGCAGCTTAGCTAATGAAAACATTTCAGTAGGCAAATGTTACCATTGAGAAAAGAAAATAGACGAAATATGAGACCAAGGGAGGAAATTAGATGCCAGATAGACTCCGCCCTTCAGAACCACAACATGCGAAGAAGACATCGTCCAATTTCCAACTACATTGTTTTCCGTTGGTTCGGCCACAACTGACCACGGCATGTCCGTTCCCCGCACAAACACTTAACCGCATCAGGATCGACTGCCTTGGAACCCTCCTTATCGGAATAAGGGCAGTAGTCAAAAGTCAGCTCAGTCCCTGCTGGAATATTCTTGATAGCAAAGAAGGCCATGTCAAAGATATTCCGTTCAGCTTCATACTGGGAGACAGGGAACATCCTGCAATTAGGGCGGCAGGAATGGTTCATGAAGCGCGTGATGGAGCCATATTTTCTTCCATCAACTATGTAGCAATTTTCCTCTGCTGAAATGAAGAAGTCTAGTTGAAATAGGTAGCTGGCAGAGTTTTTGGGAGTTGCAGCTTCTCGGGCATCAGCTTCTTTCCTTGTTATCACTTCGCCCAGATACCTATCAATGTACTGTCCTGCTTGGATGTTTTCTGGGGAACGTAGACCTATGACGTAGAGATATAAATATTTGTCGGTATTTCAAAAGCAAAACATTGGAGTAAGTAAAGGGTTCACTTACCAAAGCCACGGTTATCTGTTCGGAAAATCTCCAATTTAACTGTCCGGCCTTTCTGCACGACCCGATTCAAACAACTCGGAAGGCAAGTACAGAGAGGGGAACATTCATAAATCATTGCCCTTTTCCTAAAGAATTCATGCCTCAGAACAACTTTTCCATCCCGCCCCACTTGATAAGGTATAATTTGATGTTCCGAGTCTTCGTCTTCATCCTCGTCCTCGTTAGGGAGGCGATCCAGGTGATAACAGCTGGATGAATCACAGACACCGACACACTGACAGCCGACATGGAAACCTGGGTCAACGCGTTTAACCCCCTTCTGAAGCTTGTACTCATTAATGAACTCAAAGTTGAAGTCAATGTTTGAGGCGTCGGAGGGATCTATCTTTAATGTCACAGGGGGCCCTTGAATCCGCTGAAGCTTTTTCAAGTAGAGTGACAATATGTCCTTGTCTGAGTGGCCTTTCTGAAAAGGGTGATAGCGCACAGCAGGCTGTTTTATTTGAATGTTGGCCCGATTCCGACTAACTTCCTGCTTAGGTTGGTAGGTCAAAGCTTTGCTGCTCCTTTCCACGGAGTAGAAAGACGATAGCCCATGATGGTTCGGAAATTCGGGATCAACTCCATTAGCCTGGCTACTACTGTCATCTTCAGAGCTCAGGCGTCTCCTTTTAATACCAGTATCACACCCCAATGATGGCACTACGACCGCGAAGGAGGGTTGGGGTGGCTTGTTGCTAGGCAACACACCATTTAAAGTACTCGAAACTGTGCCGTTTGTAGATGCTGTACTTTTCCACTCATTTCGCGTTGTCCCTCCGCTTGAACTACTCCCTGGTCGTAGGCTCGGACGTGTGAATTTTTGAAGTAGGGTAAGCCCTTCATCAAGAGGTGGAGTGCGGATTTCCTAAACCGGTTAGCGAGATGATTGAGGCCAAACACAACACTGTAGGTGTTAGGCAAAGAAAGCCCAGAGCAAGGTAAAATAAACATGATGATATGTAGGATTATTTCCAATAGGTCCAGATATTCCTTGAGCATAACCCTTCGGGTATTTGGAAATACGTGAAGGAGAGAAATACAGACAAAGGTTTGCAGGCCATATTTCAGCCCAGAATGAGAGTGTGTGTGATGGCAAAAATGTTCAAAACAAACAACAAAATCCCAGACCAGCATTTGATTTTGGGGGAACTCACTGGTTCAACGCCGTAGCGAGGGTCATCTTCTGAGGACGAATCTCTTGTAAGGTCAATAACCATCTTATTTGAAGAGAAGTTTGACATATAGCCAAAGCCTGAAAGTTAAAACAACCAGAGAGCCTTTTATGACAAAGCTCAGACTTCAATCATAGCAGTAAAAACATCTAAAGCAACTCTATTACTGACTTAAGCTTTTAAAAAGAATACAAATCTCTAAGAAAGAAATCAGCAAGATTTTGAAGCTTTAAATGTTGATTTTAATGGAAATTAAACAAAAAAGTTGTTGTTTGAGATCTAAACTTAGTAAAAATTAATTATTATTTTTTTTAAATGAAGTGTCATTACAAGTGTAAATAAATACTTTATATGGTTAGTTAAACTAAAATAAAATATCATTAATAACATTAATATACTAAAAATAGTAACAAAAAATTTATATAATACAATATAATAATAATTTTTAATTTAATTTATATAATTTTTATAAATAATATTACTTTTATATATATTATTTATTTATTAAATATTAAATATTTATTTATTTAATAAATAATTAATTAATAATTAAATTATTATTATTATTATTATTATTATTAAAATTTATATAAATTTAATAATATATATAATATATATAATTTAATATTTAAATTTACTATTTATATAATATTTTATAAGAATTTTAATTAAGTTTTTAATAATTATATTATAATAATTAAAATATTATATTTATTATAAATAATTTAAAACTTGAAAAGTTTTAATACTTAATATAATAATATTATTTATATTTTTACTTTTAAACTTTTAAGTATTTAATAATATGTTTAAGTTTTTCATATAAAATAATAAATTTAAAATATATTATTTAAAATATTTTTTTTCAAATTTTATTTTAAATACTTAGTCATTATAACTATTATTTTATATTTTAATAATGATTAATAGTTTTAAAAATTTAAAAATTTATAACTTTAATAGTTATGTTATCTTATAAATTGTTATTGTAATGCTTATAGCAAATAAATATCTTTAGTTAAGTTTTACATTATTTTTATATTTTAAGTAATAGTTATTTGTTTTTTGAAATAAACTATTTTAACTAAGCTTTCTCTATATTTTTCTTCAACCTTTCGTGTTAAACTTGTAACTATTTCAAAATTTCTTGGAAATGCATTCTTCATATTATGTCCACCACATGAAATTGACAACAATTCTTTCTCTCAAGTTCCTCAACATTGAATGGTTTGAAACCTCAATCAAGTCCCTTTCACCAATGTGAAAACCATATTTATTTGATTTTCATCCCAAGTCCCCTCGCATAACAGCAACAGCCAGTGTTTTTCGCGCGTACCTTATTTTAATATCAGGCTTTTTAACAGAAGGCGGTATCAGGCTACTTAACACATTTGCATCGGTTTATTAAAACAAACAACAACTAGCTATTCTAACTGTTTCATCCAGTGGGCGAGTTTCCGAACATGCCATAATGACCCTATAGGCTAAACACATTGATTTCGGGGCTTTTCACGTCGCTTGTCTCAAGTATACAGAAGACTGACGTGAGGCCGGTTAAGTGTCTGTTATGCTCGGGTTGTTTCAGCAGAATGAACCTCAACCTGAAGCGCAGGGGTATGGAAGGTGGACGGACCTTCAGTGAAAATCAGATTGACTCTTTCTCGGAGTAAAAACGACATATATTAGCTGAAGAGCATACACATCACATCAGCTTTTCTACGTCTCATTTTTGTATTCTCATGCAGATGAGGAATGAACTTCTGTTTCTGCTTTTGAGAAATTTATCCTCCGTTACTTCCATCACAATGAAGCAAAATCCTGATATCAAAAGTTTCAAAATTCTAATGGATGCAATCACATTGAGAGCAGCGACACCAATTACAACAGTGATAATAGACGAAAAAGCTATAAGAGTCAAATGAAATTAAAGAAAGCAATGTATGAATTAATGAAATAAAAAATAAAGGTGAGGTGAGAAAAACGGAAAGAGGAAATATATATGCCAGCTATAGCGAATGGCAATGCTCATCTTCTCTCAAATCCTTTTACTTACAAAACAAGGTCTGAAATCCGGAAAAACCTTGAATAAACAAAGTTGCCAAAAAACCCCCAAATGGACATCATGAAAAAAAATTAAAAAAACAAATTTTTTTCAGTAAACTGAATTACATACCCTCATCGTGATACATATACTACATGTATACACACTTCTCAAATAGCAGAGAAAAAAGGGGGTGGGATTGGGTCGAAGAACATTAAAAGAGAAACCGCTAAATGGTAGATTAACTAATAAGAGAGTTAAGGTGCCAGGCACCCCGGGGAAAGGAAGCAAAGCGAACCGAATGAATAACGAATTGGAAATAAAACATCACAAATCAAGGGCAGAGCTCATTCATGCTTTCTCATCAATATGAGTCAGCTTGGAATGGCATGAAGGGGAAAAAGACGAAAGTAACAAAGGGGGAAAAACAACAGGAGCTAAAAGCAATGAAAAGTTCCGTACAAATCAGGGTACGTGAGATAATTAAGTATGCATATGTATCTGAATCTGAAGAGCCAAATTGAAATCTTCATGGGTGAAACAAAGTTATTAAGGAAATATTCGGCCTGGAAGATGAGTTTAAGCAGAGAGGGCCATGAGCAGGGGCGTTCTGTCCACCCTGCAAAAGATCCTCAATCCAGTTCCCGAATGTCAGGAAAGACGAAATCGAAACTAGAGCTTAAGAGCATCCAGAATCTTTTTCGCCATTTCTCGATACTGCCACATGCCACCTGACACTTTCTTAAATTGTATGCCATGCAGCGAGAAGAGAGGAACCTTGACGATCAAGATTTCAAATTTGAGAACCAGGTTACCGCCCGTGTCGCTCTGGACCCGAGTAGTCGTCTCCCCAACAACGCGCTCACCGCCCGCATTATCACGGGCAGCCATGTATTCGTCAGAGCCATCTGAATTAGAGATAAAACTTCGATCAGGTGGGCCTTGATGACGACGTGGAGTCCGAGTAGAGTGTGAATATTTATGCTCATCTCTGTTCTCATCCTTTTCGTGACTGAGGAGTCCGCCAAAACTGATTCTACGGCGGTGGCTGCTCACCATTCCCTGTCGGTCAGGGCTGGGCGGGGAAACGTCAACGACCCGGTTGAGATCGATGCTTGGGGCGTGACGACAGCTAAATCCGCCTTTGATTTCAGTGAATTCAACACCAAGCTGTTTCAGGACTCTGCTTATATCTGCCCGGATGAAGGGGAGGGGTTTGCTGCTAGTTGTCGAAACGCTAAACAGGCCTTTAAGAAAGACGGGCTTCGAAAAGTCTTCTCCTGTATTTACATTTTCCATCGTATTGCCGGTGTTACTCAGCTCAGCATCCGTCTCCTCGGGGACATTTGCCTCGCGAGTTTCCTCGCGGCGTGCTCTCCGAGCCTGGATACTTTCGCGTCTGGCATGGCCAAGAGATTTAGTTCTAAATGTTTGTGTGCGGGTAGTGGGTTTTGAATCCTGGGTTGCTACGTGGTCGCTCTGCTGTTGTCGCGACTTTTGCACATTCAAACTAGATCGGTCAGATCCACTTGTCAATGGTGGATCCTGTGAGGGCGGAGAAATGAGACCATCAAATCCTCGTCTCCCATTTCTGAGCACCCGATTGTCGCCGGAATTAACACTAGCTGACCGCCCAAGAACATTCTTTGTCCTGGGAGGTGGGTCCCCAGACCGGGGTGCACGCAGAAAATCTGGCTGTTGGGGCTGGCTTCCGCCAGAGTGAAGCGTCGCAGGAGAGGGGATTTCATGTTTAGGCCTCCTCACACTAAAGCTTTTTCCAGTAGTAACTTCTTCTGGCGGCTGTATGCTGAAACTGGGTCCTTGGGATGTTGCGCTCTTTTCACGATCGGTGTCCCGCGGTTTCTCCCGTGTTCTTCTGGTACTCAGCCGTCTTAATAAGCCAACAGCTGCACTTTCTTTCTTTACTTGTTCGACTGGTGGGGTTACAATAGAGGGAGACGCTGCCGCAGCCGCTGGCCCCAGATGAATATTCTTTATTCCATCCCTCACCTCATCGTCGCCATGGGTTCGTGCTCTAGGCCGTGATCGTCCACCAGTTTCCTTGTCACCCGGAATTTCATATGCGTTTTGGTTGGTATGGGCTGCCTCTGGAGCAGGGATTTTTGGTATTTGTAGTGCTGTTTCGCACGGAGAATGGGGCATGGCGAGTGCACCCAGACATTCTTCCTGTCTTTCCCTGTCTCGCTTTTCACGCACAAGTTGGTAGATGGAGATCAAGGGATTAAAACCATTCAGGTCATTTGCTGGATGTACGACCTCAGCAGACGGACTGGAAAGCGTGTCTTTACTTGCTGAGTTGCGACGCTTATAGAAATCAAAAACCCCTCTCTTCTTTTCATTATTCGCCAGGTGGGGCGTGGGATGCTCCCTTTGACTTAATCGTACTATATTTTGGTAATCCTCGGATTCGAGGACCTTGGTTAGCTGAGCAGTGATAAACTCCGGAGGGCCGAAATCAAATCCAGTCATTCTTTGCACGATATCTGGGTCCAGTGGAAGCTGGAGAGGTTCACGATGTGGGAGAAAATTTTCAGGGGAGCCACTGAACCCCTTTGTCATCCATGGATGGTTTAAAATCTCATTTAAACTGGCCCTTTGCTTTGGATCGGTAACCAGCATTCGCGAAATAATATGTCGACAATCTATTTAGGTTAGAGCTGGATCTGGTAGATTCCTGTACACGGGACATACTAACCTGAGGATAGTCCTTGGGGGTACTCAACGACACCCTTTTTGATTTTCGCATGGAGCTGGGGCATGCTTTGGTCATCAAACGGGACCTTCCCACAGACCAAAACATAAAGGACTATGCCAAAACTCCAGACATCCACCTCCGGGCCGATATACTGTCTGGCTTGGAGAAGTTCGGGCGCCGCAAAATACAGACTGCCACAGAAAGTTTTCAGTTGGCTTTTAGGGGAGTATAGATTACTGAGGCCGAAGTCAATGATTTTGATATCCCCCGTCTTGCTGATCAGAATGTTTTCGATTTTGAGATCCCGGTGAACGATGCTATTTTTGTGGCAATAGTCAAGCGCGCTTGCGATTTGTCTCGCGAACTTCCGGGCTTGTTTTTCTTTAAGTTTTCCATGAGAGATAATGTAATCGAGCATTTGTCCTCCGTTTACGTATTCAAACAACATATACCAGTGATAATTTGTTCGCACAACATCTCGCATTCCACACACGTATGGGTGGTTTAGCAGGGTAACAATTGCTGCTTCCCTTGCTGTCCGTATTTCTTTAGAGCGATCTGCTCTCTCCGTATCGCGATTACCACGATGCTCTTCAGTCGAATGTCTAGGTATAATCTTCACCGCCACCTTTAGGGTAAAAGCCAAAAATATTAGCATTGTATATAATCCCAACCCACCCCCCACACCCAAAACCCACCAATATAAGGGGGGGGGGATAGAGAAAAAGAGAATCTATATCTGATTAATTATAAAACATACCTGTTCACCCGTTTCAAGGTTTTTTGCAAGTTTCACCTTCCCCATGCTGCCAGCACCAATGGTTTTCCCGAGAGCCCATTGTCCAGATACTGTCGTGATGGTTGTCCGTCGTTTTGGCTGCGACACACTGTTTGAGATGCCATTGGGGGGCCTTTGATGCGTCCCATTTGCAAATGACTGGTCATCAGCAGCAGCAGGTCCAGGATTCACTGGATTCGCGGTATTCACAGGGTTCACGGGGTTCATAGGGCCGGCCATGTCGACACTATCTAGACCTTGGGTTGGTCTAGATAATGTTCTATGATGGGAGTGTGAAGGTTTAACCCTATATTGGTGTGTAGTATCCTTTGAACGATCTCTGGATAAACTTCGGCGAAATGTAGGTGGACGTGCAACGTTTGATGTCTCGTAGTCCCGGTGAGGAGCGTCGGCTGGATTAACTGGATTAGACGTGGACGGACGATCGTATGAAAGTGGTCTGGAGTTGGATCGATGGTGAGAATGGATGGACTGCGAGGGCCTGGTAGCTGTGCTTCTTGCTCTGTGGGGGAGGTCTGTGGGGGTAGTCCGATATGACGAATTGGAACGTGATGTGGAGTGGCTGCGAACAATAACAGGTGCAGTTCCCGATGCCGCAGCGGACATTGCGATATGGTATAATGGAACAACCCAGAAAAGACAAAAATGACAAGTTAGGTTCTCACCCTTAATAAACACAGGTCATGAAGTGGATGACAATAATTTCTGCGAGTGGGGTTGTTTTCCGCGTATCGTCTGCGTTGAGGGATATATTCACGTCTAAGTGGAGGGGAGGCTCAGGCAACTTCAACCCTTTGGGGAACGAATCCCTGTTTGTACCTTCATGGATAGGAGAGGAAAACTGTAGCTTAGACTTAGCAGAAAGCCTGTGGATGAGGCCCAGGTGTTCTATTTGCAAGACAGGTAGCCGTATTGTTGACAGCGCAATGTCTCAAGGCAGTGTAAGAAGAGGTTTGGGGGGAAGTCTGTGATGGAGGAGGTTGAAGCAAGATACGTGACAGCAGTGGGAGGAAGCAGCGGGCAGTCGGGGCGGTAAGGGTAATGTATGTGTATTGAAGTGTATTGTACGGTATTGATCTGTATCATTATGGGGCTGGGGTGGTGAATGCGTAAGGTAATGAGATAGTATATATAATTAATGAATAAATGAAACATCCCACAAATAATATCAAAGGCATAATTGAGGGTCAAATAGTCAAAACAGACAAACCCAATCAGTTCTCTTTTGTGGGTGTGTGTCTTGATATGACGTTGTGGGAAAGTTTCTTTGACAGTTCTTTTGAAAGTTCTTTGTGAGAACAAGGGATGTATCTACTGTATGGAGAAAAACAAGGCCTGGAATAAAATGCCCACGGGTACCTTGGCAGTAACTAACGTACCTGAGATGTATTCCGTAATGTATGATGCTGTAATATTGTGTATTGTGTACTCCGTACGGCAGATACGTATTAAACTGATCTGTAAGTGAGGACAAACGACGCTTGGCTTGGCTAGGACCTTTATTTATGGCAGCCCGAAGTACAGAGTACAGAGTACGTACTCACAGCAAGACCGGGACGGCAATGTTGAAGGACAACAACAACTAACTACAAACAAGGAGAAGAATGACGAATGCTGCTGTCAAGAGATGGGAAATGGGGCTGAAGATATTTTTCTGGACTTTTATTGCTGCCCACAGGAACATACCGCATGCTAATAATAATGATATGAGCAGCTGGTTGCAAGTTTGTCGGTCTCCTCGCCAAAATCCCTTTGCCCACGATTAGTCAGGGCTTTTTTCCTGTGGCCGGTTGTGCTGTGGCTGGCTGAGTCAGCTGCTCCCGGTCCAACCTCCGAAATATTCCTTGTGTCCGTTCCAGTGCATCATCTGTTCTGGTCTGTTGTCTCGTCGACCTGTATGGGATGTTGTGCGCACGAGGCATTGGATCCCAGTGGCCGCTGAATCATCATCTGCTCTGTCTTGAGTAAATGCCTGTCAGGTCACTCACACATCTACCCTGGACTGCGTTTCTCCCTCAAATTGGCTTAGGAGACATCAGGACCTTGTGCTGATTTGTTCACAAGTATCGTAAAAAACGGCCAAGCTGATTGGTGCATGGCCCCACAAGTCGGTGAAGCCTCGTAAGAGAGGTCCGAGAAACACTGCTTTTATTTTTCAACAAGAGAACCATTGAATACGCGAAGAAAAGTATCGCTACAAACATGGCAACTAAAAGATCTAGAGCTACCTTTGAGGATGAGAGTCTTCACTCTCCATACGCTGTTTATGGTACTCCACTGCCACCATATGACCCTGAGGCTCGCGATGATGGTTCCTATGTTCCTGTGTGGAAACAGGAAGTGAGGGATGACTGGGGCAGGAAACGTCTTCATGGCGCCTTCACCGGTGGTTTCAGTGCTGGGTGAGCTCACGATTAACTGCGAGCTGGAACCGGACTGCTAAATTTTTGTGTTATATAGGTATTTTAATACAGTCGGCTCGAAAGAAGGATGGACGCCATCGACCTTCGTTTCCTCCCGTCGCAATCGCGCAAAGGATGCGAAGCAGTCAGCACAACAACAGAGGCCGGAGGACTTTATGGACGAGGAGGATCTGCGCGAAGCGGAAGAATCGAGAAAATTTCAGACAGCTGGTGACTATGCCGGTTTCGGCTCGACAGCTACTGATGCGACGCGGATGGGTGGTTTAATGGATCTTTTCAAGACTGCTGGTGAAACAATGGGGGTCAAACTGTTGAAAAGAATGGGTTGGAAAGAGGGGCAGGGAATCGGCCCGAAAGTGCAGCGCAAAGCAAACCTTGACGACGGCGATGGTGTGGAGGGTACAACCCACCTTTTTGCGCCGGCAAACCCTCCTATGATAACATTTATGAAGAAAAATGACTATAAAGGGCTTGGATTCGAAGGCAAGGTTCGACTTGACTCGCTTACGAGACCGGAAACGGGAACTACCAAGCGCATATATATGGGTGAAGGGGAAGATTCTGATGCTTCAGGTGAACCAAAACTTTCCATGAATGGGAACACATCTCATAAGCGAAAACAGTCTAAAAAGGGGGGATTCGGGGTTGGCATTCTAAATGATACTGGCTCCGACGATGAGGATCCCTACGAGATGGGACCGCAAATTTCCTATAATCGATTCATCGACTATGACAAGAAGGCAAAGAATGGGTCCAACAATATCACAACAGCACCCAGGCCGTCGATAGGGCTATCTAATCCACTCCTGGGCACCAAACCTGTGTTCATTTCGAAGAAAAAAGCGTCAGCCGAGAAGACAAAAACGGGATTTAGGAAATGCCATGATGGTCGTCTACCCCTGGACGGATTCCTTCATGGAGTAGAAATCGCAGGGTTAACCATCTCGTCACGAGAAAAGAAATATGCGCCTCCAGAGATTCCGAAAAATTGGAAATCCACAAAAATCCCATCTCAAAAAGCTCCTGTCCCCAATTATATTTCAAACGCTGAAGCCGCAAAGTCATCACTTGACCCGGCGTCCAGAGCTGCCCTGCTGGGCGAAGCCCAGCTACCAGACAAATCAATATTCGACTACATGACCCCAGCGGGCCGCGAAAAGATCGCCAGAGCCACTGGACGAACTGATCTACCTCCCGCCCTGGGAGAGAAGGGACCGGGAGGTTCCGAACCAACAGAAGCGCAGAAGCAGAAAGACCTATGGAACCTCGTGCCCAAACTCGACAAAGACGTCGCGAAACAAGCCCTCGAACGCGGGATAAGCGGTTGGATGCCTTACGCAGAAGACGAAGCGAAGCGATCGCGTTACCGCTCATTCCTCGAAGTCCGCGCCGGCCTCCGCAGTAAACTCCCCGATCGCGCCTCGGACGCAACCACAGATAACTGGATCGCAGAACTGAATGAATTCGCGCGTGCCGCGCAAGTCTTCAAGCCCATCTCGGGGTTGATGGCGTCTCGCTTCACATCCTCCACCGGCACCCAGCCGCATCCGCAGTCGCTACTGCATCCGACAACGGCATCGGCAGAGTCGCAACAGGGACGTCTCCTGCGCAGGCCGGATCCGAAACCGAAAGACCCTGCCGAGGAAGCTGCTAAGATGGGCATGTACGGACCTCTGACGCGATCGTCGCTGCCTTTCGCTCCCTTTCGACTGCTTTGTAAACGATTCAATGTCAGGCCTCCAGCCAACATCTTTTTTGATGCGGCGGACTTACCTGGCGGAAATGCGGGTCGGACGCCCGCTTCATCTTCTGGGTCTAAGTTGGATATCTTATCTAAAGAGGCGGTGAATCGGATCCTTGTGGATGCGGCTAAAAGGGTGGAAGGGGCAGTTGGCGCGGGCACGGGTACGGATGCTAGTGCAGGGACAGGGACAGGGTTAATAGCTGAAGATGGGCAGTGGCAGCAGGCGGTTGAGCAGAGTCCATCGGAAAGAAAGGAAGTAGTTGTTGATTCCGAGAGAAATGAAGCTCTGGAAGCGGAGAGGCCTGGCGATGCTGTGTTCAAAGCGATATTTGGCAGCGACAATGGCGAGGATGAAGATGCCGAAGCGGATATAGTTGATTGAGAACAACTCTATTGATGGGCGTGCTCACCCTACTTCAGAAGGTTTATGTGTTTACGGATGTAAACGTGCAGCCTGCGCCTAATTCTTTTATCGAGGAGAAGTTGAAGAAGCACCTGGGGAAGAAAGCATTTTGGCATTTCTGGGTTTTACGTTTATATTCCTCCGAGCTTGTTTGGGATTATATTGGACATAATACATTCTTCAGTCTGCAAATATTATTTCTGATTACTGCTTTTATTCCCTGAAGGATTCAGGGGCTAAAGGTTGCTTGTAGCTGTGCATGCATCTAGGTATCTACGAGCTGCTGAACGGTTTGGAGCTTTCAATGGGTCCTGAGGTCCACACCGTGAGGGCCAGGGGCTAGTCATCTAAAAGGGCAGGTCGGATTGCCTGGTTGGATATAATGGATATTTTCAATATTGCAACTCGCCCTAGTTTCCGTGATCATTACAGGGGCCTTTTGACTAGACTAAATATCATCATTAACTAGTTGGTTATAATGTAATTCTCCAACCAAGCGAGTCAAAATATCATAACTTTGTAGAATTTAACCTGAAATATCTCAGCTTAACAACGATTTCGATTAAATTAAAGTACACTAGATTCAAGACATTTTTTTTATGCTCAAGTGTATTATAATTGCTGCACTGTGATGAAGCTTATATATGGTAAAAAAACTTTATTGCTAATATTTTAATTATAAAATTAAGTCAACTAAGTGCTTTAAAATTATATATATATCTTAAGGTATAAAACTGCTATTTCTACTTATAAAAATAAAATATATTTTTAAATATTTATTTTCAATTTTTACTTTCATGCAAGCTTTATTTAATTAGTTAAAATATTAATTAAAGAATAATAATTATTTTATTTAAACTTGTATTTTATTAAATTATTATTTTTTAATTTATATAAATTTGTATATAAATTTATTTTGAATAATTAGCTATTTTATCTATAATTTAATATGAAGTTCAATATATTGAAAAGATATTATTCTTCAGAAATTATTTCTTATTTTATAATAATAAATATTATATATTTAAATCTTTTCTCTGTTTCTATAGAGTTTCTTGTTTCTTTCATTCTTAATTGATAATATAAGTATATCTTGAGAAATTTAAAAGATAATCTGATGTTGCTGCTCACTCAATGATAAATTACATCATTATTATGACTATTGTTGATTCCATGTGTATGAGAGAATACAAAATCTGTTTTGCACCCAAAGTCAGAGACATGTTGAAATCAAAAATTTCCCCACTCCCAAAAAAAAACCCTCGCCGACAAAACATATTCTACTTCAATTGCTCTTCGCACTTCCTGATAGCAGCCACCATCATCAGCATCCCTTAATTACCGTTATTTTTTCTTCATCAAGAGATCCCAACGATTAAGAGCAAAGCAGTTGCCAACTTGAAAACTTCGTATGTGACACTACAATCCATCGCTGGAATGCTTGGAATGCTTCTCCCCCACTTGGCATGATTGCAGGCATATGATTGCTAGCAGGGCCATTGTGAGTCGGCGACACACTGAAGCCTGTCTAGCCCTACCCTTGAACAGTGATCGAGGAATCTGATCAGCAACGGGACGGACTCTTCCTCAAGAACCAACCTCAAAACTCCAAATTCATTGCCGTTTCGCCCAATTAACTGACTAAATCAGCCGCGGCTGGAAATAACAATTGTCCCCGCGCCGCGTCAGCCATAAGTCCACCCATGGTAACCGTGAGCATTCCGTGAACCCCAATGGATGAATATTTCTAGCAGTACCATGGAGCCAACCCTCAACCACTAAATAACCCTGGCCCTTTAGCCAACTAAGTATCCGCCTATTAAAAGACTATTAGACCACTCCTGATCTACCTCACCGAGCCACTCCGCTTTCAACCATCTCCGTAATCCTCCAACTCTCACCCAACCCAACCTCCCCACCCAGCCCGCTCTCCGTTACTCTCCCGATTGCCCTTTGTTTTCTCTGCTTGCCCTTATTTTGTTGCAGACTTTTGGTTCCGTGGGCATATTGGCTGGCAGCCTATATATAGCTATAACCGTGCATCATGCACAATGGTGAGTACATCAAAGGGCCCCACAGCTGTCTTCCAGCCTTACTAGACACTGCTTCTGGGATAGACATGCTGTCCCCAGCGGCTTGGAGTTGGGTATTTTCTCCTGGTTCAAAAAGCCTGCTCAAACATTCGCATATCTTTATATAATATTACTTAAATTATGAATTTGCTTGCTCAATCTTCTACTGCCTGTGCGGAGCTGGGGCACTTATCTCATCCTCTTTGTTCGTTTACTCTGTCCGTGGCTAACGTCGATGTCTGTCTTTATTTTTGGGTAAAAGGGCTGTTGTATATCCTCTTCCTCTCGAGGTTAGAACCTTCCCGCTGCAGATACATATCGGATATGCCATATTAACCTGTTGACAGGAGAGTCTAACCCCTCAATCCCTCCCGCTCACCCTACACAGCCCATCACCAATCGCCCCGCAGACGATGCTTCTCAGAGTTACCTCCACCGCTCTACAACCTCGCGATCAGCTCGCCATCGTCGAGCCCTAGCTGGCGTTCCTCTCGATGTACATTATAACCAAGCCATACACCCACATACATGGCGAAGCACCCGCCGAGAATGGACCCGGGAACAACTTAATCGTGAACGAGAGCTGTTTTTCGACACCCGAGTGACCGGAAGGCCTGAAATATGGGCTGCGCTATCGACGGCTAGCGCTCTCATCCGCGCGGGAGATATTAATACCGCACAGGGTATATTGGATGCGGCTGGCGTTACTGTGCCGACAGGCGACATTTGCGATGGATGTTACGATGAAAGCGGAGTTTTATACAGGCTTCCGGAACATATCGCCATGGACCCGATTAATGTTGTAGAGTCCGTAGACGCGAATGACAATAATACGATATGTGCTGCCACTGCGGATCTTGGCGATGAGGATGATGTGGGACGTAATAAACTCGCGGTCGATGTCGATTCGGATGATGAATTAATAGATGATATTGAGAGGCGGCGGGAGGAAAAGGGGAAAGTGAATGAAAGAGACCTTATAAAAGTTACTGCGAGGTTAAGTGATAGGGGAGGTCCTGATTTGGTGCTTATGATTGGGAATAATCAGACCGTGGGTGCTTTGGCGCGCAAGATCCAAACAGAGGCCGGGGTATGTGTTGTATCTGCTATGCGAGATGATTCTCTCTGGGATTCCTTGGTATTTTTTGTATACCAGGTCGTTTACATGTTTCTTTCGCAACTTATACTGACTGTTTTTCCGTTAAACAGATTGGTAGCAAACACCAGGTCCGAATAGCATATCTCGGCAAAATGCTGAAGGAACAAGAGAACCTATTGAGTCAAGGATGGCACGAAGGCAATGTCTTGAATGCTCTGGTCGTCATGAGCCAGCGGAATTGACCTCGCCGCGCCCCGGTATTAGATTCAACAAAAGCCAGGGCGCCTCCACTTACGAATTATACGTCACCCTTACAACTCCTGATCCAAGAGCAGGATGGATATTTTAGTCGCCTCTTACCGTTCATTTTCTGACGAGATTTTCCTTGGATTTATTTTTCTTTGGTCTCAGCACGAAGCGCTGGAGTTTCATTTAACAGCGGAGTTCATTTGCCGGAATCCATGCTCCATCTCTGATTATCGACTGGTGGATTTCTGTTCGTTTTATTCTTTCACAATCTCCCATATCTGAACGTCATTCCGGAATCCAAGATATTACAGCCGCTAATTCCATGATATTAATATGTTCGTCCACCATCCCCATCCGATATGGCCATACTGATTTTTCATCAAAGTCCACGTATGATAACGGCTAACCATATAATCCCTTACGTGCCTTACTCTATTTCCCTTCCATTCCTTCTTTATAATTTTGTTCAATTTTAGCCTTGCACAATACCCTCGTTACATTTTGAAGATCTCTCCCATGGCTATTCATTCAGTTTTATTTCTCCAATGTCCACAAGATGCCTTTCATCATCCAGGTATTATACGTATCCCACCTCCGCCGTATGTTGATTCTCAACCCCCTCTCTTCCTCTCCTCCCTTACCATAGAACTATCGCGAAGTCACCACATTTTTCTTCTCCTTTGCATCATCCCGGTATTGATTGCGGCGCAACATCTTCATTGTTATTTTCCTGGTCACCTTCCGTCGATTCTATTTGCTTATAAAAACCACATGTGCTATATATTATGTGTAAATATATATGAATTGGCTTCTCATACATCTTAATAAACAGTTAGCCAGTCAGGTTGGCATTTATGAATGAATCACGTTTTGGACCTGTTGCATCTGTCTCTAATTCCCTTTTACTTAATCGTAGCCATTTTCTTGGTTCTCTCCTTTCCCCTACGGAAGAAAGAGACTACTACCTATAGAGACTTTTCGTCGAAAGAATTCACAGCTTGACGCGCAAGAATGCCAAGGGAATTCAAGGAAGGGGGTCCCGAAGCTATGTGAAGCACAAGAAAACGGATAACTAAGGTTAAGATAATCATCTTTCGATTTTCTCCATCAGTTTCTTGTTGATGCATTCATAAAAGGGGAACTAATGAAGCTATCGAGTCTGTTTTTCCCCTGCTGAAGTAGATGAGGCTCGCGTCTTTCAACTGTTCCGACGGTTTCATGGTCTAGTGGTTATGACACCGGATTTTGACATCATATATCAGAAATTCCGGTAACCTGGGTTCGAATCCCAGTGAGACCTTTAAGTGGTTGTTTTTTTCTTCTTTTCCCCCCCTCACTTGCCCTTCTTCCTTTTCGGTCTTCTTGAGGTGTATCATAATGAATGATATCAAGAGTGTTTCCTTATACTTCTCAAATGCATGTTGTGTGTGACTGATAACAACAAACTCCAAAGTGGGTGCAAACAAAACAAACAGACGAAGTTCACTCCCCAAAAAATATCGTCAACAAGTAAATGAGGATCTCTTGATTCAATTGATAATTAATTCAATCTACTTTTAACTAGCCATTTCCTCCCCCCCCCCCCCAATTGAAGCGGCGGGGGCCTGCAAAAAGGTACTGCTGTGCGTCCGTAATAGATTTTGCGACTTTCTCCGCCAGTTATAGGGAAGACGCTGCATAAATTTTTTAATTCAATCGATTGTGCGCAGGGGCGAAGTATTTCTCGATCTCCTTTGGTCTAAATATTCTTCTCTATACATACATCGTCGCGTTGATTAGATTGAGTGGGTGGGATGGTGCAGCTTCTAGTCAAGATGGAGAACATGCAGAACACCTCTTTCATACGGGAGTTAGCTTCCAGCGGTACGTTATGACAAGCTTTACATATTATTTTTTTGATGTTGACTGTATTTTGCGAAACAAAAAAAATTAGAGGTCCTAACATCCCCCTTTCCGCTTTTGCAGATAAACGGGTCCGCGACAAGGCACTGGAATCCCTAACCCTCTTCATCCGCAGCCGGAGAGATCTACAACTTGTTGAGCTATTGAAGATATGGAAGGGGCTTTTTTTTTGTATGCAGGAATCTGTTTCTTGATTGCCCTTATTTTCACCTTCTAACTCTGCTTCATCCACAACCGCTAAAGCCCATTTACTTACCATATGATGAATTTCAAAACAGGTTTCTACCACTCCGACCGCCCTCTAACCCAGCAATCCCTCGCCCGTTCCCTCTCCTTCACCTTGGTCCACTCTCTCCCCGAGCAAACTCTCCAACCCTTCCTCCGCGCATTCTGGATAACAATGTCGCGCGACTTTCACTCTCTGGACCGACTGCGGCTAGATAAATATCTCTATTTAATACGGTGCTATGTTGGGGTTGCATTTGAGATTTTCTTGGCAAAGAGATTGGTGGGGGTGGCGGGGAGGGAAGGAAAAGAGCAGAAAGAGAAGGGAAATAGTGAGGGCAAGGTTAAGAGTAACGAGAGGGGGGGGTTAGGGAAGAGGAAAAGGGGCGAAGGAACTGATGAAGATAAAGGGGTAAATGAGTCTGAGTCTGAGGCGGTATTGGGATCCTGGAAGGAGTTAGGAATATACCTCGACATGCTAGAAGAAGGCCCGCTGAGCCGAGTTAATTTCGATCCGGATAGTAACGATGCCACAGAAGATCCGACTGTGCAAATGCATAAAGGACCCGACGGCTTGCGGTATCATTTGTTGGATATTTGGCTGGATGAGATTGAGAAAGTTGCTGTCGTTGAGGTTGAGGCTGAGGATGCGCTGATGGGGGGTGGCAATGAGAATGATGGAAATGGAGGGGAGGGAGATGCGCAGGATACGACATCAACGGCGAAGGCGAATAAGGAAAAGAAGAAGCAGCTAAAAGAGGGGGTGCCGATGGAACTTCTTCTTCGTCCGATTGTTAGATTGAAGGAAAAGAGTATTTCGAAAATGATTAGGAAGCGGGCTGGGGATGTTTTGGATGATGAGAGGTTGGTGGAGTGGGGAGTTAGAGAGAAGAAGCGGGAGGACGATGAGGAGGTGGATGTGGAATGGGGTGGGATTGATGAGTGATATTTTTTTATTGCTTTACCCGCGGTGCTTTTCTAATTGATTTCTCACTAGGTGAGTGTTAGTTATTCCCACGCTTTCGGTGGTATATATAGGCATTCTGACCAGTAGAAATTAACGGAATCGAGGATGTTTTCTTATTTCCTCTCCTCATGTGTTGCTGGATGTCCGGTTTATACTATCTACATTTCAGATGTTAATTCTTGACCTTCAAAAATTGTCCAAAGCTTCAACGATATATAATATATAATGAGATATAGTTGAGTACACAAACTAAAACATGGAGGTAAAAGCATTCAAGACGGAATAAAACATAGAGAAATAACAAAAGGGGCTCTAATTTTCTACGTGTAAGGGGAGAGCAATAAGATCTGTGGTTCAGATTACCGAGGATAAGAAAAGGAATTCAGAACTGAGCGTTTAACAATATGGTGGATAGGCATACAGAGGAGAATATCAATAATGACAGTAAGTTTATGGCTTTTGTTTAACATGAAATAGAAACTGTGGCGAGGACAAAAGAAAATTTATGAAAAGCAAAAAGCACAGATTGACGCAATGGCTTATGCTCCATAACAATTCCAGTATCCTATATCCTCCTTTCCTTCAAAAAAAATAGCGCCCGTGGGGCTGTTCCCGCAAGAAACAAAACGACAGTATTACGCCGTATCCGGTATAGTTATAAGTTGAAATAAAGAAAATGGGCTGCAATGATATATAACACACAACACACATAACAATAGGAGAGGCAGGGGCTCTTTTCTCTAAGGATGTTAGATTGAGATGTAGGGTAGAGCAAGTATGGAGTTGGATAGGGCGGAAAACACCCGGCGAGGGAGGGGGCGGCGCGGATATTCGGAGATAGCGAATGCCTCACCAGAAAACAGAGAAATTCTCAAAATCGTTTTCACTTCACTCCTTCAGCTTCATATTTGTATCCAGACTTGGATAGTACAGTTCCGAGCCCTCTGTGAACTTCTGCCTGGAAAGGCTCAAATGGTATCTGCTCCCCATCAATACTAATGTAGCCTTGCTTCCGATCTCTGGGGATGATTCTGTACCCAGTAATCTTTTGGACCTTGATCTCAGGCATATCAAACAGCGTGCCGTTATCCACAGCCTTTAGCATCTGGATAGCAGTCCATCGGCCAATATCACCATTGATTGTAACAAGATCCAAATACCCGTCGTTGGGTAGTGCAGCGGGAAAGAAATTCGTATCCGCAGCCATATATGCCATATTCCCCGCGTAGAAATTGCCCATATTGTCGTGGGGTACCAGAGTCCAGCCTTCAGGTAGCGGATCGTTAACGGTACCATATCGCAGAGCCGGAAGGCCAGTCTGTGCAGATGACCCCTTATCGCGGAATTGATCGAAGCCTTTCCTTGCAGATTCGGTACGATAGTGATCTTTGATCTGCTGCTTATTGCCGATTTCGACTTTCACAGCCAAATCACAAGGATAAACTGTTTTTCCAAAAAGGCGGACTAGGAATCCGAAGGTGAAGCGAGCCTGACCCATCCATCGGATGTTGTCGGTTCCAAGATCTGATTCAGCTGTAATACCAAAGGCCTGGGACAAGAATGATAGCGTACGTCGATTGCCTTGGGTAATGGAGACCAAATCCAGGGGTGTTCTCAGCCCTTTGACGATACAAAGCGCCGCCAAACTGGCACTGCCAGTCCCATTGAGGTTCCAGCTCATTGCGTTTCCTGATCCGCATGGTATATGAGCAACGGCAATTTTTCTCAGGGCTTCGCCAGCATTTGGTTTCTTGGCCAGGCCATTGAAAATCTCGTAGATTACACCATCACCTGAGCAGGCTGCGACAACATCATATGCATCGATGTCGAGCTTCTCCACGATATCGATTGCGTGGCCTCGATATGTTGTCGATTCGACATCAATTTTGCATCTCGCAGCAGCAAATATTGGCTCAACCTTTTTGTTGTAATATTTGGGCGCCTTGCCGATTCCGCCAAAAGGATTGATCAAGACCTTTATACGCTTTTTCCGCTGTGCCTTACCGTAAGCTAGATCCAAAAGTTTCTCGATCCAGGCGCCTGCTTTCGACCTGTTTTCAGAGCTAACTGGATAATACAGTGAACCAAGCCTGAGATCTTTTTTGCTAACCTGCTCAGCATATTTAACGGTGATATAGCCATCAGATATATCAGCCCAGAGTATGTTGAAATAAGGAATCAATCGCGAGGCTTCGAGATCTCGGGAGTAATCTTTCGCTGGAAGTCAGATTCTCTATACAGGGAGATTGGGAGAGAGAAGGTGAATCGCACGAGAGAATGGAAAGCCGCAACAACGGCGCTGTGAGCCCGCCTTCAGCCCTCTATCTGTAAAAGAAAGTCACCGGGTTTGTCAAAACAAGTTCGCGCAAAGTCAAGCGACGGGGGCACCGTTCTAAGATCAACTTACCGATAATAGTCAGCGCATCATCTGACAGAGTTAAGAATGCATTTTGGACGACAGCAAGCGTTTCGTCGCTTTCTGCATGCGGATTGCATAATTCTTCCGCGGACAATCGTGTCGCTTTGCCCCCAGATGGACCAGCGTCGACGAAGTTTCCGAAAGTCATAGCCTGATGAATCACACTAGCATTCTGGGCTGGCAGGAGAGGGCGAGAGAGAGAGGCAGCAGGAAATACGGACAAAGATGCTCTGGATAATGAATACGATGGCCACGGCGGGACGTTGGACGCGAGATGAACGGTATGCGCGGGTATGAATCAAAAGGCAAGGGAACAGTCTTTCCAGCATAGAAGAAGACAGGTGATATATATAGCAGCCAAGCGATGTCCCTTAAAGTTACAAGCTCGACCCTAATGTGCTTCGTCGCCTAGCGGGGTTGTTGCGTTAGACAAGTCAGGGACAGAGCTTATGCTGAGGCTGAAACTGAACTTGACAAGCATACACACGGGGGGGGCAATTGGCACCTTGATTTAGATGTTGTTCGCAACCCAGGTGCAATCTAACAGAGAATAAAGACGAACCAACGTCTGGGAATTGGCGAGAAGACGTTTTGATTGGAAGCACGGCGACAGGAAAAGAAGAAGAGAAAGCAGACCTCCGGGACTTGAAGTCTTGGTTGATAGCTAGTCAACCATTAAGTTGAACACTCGGTCAAGTGGCCACCTGCGTAAACTCTCCACGAATTATATTCGCCACCTTCTCAAAATGAGCTTTCAACGTGAAATATCTATTCGAAAAGCCATTAAAAAATAGAAAATGGCACTATTTTCTTTTGTTAAAGCTGCAGCTGCAGCTGTAGCTGTAGCTTACAGCCTCTCAAGAATTATCCCACTTAGCTGATGGAATCAAATTCAACAGCAGCAAAGATTAAGCTCTGAACAAGAAAAATTCCTCTTTCAGTAAATACTAAATGAAGATGTTCAAGCCTGTCCCCCCTTTTATGCACATGTATAAGAAATGATCTTAAATATAAATAAGAATACTGTTTTTCTAAATAAAAATAAATCACTATTTTGTCAAAGACATAATTTTTTAAATCTCATTTTATATTAATAGAAGAATCAATATTAAAAAGTACTTCAAAAATCTAAAGTTTAAATTCAATAATTCAATAATTCATTTAATAATAGATTTAGCATAATATTTATAGAGACAATAAATAAATATAATAAAGTATGAAATATTATATAAATTATATTTAATATTAAAATATTAAATAAGTTAAAAATAATTATATTTTTTTATATATTTCTTTCTAATATATTACATATAGTTAGTGACTGATAAGTTCATAATGCAAAGTTAAAACATAAGTTGATTATATAAAAGAAATTTAACTGTTGAAAACAGATTTATATAACAAAGAAACTAAATCTAAAACCTCATAGAAAGGTATTAATAAGTAATTTATTCTAAAACTTATAATATGTAACCAGCTCAGAAATGATAGCAATTAATATATGAGGTAAATAATATATAGTTTGTTTAATTAATATTATCAAATATATTAATTAAATATTATCTGATGTAAATTAGTTGACTTATTTAAAATTTTAAATATTATTTGATAGTTTTCTAATAATTAATATAAAAATTACAATTTATAAATATTATAATTAAATAATTTATGATTTAACTTTAATAAATTTAATTAATATTAGAAGATTAAGAAATTAAATTATAAATTTTAAATTAAAATTTATTTATAATTATATTTTATATAATTTATAAAATATATAATATAATAATTTAATTATAAATATTAAAATAAATAATTTATTAAAATTATTTAAAGATATTAAATTATATAAAATTTAATATATTATATAATAATTATAATAATAAATTAAATTAAAATTATTATTATTATTATATTTTAAATATATATAATTAATAATTATAATATTTATATAATTAAACTAAATTTTAATTATTTTATAAATTTAATATATAAATATAAACTAATATATATAATTATAAATTTTTTATTTAATTAGATAAATATTATAAACTTTAATTATATATATTTGAAATAAATAATAATAATATAATAAATTTTAAATTTAAATATTATTTTATTTTTTATAATTTTATAATTTTATTATTTATTAATATTTATTAATATTTTTTATTTTATTTTATTTTATAATTTTTATAATTTAAATTATTTTTATTATATATTTAATTAATTATTATTTTATTCTAAAATAAACTTATAAAATAATTGAATTTTAATTTAATTATATATATAAAAAATAAATAATAATAAATTATATAATATTATAAATTTTTTTAAATTTTTTATTAATTTAATATTTCTTATAATTAATGTTAGGGAGCGAATGCGAGCTGCATAAGAAGAAAGACTCTCTGCGTTGCTAACTGCTATATAACGAAATACTAAGCTTGATGGGATGAAAGGGGGTGCTGGGGCCTGCCTGGATTATAACCACCCGCATGGTCGCGTGGTCACGTGATACATGATTAGGCCTAATCGGGCGCCGAGCTTAATCCGACGTCGAGTATAACCGGGCACCGGCCTTCGGTCGGGCTCGGTCGGACGCTGAGCCTAACAATTAATTATAAAAATATATAATATTTTATTATTTAAAAGTAATTTTATATTATATAATAAATTTTTATATATTATATTATTATTTATTCTTTTTTATTATAAAAAAAAAATTAATATAATAAATTAATTATTAAAAGTAGTTAATAGCTAATATATATAAATAATAATAAGAAATTTTTTAAAAATAAAAAACAATATATAAAAATAATAAAGATTTAAATAAAATTAATTTAAAAAGTTAAAACTTTAATAATAGAGAAAGATTTATATAAAAATAATAAAAACTTATATAAAATAAATTATAAATAATTAAAAAAGTAGAATATATTTTTTTATATAAATTAATATTTAATTATATATTTTATTTTTTAAAAGAAATAAATTTTAAATAAAGTAATAATTAATAATATATTTTAAAAAATTAAATACATATAAAAACTTATATATATTTAAGTATTTAAATTGTTTAACTATAAGAAAAGTATAAAAGTAAATAAAATATTATATATTTTTGATGATTGCTTTTTCTTTATCTTGGACTCAAATGGTAAAATCATTTTTATTCAAGACTAGGCTCATATTCCTTCAGTAAGATAAATATAAATAAAAAATAAAAACACTAAATACTCCACATTTGAACACGACCTATGTACGACGAATTGAATTTAAGCGGGAGCAAGTATGCCGAAGACAAAATCTTTTATTATTTTCAAAGAGCGGAGCGACATTATAGATGCTTTGAAAAGTCGGAGTAGCAGCAAGATAAATACAGAACAAAGGGAACCGCTAGTTAGGTTAGAACATGAAATCGCAACTAAACAGAAGATATTCTTTGTCATTACTAAACTAAACAGCATTGGCCTTCAGACCTTTGAGAGAACCCAAACTAAGCGCCAGCCCTTGCGATCGACTTCGGATACGTACAAACCCAGTAATTGGTCCGTTTTCGCCTTGTTTCTCAATGCTGAGATTTGCGAGAGCATCCTCACCTATAAAAACCAAAAAATCAATTATTTAGCTAGAGATCATTTTCCAGTAGCAGGAGAGAGTAAGGGATAAATTAAACTTACCAAAAACGCTCCGAGCGTAAAGATTTGCACTCAAGAATTGACAATCTCCTTCAAGCGATGCTTCCGGCGTCAAACAGCTCATATTTGTGCTCTCCATGAGCTGGTGGAGGAACTCTCTCAAGGACTTCGCCTTGGAGTTAATATTGACTTTGTTTTCCCATTCAAATTCTGTCCACATGGTCCGAAATTGGGTCTCGGTGCAGTGTGCGGGATGGATATAATCCATGATATCTGCTTTGACATCATTCAGGATCACAACATGTGTCTCCGTGGAACTGGGTCCATCGTACACGACGTTCCCAAAAATCACACCAGTGTCCGTTGATGAAACTTTGACTGTTGCTTGTACATTTAAGAAGTCGTGGGGTCCGAGATTCTGTGTTGTTGGGCGCTCAACGACCTTGAGGTCGCCAAGGGTCGCAAACTCTACCGACAAGTTTTGCAGAGTCTCTGTCGTTTGGTTGACCAGCAAGACATCCAGAACGATGTCAAACTGATGAATTTTAACATATGCTTCAGCATAGACCGGATCGGAGAAACCAGTGAGTTGTACAACCCGGCTCAGTTTAGATGGCAGGTCTCCATAAATGGAATCACCACCAGTGGCTTTGGCAAGGTCAAGTTCGATTTCATCAGCCCCTTCTTCGGCCGATTTCTTTGCAAGTTGGCGGATGGGAATCGTGTCGTCGACTTGGACGGCGGTCTTGGCTCTTTCATCTGCCTCCTTCGCTGCCCGTTTCTTTTCTTCGACCTGAACCATAGCACGGAATGCTTGTCTAGTATCCTCAAGGAAGGTCGTTTCCAATTCTTTGTGCTTGGAAAATTCGGCAAGGGACCGTACACATGACATGATTCTATCTACGGAGTCTTCGTCGATCGGGGCCTTGACAAATTGGGATTGTCCAACTCGAATTATAGAGATCATGATAAGCATTGCCTCAGCGCGAAGAGCATTGGTCCTGGCAGTATCTTGAGAGACCTCCGAATGTCTCATAACAAGCTTTGTTAGTGTTGATGATAGGACTGTGGCAAGATAATAATCTCCATCTAGGATAAGTTGACGTAGCGGCGGTTTCTGTGCAGCTTTGACGGTCTCTAATTTGGCAGCGGCACTTGACTGGCTGGTAAGCGCGCTCTCAGTGGCATATGTGCCATCTGACAACACTCTTGACCCACTTGGAGCAGATGGCTTGGAATGGCCGTTCACTTGATCTTTTTGCGGGGCATTTTCTTCGAGAGCTTCATCGAGCAAACGTTGCTCGGAGGCCAAAATGGGGATCTCCCCAAGGCTGGCTCTAATGCGCTTCCATGCTTCTCTGATGTCGTTGGCTTCAAGGGAATACTCTCCAACCACCCACAGAACGCCCCGGTAAACTTTACCTGCCCGCACCTCACTGAGCGTGGCCACTAGGCGCTCAATAATGGATGGTCTGAGTTTGGGGAACTTCTCAACTACTTCCTTGACGAAGGAGATCACGTCTACGGCGGAGTTGTTGTTGAAATCAGCGATCAAATCTGTGAGAAGGTCAACAACGCTTGCTGCAATTTCAGAAAATTTAATTGCACACTGATGTATCGACTGAATAAGCAATTGTCGATATTCGTTGTTCTGCAACATACCAGTTAGATGTGATCTCCATATTGATGAAACTCAGGGGGCGGGAAAGGTTTTTGGGATGTACCTTCTCATATTGCTCGTCAACAGTTTTAGTGAGTTCCTTCTTCAAGAGCATGACAATTTCCTCGACGTTCTTGCTAGACACCATTTCCATTGCGATGCCCAACGCCTTTCGTCGAACATCGATATCGGGACTTGACAGAACTCGCAGAATTTCCATGGTTAAATCATCTAGAACGCCTTCATTCCGTATCCGCAGCTGATTGACTCTATCGAGTACTATAAGCTTGACGTTATTGTCGGCCTCTCTGATGCTCAATTCGATCAATTTCGACGCAGCCGCCTTTACAGCCACCGGATTACTCGTGAGTGCCGTCAGTGACGTTGCGGCTTCGTAGATAACGGTGCTGGCCCCTGCATCCAGCAGGTCAAAAATCAATCGGAGATATTTGGCCTGTATCAAGTTTGTCAGTTGATATGAAAGCTTCCGGCACGACACCACGCACAGGGAAGAAACACCAACCTTGTTCTGGGAATTTTGAATAGCATCCTTCCTAATAAATTCCAATTCGACAAGTTGAAGCAATTCATCAGCATTTGGAACATTATCGAACGTAGAGCTGAGATACTCTAGCGCCTTCTGATGGCTTATCGTAACTAGTGCGGCAAAGGCGTTACGTTTGCAGGTGGGGTCATTCTCCGACGACAAAAATGCCTGGATGAGCTCTGGAGCATCGGGGATCAGGGACTCGGAGTGTTGGAATATAGAGGCAATGGCCCAGACAGCGTTTTTCCGCACATATGCATGTCGATGGTCTAGACAAGAACGCGCAGAGGACAATAGGGGCTCGAGGAGTTCTGGTTCTCTAAGTTTGCATAGAAATCGAAGCGTGTTACCGCGGATATATTCGTTTGGATGTTGTAGGTCATTCCGGATGCCGTTGCTGTTAAGGAAGAGCAGGTTAGAAACATCCTATAGCATGTTGAGATTTACCCATTGTTTTCTTACCAAACCAAGATCATCTCCTGCTTCAACTTCCCGCTGCTATCCAGCTTCGGGCAGATTTCGTAGTAAAAATAGAGGAGCTTCTTCAGCGGCTTGCTCTTGGATGGCATAACGAAGCGAATGATATGCATGAGTAGCTGGGGCATTGGATCCCCGTTCAACATAACGATTAATATCCGCCTCATGGTATCTATTTTCGATTCATCTGTTCCTTTCTCGAGCTGCGTCTTCAAGTCCTGCAGCGTGGGCTGATCAGCAGGATTGTCCTGGTGCACCAGACTGTACGAATGTTCCAGATACGACGCCATTTTTAGCTGAAGTCGTTACGTTCTGCTAATCGATAGGCTGGGAAGGATGTCAAGGGAACGGCGAGACTGGCGGGGCGTGTAAGTTGTCGGATCCCGATATTTGAGAGATGGGGAGCATACGGCGATGAGGTGGCGAAGTAGAGGGTAAAAAGGAAATAGTCACAGTGGTCTGGTCCCCCACCTCAGTCCGAACAATCCATTTGCGTCGGAACAGGACAATTGGGAGATGTTCAAGGAGAATTTGATATGGATCATAGCTTGCGGTGCTATGTCCAACCTGTCCACTCGAAGGAGATGGTGTGGATGACTAAGCACAACATGAAATGCATCCTTGAGGCTCTGCTTGCTGCTGCATATTCATACACTTGAACTGAAGAGAACCGAACGACCAAAAACGCAGACTCTGTTTTCTAGGGCAAGACAGCTGCAGAGATGGCAACGTCGAATGAGCCTTTCTACGTCCGCTACTAGTAAGATGAATATCTGCTTTATGTCTCGGTCTCAGCTGCTGACAGCCCCGTCCAGCTCAGGGCATTCTGGGCGGTTCGGACACGAGTTTCTAGGTAAGAGGCAATCTCACTTTGATATTGACCATGGCAACTTTCCGGCTGCTTACGAAATCCTTAGAATTCGACTTTAGATCTCTCGGAGACGGTCGCAGTGCTTCTGCCCGTTATGCGAACAATTCTAACTATCGAAACGACTCCCTAATTCGCAAAGAGAGTATGTTTTGAATATTTGTCTATCATGCGCCCTGATGATGAAGAACTACCACAACTAAGCAATTCTGCAGTGTGCGTCAGTTCTCTGATGATTTCAGAGATCAAGCGCATTATCAAAGAAAGTGAAATCATGAAGTACGACACCTGGGCTCCCCGCACCTGGGCTCCCCCTCCCACGTATCCCTCCACCTTCGCATGATCTCATTTGGTCTAAACGGTATATAGGGAAGATGACTCGAAATGGCCACAAAAGAACAAGGATGGGCGACAGGAGCTGGAGATCCGGCTGGGGAATGACCATATCTCGTTTGAGGTGATGAAACCTGAACAGCATAACTGACGCATAGAGGGCGCGTGTGCAAATTATATTAACTTAGATCAGACAGCGAAAATAGGCTCCCTCGTCGATGTCACCGAGTCCGCCGATCCTGAGGGGCTGCGTGTCTTTTACTATCTGGTCCAGGACCTCAAGGCCCTGGTCTTCTCGCTGATCTCGTTACATTTCAAGGTCAGCAGTTTCAACTCTTCTCTTGCAATGTTATATATCTTATATTATGTTTATCTGATGTGGGCAAGATTACAGATCAAACCTATCTGAACAACTGTTGCTGACGAAGGTCATGAACGAGAACGAAATATTAAAATGTCATGCTCTCTTTTATATATTGTTGGCTGCTTTGGTGGTACTGGCGTTGAAATTCCAGGGCAGTGATAGATTTGATTGATTTAATTTAATGGCTTTAATGTATTTTCATGGCTCTGTAAAATCACACAAAACCAGAGAGATAAACGGGGGTTGAATAATTAAGACTGGGATTCTCCAGCAATCGGAATCAAAAGCATACTCAGGTACACCGGTGTTGTTGTTGTTGTTGTAGTTAGAGGCTGGGTTGATGCCAGTATATAGTAGATATTAATAGGATATATATGCAGTGTTCCCTTTAAATAACCCTGGGCTTTTTCCCTACCCAGGCATTTGTATGCTTGTGCATAGGTATGAATTTCCCCGCGTTCACCATCCCGGGGCAAGCTGGGCTGGACACCGGACGGTTGATGGTTCCGTCCAATGGGTTGGTTGGTTGGAACCTTCTGCCAACTTAATGGCTGACTGGGGCTCAGCCAACTCTAACCTTCTGCGAATCCCTCCCACAGGCGAAGCCATTGTAACATCTCCACGACACCCATATAACCCTTTTGCTTCATTGTCTAACGATTTATTCTGTCTTCTCTGCTTCTGCTCTCAGCTGCTTGGCCTTTGACTTGGATTTCTATGTTCCTTTGGCCTGATGCGGGTTCTTTTATGCCTTCATCGTTGAGATATTGGATTCTAACCTAGGTCTATCAAATCACCCATGCCGACCCCGAGCAGTAATCCCCAGCAGCTATCTACCGCATACCCTGCCGACCCCGTATCTGCTCCGCGGCCTACCTGCCCCCCAGAGCCCGACAGGATCGCCACCTTCAGAGCATCGTCGGAGGAACGCATTGTCCCCAATGCTGACGACGATGCTTCCTCTATAGCCTCTGCATCAACTCCATATTCGCAGTCTCAATTAAGCCAACCGCTCAATGCACATTCGCAGACAGCCCTTTCTCAGAACCTCGAAATACCATCCCAGGTCGCGTCCCAGAAATCTACAAAGGCTGACGACGATGTTGAGATGGAATCCCTAAAGCCTGCGGCGAGCGTGTCGGCATGCGCACCTCCGCCAGCCAACGTCTACCCACCCGCGTACACATCCAGCACAACATCCACCATGGATTACGAGATTTCCACTGTGAGAGTAAGCTGACGCTGTGTCCTGTTTTAAAATTAAGTTTTCAATGCTTTGCTAACATATTTTCTTCTCGTCATCGTGTAAATAGCTCCTCCCCAATCATTGGTCATCTTTCCTCAGAGCGGGCAGCAAATTCGTTGGAACACAGCAATCAGACCGTCAGATATACAATGTCGACGTAGAAATCAAACACGTTGATATGTCTGAATGGTACCTATGCGGCTACCTTAGAATTCAAGGTATGTGATGTGGTTCTTGTATTTTACTGGGTTTGGGCCGTGTTTAATATCATTTGCCAACTCTAGGGCTCACCGAAGACCATCCAACGCTTACGACTTTTTTCGAAGCGGAAATAATTGGCACAAAATACTCGTTCCTAACCAATCATCCGTCGTGGGGTGCTACGGATCAAACCGACTTGCAGCACTGGGGCAGGTTCCCGGCTTACAGGCCCATAGCCAAATTCGTCAGAAAGGACGATTTCAAACTTGTAACTGCTGCGCAACACCCAGATATCTTCATGAGGTGGAAAGAATGTTTCCTGGTACCAGACCACCGCGTTAGAACTATCTCCGGTGCGAGTTTTGAGGGATTCTACTACATTTGTTTTAATCGAGTGAAGGGGACGGTCAGCGGTATATATTTCCATGCGAAGAGCGAGAAGTACGTATTTCAATCAATTCCAATTGGGGCTGGCTGTTGGGAGTAGGGAAGCTGCAGTGGTTTGCTAACTATGGTGTTCCTACTTTCGTTTGCTACAGATACCAGCAGCTTGAGCTTAAGCACATGGAAAACAACGGGTGTTTTGGAGCCATGGAATTCCGCTAGCTTAATGTCGACTTACCTACTTTCAATTCTAGACGGCTCTAGCCCATCCGGAACGTACATTGCATCCACATCTTCTCATTATCAGAACACCCCATATGCTCTCCGCATAATGACATTTTCCTGGACTACCACCAGCGGTTAAGTGTTTGCGGCGCTTGGGCTGGTTTGGCTAATATATCCATACAAACCATCACTTATTTTGCGTGATTTCTTCATATGATTATACCATTCTTCCTCTTCTTCCCATGTTTTTGTCTCTTTTTATATCTCTCCCCTTTCTTGCCATTGACACTGGTCGTTTTTGTTGCCCCGTTTCTTGCTCCCTTCTTTCCGTGGTCCCTTCCTCCCGAATTAACGGCATAGCAAGCACAATCCATTCCATGTATGGCTCGCGTTCTTCCCCTAATCTGAACCATCCTCATGTCTCCTCGAACGATATTTTCTCAAATAATCAGATGTTTGGCGTTTCGGTGCCGTGTCTTTTTGTTTTTTGTTTTCCCCACCATAGCTGCCTCCTTACATTAACGACTTTTTCCAGTTTGACCTGTCTACGGAAACATCACTCTTTCTCTCCCCCCTTCACCTTTTTTAAATTTTTTAATTTTTTTTTTTTTTTCATGTAGCGTTTCTAGTTTATTATACATATTTAACATGACTAGCTTAGATCATCTTTATCCACAGTCGCATTCATTCTTTTCGTTAGCTTCCCTGGGAATATTGAATTTTCTCTAGATCCGTTCGGTGATACCTTGCAACACCCTTGTTGGGTGCAACAGCGCAACAGCCACTTGGAAAATTCTGGGGTTTAATTTTGATATTCAAAATTCCAAGGTGATCCAGCCTTGAATTGACCGATTCTTAACTAGTGCAGGTGAACTGGAAACCCCGTGGCAAGACCCATTATCTCATTAATCCAATAGTTTAACATATCACCAGTTCGCATAAGCCTTCCAGTCCACCCCTAGACTCAAAACTCTGTACACTCCAGCCGACGTCGCAAAGGAAGACATCTAACCAAAATTTGCTGGCGGGCCAGGACTGATTACTCTTCGAGACACCGCAGCCAGTGACTACGGCTGATTCAAAGGGGTGTGTGATTGGATGGTACAATGGGTATTTACGCGCATTGGAATTGCGTGGCTTCACTTGGAGGCATTGAAGAGACTCGTTGGATCTTCACGACGATTGTATAAAGATGGTGCAATGTTAGAGTTGCCATGGGATTCAACGAAGCTCTTTGATATTCCCCAAATAAAGTAACATCATTCCTCATCAACTCTCAGTAAATAATGCCCCGCCTATATAGGGACGACAATGTGGGACTCCGTATTTGGGGGACGTCTTACAGCAAGCGCCCTGCTGAACTGAAGGTTTGTCCTAAAGAACGTTTTGATAGAACTGGGAGGAGGCTGCAGTTGTTGGTGCTAAAATTGCGCCAGAGAAGTACATAGTTACATGCTGTAAAGTCCATTTTGGGCGTCGACCTACGTAGCTAACTATTTAGTCCCGGCTTGGCACAGCTGTATCTTGGCCATTCCAAAGAGCCGCAGCTTATTTGCCTACAAACTTCAACCTGCCATTGAACCAACAGAAACACCACATCTTCAAGCTCTGAAACGTTATTGTAGGCGCTGCGAGATCTGGAGAGAGTACTACCTTTTATTAACACAACACCCCTTCATTCTTGAAACGATCTCCCTCACAATCAATCCCTCTACAACTCCGTCCAAACATAATCATGGGCTTTGGCTCCCGCCTATCCACAACGTTTGGTCTTATCCTCATCGCCCACGCGTAAGCAACTAAAACCCCTTCTACCCATTTCCTCTCGATTTCCCGCCTTCCTCCCTTTTTATTTCTGTTGAGCCAAAAGTTCTCTTGCTAACATATCGCGCAAAAACAAATCTACAGCGGCTACTCCGCGCACGAACACTCAATATTATACGGCAGCGCCCATTCCATACCCCTCGATATCACATTCGAAACCCTCGTTGCCATCCTCTTTGTCACGGTTGGCCTAGTACTGGGATCCGAGAAGCCACGGCCCATCAGTTGGAGTGTTTGGGCAGGTCAGATCGAGAAGGAAGGCGGAGCGCGAAATCCTTTTTGCGGATTCGAGGACCGAGTTGGGTTTTGGGATGTTAGAGTTCGTCCGTCTTTATTTTTACATATGTCTCCCATTATTTCTCTGATTCAGCCTACGGGGGCAGTTGCTTCTTGGTTGCTTTCTGGACATTGTTGGACATGATTTATACGTACACTAGAGTTGTACCGGGAAAAGATTGGAGTCTTAAGAACTATGTGGTTTTGGAAAAGCATTTCAAGGGGACAACATATTTGCTGACTATCCTATTACCACAGACCAAACGAGAGGAGTTTGCAAATTGGGTACGGGAAAACGGTACGGCTGGCACGCAATCGTGAGTTTTTGGGTGTCTTGGGGGTAATTTTACATATATTTTGCGTGTAATTACTGCAAGTATAATGACGCATCGCACCTCAAGATCAAATGAATATGGTGGGTTGAGCAACGAGGACGAATATCGAGAAATCTGGTCTAATTTTGTCCATTGGGCAGGTCCATTACAAATTCTTCCAATCTCAAGCGAGTCTTTCTCTGCATTTAATGCTCTCTTCCTAACCCCAAGTTCAATGGCCTTCGCCCCTGCGATTTGACGTCTGGCAAATGCCGACCTGGCATAACATGACACCCCTCGAAATGGTTTTGCGAGGGTATTCCTAGCTATCTGCTTCCCATATCCGCTTAGCTTGTTATTGTAATTATAGCTACGATTGCAGGAGGACCTACAATGGCTCGGGAATCTATCTACCAGGACGACGGGGGTTATACTCCTCGTCCATCTGTAAATGTCGAATGCTTCGGTCAGTATTGCCAAAAGGGCCTGCAGTCAGATTAATGTGCGAGAGGCATCACTTACAGCAACGCTTTGGGTTACAGCGATCCCATTAAGCTTTGAAGCAGTTGGGGGAGGTGTGGAGGCAGAGACATCGTAATGCACCCAATTTCTCTTTGTCCCGCTTGGCGCGTTTGATAGCGGTATGGTGTCCTTGTGCGAATTCCCTTCCATCGACGAGGATCCCTTAAAGGACGTCCGTCTGGCGGATCGTTCTTTGCGATATATGATGGCGAGTGCAGGAAGACACCCGATGATGACAGCTGAAGAAGGAAACAGGCGGACCATTAGCTTAAAATAGATGAACTGGAGAAGGAAGCTTAAATTACTTACCTATCCCAGTTTCGATGATGCCCCAGAAAGCCAGCCATGAGCTGCTTGGTGTGCTGCTGTTTTTTGCCTTTGATCCAATCTGGACTACTCGCACAGTGGCAACGATAATGCAGATGAAGCCAATGCTGAAAATACTTGCAACACTTAATTTCTGGGCAAGCGGCAATCGCAGTGACCACAGCAATTTCGAGGGCAAGGCCATGACTAGAAATGGATTGTGTGAGCTCTATTGTTCTATCCGTTCATCGCTAGTATCGAGTGGAACCCCCGTAACTTACTCATAAGGTCCGTAAGCACATCAACCGCATACGAAAAATACAAACTGGCAATTTGCGCCTTAATATCTCTAGGCCTCGAACATCCGGCTTTGCTCCAAGAAAATTTGGTAAGCGTGACACACAGGTATCTTTAACTGGGACTTATGTTACTCACTCATGCTGAACCATGCTGATAATGTCCCACAGGACGTAACATTGGAGATAATGCAACCGATGAAGCTCTATATATATATCACACACATATGAGCAAATATCACAGAAATTGACACATCGCCAGCGAAAGGGGGAGAAATTTTCTCACTAAAATCGTGAATATGAGAATCCCCCACCACAGACGAAGTTCAGTACTCAGGAGGGCCAACAATCGCCGATATAAAACCAGCAGACTCAACTTTACCGACCACAGCGACATCCAAAGTAACATGGTCGTTGAGAAAAATACTTTTTTGAGGAAAAGTGCCTCCTGTTCCATGGCGGCATATGGAGGAGCGGCGCCATCCATGACAGCAGTCAACCTATACACCCCTGGAATGGCGATGATGTAGAGGGCAGCCATCGTTACGAAGGAGAGCCATGAGAAGACGACGAAGAAGTCTTCCCATTGCACTCCTGCTGATTTCCAAAGGCGTAGACCAAAGCGTCCCAGGAACACTGTGCTGGCGAAACCTATCATCACATACCCAGTCGATACCACATGCCATTCGGTAACATAGTGCTCTGAGATTCCCATGTTGATGATGTCGTGGAAGCAACACGTTTAAAAATGCGATCCTGATATCTAAAGCCCGGCCTGGAAAGAATGGGATAGTTTGTGGGCATCGAAAATCCGGACACAGCGCTCTTAAGCTCTTCAAATATGTTACGAAATCCATGACAATCAATAGTTATATCCGAGTTTGGGTCTAATATCCCGCAGCATGAACAAGCTCTGCATCAACAGTCTCCGTGGCTTGCATTCCTTTACGTTTTTTGCTTCTTTCGCAGACATATATCATTGTTGGATGAATCTCCTACCACTTGGCAAAAAGCAAAGGACTAATATCGTTATCTCCGGTGTCAGCACGACAAAGATGATACTTTCTACGCAACTTAGCTTATCTCGGTGCTTAATACGAAGTGCCATGTTGCCGTGTTGTCAACGATCGAAAATCGAAGCGGCCCGTGAGAACTTTCAACCCACCTCTTCTCCAGAAGACTCGAAGAGAAACCCCAAAGGTTTTTAATCCACTGCGTATGGTACATACACATCGTGGTTTGCCCGCCTACTAGGTCATCAAGAGATTGACAACCTAGTCATTCCCTTATTTAAACCGAGTTTGACGATTTTGTGAAACGCTACAAAGCACAATGACATGTCTCTAACACATGGAAGTACAAAACTTCCCTCTTGGCTTCTCTGTGGGGCAGATGAGTAGATTTGCATGCCGCGAGAACGCTAAATAATATAGTGGAACATTCTGTCGAAGCCATAAGCCGCCAGAATCAGACTAAGCGAAGCCAAAAAACGGAACACTACCTGGCCTATACCGGGTAAAGATGGCGGGACTTCTTGATGAGTCCTGCAATTCCCTTGGGGACAAAATATGCAAACCTGATTCCTTGAGGAGAAAAGGCCCCAGGAGCCCGCAAGCAGGTAACTTCGAGCAGGGATTGTATCTCATCGATCCCAACCTTTTGGTCTTGTCACAATACTCATCTCACAAAATTAATCCCCCTCCAGGCAAACCAGGATTTCAAGAAGCTTTCCACACCTCATTTTATCCATACTTCGGGTTCTATGCTTGTGTTGAGCTTGCCAAAAAGATCCATCTGAACCCCGCAGCAAAACCCAGCTACCATGAAGTTTCTTCCACATGTTCTAATAGCATGTTGCAGCTTTACGGCAATGGCCTTCGGCGATTTCGCGTCAGCTACTGGAGAACTCTCTTCTGAAGAACAGGGTATTGTCGATACATTGACTAGATATGGAGTAGATATCCTGGAGCACGTCGACCCATCAGAGCTTCCGCATTTAACAAAAAGAAACCCCATAAATCCGGCAACAATTGCAGTACGTACCTCTATACGTGAACCTAACAACTTTAAACTCCGATGGCTACAAGATTGCTAAAAACACACAAATAATTTCAAGTGTCGAGTGCTTTCTGCACTATTCTCTCAACAAGTTCTCTCTAGAGACACGGCGCCGTACACGGAATGGCGCAGTCAATTCTGGTCGCAGCAGCAGTCTGAGGTCCAACCGGCCTGTATATTCCAACCATTGTCAAGTGCTCAGGTCGCCATCGCCCTGCTGACATCGTGCCTGGTGCGCTGTCCATTTGCAGTGAAAAGTGGGGGTCATGCTGCCTTTGCTGGCTCGTCGAGCATCCCAGATGGGTTAACTATCGATATGGGGCGACTCAACACGGTAAATCTGAGCTCGGATAAAAAATCCGCGATAGTTGGTGCTGGAAATCGTTGGTTTGACGTTTATAGCCAACTTTCGCCGGAAGGCGTGACCGTTGTTGGTGGTCGTGTGTCCAATATCGGTGTTGGGGGCCTGACACTTGGAGGTAAATCTTGTTGGACTCGACTACGGCGCCTAAGAGATCTCTGGGTCCACTTTGACGATTCGTAAATGCTGATAACGTTCTTCCTAGGGGGCATATCATTATACTCCGCGCAGTACGGTTTCGCTTGTGATAATGTCAATAGTTACGAGGTCAGAAAGTGCAGTTTACTTTATGCGTGTCTCATTTTTTTTTTATTTCCTTTATGGTAGAAACTTGCCGTTAGAATTGATCCTAATGTTGATTAGGTTGTCGTTGCCGACGGTCGCATACTGAACGTAAGCCTCCAAAGCCATCCAGATCTTTACTGGGCTCTTCGGGGCGGCGGCAACAACTTTGGCATCGTGACTAAATTCGACTTGGAAGTCTATCCTGCTGGGAACCTGTGGGCAGGCTCGCGTATATACCTCTTAAACGACAATGTCAAAAGCTCCATTCTCAATGCTGTGGTTCGATTTGGAAACGAATGGCCCTCCGATCGCAAGGCTGCTTTTATCTGCAACTTTGCATTTGCTCAGGGCATAATTGCTGCGGCTATCAACCTGGGATACACAGAACCAGTGGAGAATCCACCAATTTTCAACTCATTTAGAGAGATCCCGGAACTATCGAATAATTTGGCCATCAAGACGCTGCCTGAACTTACCGAAGAATTTAGGCAAAGTAACCCTAACGGCCTGCGTGAGAACTACTGGACTCTCACCGTCAAACTTGACATAGAGATGCTCACCTTTGTTGTGGATTCGTTCATGGCTGGCGTCGACCCCATCAGGAATGTTGCGGGCATCCTTCCTGCACTCACTTTGCAGATCTTCACGTCCGACATGATTCAAAAAATGGCCAAGAACGGGGGGAATGCGCTTGGTCTTGAACCATCGGAGGGACCTCTTCTTCTCGTGTTGGTGAACGTCATGTGGTCTAACAAGGCCGACGATAAGGCTGTCCTCAAAGCTGTTTCAGATATTATCAACACGATCAAGACTGAAGCCCAGTCCAGCGGCAAGTTGAACAAATACATATACATGAACTACGCCAGCCAGTTCCAGGCGGTGGTTGAGTCGTATGGTGCCGTAAACCACCATCGTTTGCTGGACGTGGCACGGAGGTACGACCCTTTTCGTGTTTTCCAACGTTTGCAGCCGGGCTATTTCAAACTCAATGGAGCTCCTGATCCCAAACCTCCTCCAAACTGACGGTCTCTACGTTCATAATTGGAGCTGGAGTTTACCTGTTACCTGTATACATAAGATATAACTTTCCATATCAAGTTCTAATAATACAAGCCCTGCCATCCCGGAACTCACTTGAGTCTGGCAGGTAAGCCTACCTTCTTCATTTCACTCTTGGTATCGGGCAACTTGCCGCTTCAATAGAACCATAAATCGCCAGGTCTATCAAAGCTTCTGTTCTTCTCAGATCTCTATCGCTGACCAACAAGATGATGGTCTGGATCCCTAACACCGAATCCAGCACGGCGTATCAGTTCCCTGTCCGGAATATCGGGCAAGCCGCAAACTCTGCACAAAGCTTCACACCTGGACCCTTCCTCAGCGTCATAGATAACAGCATTTTTTATCACCTCTCCCTTCAACAAACAACATGTATTTCCAAAACCCAGACAGCCTGGATCAATACATATGGCCGTGCGACCTTCTTGAACCAGACTCGACCTATTTGAAACCCAAATCGTGCCTGAAGTTTGTATCCCCCCTGTTATCAAGTGCAGTGCTGGCTATGATGAGCGTTTTGGCTAGAATGTCTCCGAGCGAGACCGCGGATTTGCAAGGGCGATTCTAGTGCTGGAATATTTCCTGAGACAAGAGGCGCAGACTGCATGGGGAACGGATGCCGATGACAAGGCAACTGTTGAACCCGCTGCCAAGTTTTTGACAGCTATGTGTCAGAACTTTGGGCGGGGGTTGTGACTTCGTTAGTATGGGTTTTGGTGGTTGTCGTTGCATCGATTGTTACGAGAGTAAATTTTCAAGGTGGTTCCGACCGGGTTTGACTCTCGGGACATAATAGCAGTCATGTGGGCGTGAGAGAGAGAGACAGAGAGAGAGAGGTAGTCTGCCTAGGTAAGAAGCGTTTGATTCACCGCGAGTAGTAAGCCTGGGAGTTGTTTACACAGATCGATGAGGAACCGCTGTGGGAACTGTGAGCATTTATGAGGATTGAACCCCCCATTTTGCTTATGATATCATTTATCTGAGGAAGGGCGGGAAGATCTTGAGATTAAGTTGAAGTGATAACCTTTCGTCTAACTTTTATATATCAAACGATTGAACTTGAGAGGCAGAACCCTCTTTTTTTTTTTTTTTTTTTTTTTGAGTTTCTATCATCAAATTTCCCAACTTGAACAATTATTACGCATCAAGGACAAAGAAAAACTCCTCAAGGCCAGGTTATACAGGTTTACGTTTTCTGATTGCACAGGTTTCGGGCATGGATTGTCTTCCGTCCCAGTGATATGTCCCTGCAGAAATGTACGGGGATGTAAGACCGGGAGGGACACGTGACCACCAGGAGATATCATTCCAACGGTTTTGCTTGCTTGGGAGCCCATAATTAGCTTCAAGAAACAAAATACAAAAAGACAGCTTCCCAAGGGCTCAAATGGCTTAAAGTACTGCCGACTGAGGAAGGTTCCAAGGCCGTGCCAATACTGGATCTAGGGGAGGAAAAACGCTGCATGTGGTATAGCGATATCGAGGGTTCCCAGAATCTTCTGCTTGGGAACTTCGAGAAACCTTCGTCTACAAACCTGGCAATGGGATGAATCCTCCCACTCTCCGCTTTTCTCTTCCTGTTCGTTCTTCTGCCCTGTTCTGCCACCATCCATGCCACGATCCGAGCGTTCTGAGACCTTACGCCGCTAAACTCAGACCGGGCCTTTTGGCCGTGAACAATTTTCTCAATCCGGCTTGATTGGGCAGCGAAACTCATGCCTTAATTTAACTGTCCGCGTGGGAGTAATTTTCATGTCTCAGATCCGGTACCGCCCTTACTGTTCGTAATAATAAATAATGAAAAGTGCTCAAAATTGGGGTTGTTGTTGTTGTTCATGTTGGAGAACTGATAACAGCTGTGGGCCTGTTCAACTATTTTAAATACATTCTGGTCCAGTCCAAAAGTGAACGCATTTTTTCATTCACGTAAGAAAAAAAAAAAAAAAACCCTTCTTTTCTTTTCTTTTTGACTCCGCACAAAATTTGGCAAATAATAAAGAATGGTTGGCTAGGTGAATCGCCTCCAACAGCGAATCGTGGCTGGATTTCCCGCTTGGGAGTCTTTAAGAAAGCGAAAGGCAGGAATGTGCTTGTCACTCCAAGCTCTGGGTTTTGCGGGATTGACTCGTTGAGTACCACATTTTCCTGCATTGGAAGGCCGCTAACTGATTGGTGTGTTCCTGGATGGATTTTGGTTGAGCGCGTGGGCGTAAGATACCGTAGCCAGTGTCTGTGCCAGTGGAACACCGTCGTATTATTATGGTTTTGTGTCCGGCGGTAAAAGAGAAAATGAGGAGCGGTGCAGGGCACAGAGGAATGCGAGACTCTTGTCTCAGCGGCAGAAGCAGATGCAGGAACAGCAACCAAGAATTGCACGGTACGGTCAGTTTTATTGTGCCTGTCTTTTGTTGCTGATGAAACTACAATATCCTGTTGCATTTTCCCTCTCTGTTGGGCTAAAAAAAAATATGTACTCCAATCGAGTGACTATCGACGCCTGCTGATTACAAAATAGGACTACAACACTGATTAATGTCATTAGGTCCTTTTTGACCGGAAGACCGGTCAGGTTCTCAAAGTGCCAAAATTAGCAAGTCAGGCACTGTGTTTGTGTGTTCAGCAGATCTGTTACTTTGTGTGATGACTGAGAGACTTGTTTTGCATAATGTGACCCTCTGATTCCTGATCAATATTATATATTATATATTTTAATTTCTGTGATTTATTTTATATATATATGTAATATAGTTTATGATATTTGACTATATTTATATAAATAGAGTCATAATCAATTTTTATATTATTATTAATTGAATTTATTATTAATTGAATTTATTATTAATTAAATTTATAAATTCATAATAATAATAAAACATAAATAACTTAATCGATTACTATTGTTTAACATGGGTTGTATTATTTTATAATATAGAATTTAATTATTTTAAAATCTTGCATTAATAATAAAAGAATTAAAACGAGTTTTCAAAGGTAAAGTTTGTCAAATCTGCATTCCAAGTTATAACACACACAGTGGTTCATTTCTTTTGGTGGAGAAAAAAAGTTACGTAGCAATCTCAAAACTAACTGGCACTTGGCCCACTGACATACGCCAGCACCCAGCTCCACCAGCTTGGCAGTTTATGGAATTTGTGCATGAATAACTAATAACTAATATATGTCGTCCGGCGATTCAAAAACAAAAGCACATCTGAGATTAAAGAGGCTTTTCAGCCACCGCCAGCGACCAACCACCGCAGAGCTGTCCAGTCATCTAGGCTCAGGTATAAAAACCGTCGCCCTGGGAGACAACAGCCGGGCCTTCATTCCGTGTCCCATTTTGTAACCGCCTGGTTCGCCCACTACTTGAGCTGTTTCGGCTCGGCAGGTTGTGTGGGTGGAAGAAAGTATGCCACGGTAAATCGCTTAAATCTCCTCCTAATTTGCCTCTAGACGATCCCTAGCGCTGCAGCTAGTGTGCTGGAGTCTGAGACTTTCCAGGACTGTGGACGTCCACCGGCTTCTCAGAGATGGAACGGGCCAGAGGAGAGGTTGGGAAAAGGAAGGATGGAAAATATAATGGGATAATTATCACGGTTGACAAAACCCGTGGGCTGGAGATCACTCAGGGGGACCAACCTCCTTTTATGGGGAACCTGCTGTCTGATGTACATGAAATCCCGGGAGACTTCCAGCATTTTTCGACAACTTATGATGTTTAAGCAGGAGAAGAAGTGGGCAAAAAAAAAAAAAAAAACAAGTTTTCCAAAAAAAAAAAAAATAAAGGAAAAAAAAAGGAAAAAAGGGAACAAAAGACTCGTCATTGCCGGCACAAAGCACGCCAATCAACAGGATACTCATGCGGGCTGGTAAGACAAACGAAAAAAGACACGGCGCAAGAGGCGATGTGTTTCGCTAGCTCAAATGCTACGAGCAGGTTTAGTTGAACAGCGGTCGAGTATGATTCGAGGAAATATGTCATCATGCGCTTAGATCTGCACACCCCTTGCGACGGTGCCAGCCACAGCGTAACCCTCCTTCCAGCAATCATATGGACTTGTACATAACATGTACGGTGATAGTGGGAAAAAGGCGCTGGGGCTGGGAACCAAGGAGTAATACGGGTGACTATACACATAGTTTACGCCCATTCTGTCAGGCAATTTCCAAAATGGAACCGGCCCGGGGTGGATCGAGACCCGCTTTTCCCTCCTATTTTCGAGGTTGGCCAGCCTTTGTTTTTGGAATGCTGGGATGCTGGGCGGCAGGGGGTGGCCACCAGAATGAGATACAATTCTCACGAAGATAACACAGGGGGCAAGCCGCTAGGCTAGGTGCCCACCGGGCAGACCCTATATATTTGTAGCGAGTCTCCCGTTGCCTCTTCAGAACCTTTCTTTTATTCTTCCTGTCGAAACCCACTGCTACATATATTTAATACGTGCGAATTTGTCTTCGAAGAAATCTTTCTTCTGCCTCTCGTTTGAACGCCGCTTATCTCTCGTTTGAACATAATCAATCGTTTCACACAAGAAAACCAGCTTAATTCCATAATTCACAATGCATATCTCAGCCATCGCCGTTGCTGTCTCGGCTCTTGCAGTCTCCGTCAGTGCCGCTGTAGTAAGTACCTCCATAACCTCTTGGGGGTTGGGGGGGGGGAGGGGAAAGGGTGAAGACGAATATTGCGAGAAACAGACAAATGCTAATGATGCTCTCCAGCCTGGCAATTACGGTGAACAGCCACCCACATACCCAGCTCCCTCCACCTCGGTTGCCCCAACTTACCCAGCTGAGCCAACCTACCCAGCCGAGCCAACATACCCAGCCGAGCCAACATACCCAGCTGAGCCAACCTACCCAGCCGAGCCAACCTATCCAGCTGAGCCATCTTACCCGACCGAGCCCGAGCCAACCTATCCAGCTGAGCCATCTTACCCAACCGAGCCCGAGCCAACCTATCCAGCTGAGCCATCTTACCCAACCGAGCCCGAGCCAACCTATCCAGCTGAACCATCTTACCCAACTGAGCCCGAGCCATCCTCATACCCAACCGCCGTCCCAACCTACCCAGAGGAGACCATCCCAAGCTACCCAACTGACACTCCCACAGACGTTCCCCATTACCCGACCGGGACCCCATCTGTGGAACCCACGTATCCTGCCCACACCCCGTCGAGCTACCCAGTTGGGCACCCCAAACCAAGCTACAGTGCCACTCCCATCCCCCCCGGAAGTGTTCCTCCCACCTATCCTATCGGCACCAAGCCACCAGTTGTCTACCCGACTGGCACTGGTGTCTACCCGACTGGCACTCCCGTCCCCACCTATCCCCCTGGTGACTCTGGCGCTTTCTCCGCTGGCGTTCCCGTCGGCCTAGGCCTTGCTGCTGCTCTCTTCGCTGCTTTCCTGTAAATGGATTAGCTATTGATGAGATATGCAATCAGTTTTTTTTATCTTCTTGGTTGACCCTTTTAACCCATGTCTTTATTGGTGCAGGTTTATTTGGTGAAAATCGCTTATTTTTTTTTTTTATTTTCCCCTTTATCTGTATAGCAAACGCTTGGAAAGGCATCATGGCCCAAGGAATCGCTGCAATCCGATTCCTTAAACCTTGACAGGAAACAAAATTCATGTACAACTGCCCTTACCATATACAGTGTTACTTTTACTCTTTAATCACATTCTGGTTTCCACCTGGCGTTCTCTTGAGTGGGGAGATATTATTTCCTTGCATCTGATTTCTCTCAATTCGACCTTTTCCTTTTCGGATAGACTTGTTATTATTAGTGTACTCATGCCCCCTCTAATAACCAATCAATATGTTATGACTTTTTACCAAATCACTTCATCCTGCAGAGGCGTAAGTAAAATAAGCGAGTGAGTTGTCTTGCCAATAATTTGCAGTGTGCATTTGCAGATTCCCAACCTGTCTGATACTGCATCTACTCTGCAAATACTGGTTGAACTACCCAGTTGGCAATGCAGCATCCGCCCTGTATTCAATTCCCTTCCCGTCCAGTCGCCTTGCCCCCTTTTTGCCCCTTTTTGCCCCTTTTTGCCCCTTTTACCCCTTTTTCCCTTTTCTTCTGTGTCGCGCAACGTCCCACTTGGGGCTGGGAAATCACGCGTTGTTTATATGCGCCATTCCGTATCTGGTTAGCGGTGCTTCACTTTCCCTTCAATCGCAAACACGTCAAGGACCACAACCCGAAAATAAAATCTCCCCGTGCAATCGTGGAACCTCTAGCATGATCAGAAATATCAACTAGGTGTTCTTGGGAAGTTCGGTTTGTAAATAATTTTTTGGTTTCTCAATTCTATCCCGTGTTCCGCACTCTCCGTCTCACATACCACTTTTGAACACTGTATCTGAGGCACGTAACTCGGGGCAACAATCTCGGCTTTAAGAAAAACATATATACAGGACGTATATACCACATTAAGCATGGTAAGCTCTTAACTAGCCCATTGTTTCTCCCAGTTTTACTTGCTGTATTTATTAGCTTTAAGCCCATTCATTGTACATACAATGAAGTAACATATCCATAGGCCCTCAGCATGCGACGGCTCGCGTCTGACCATGCCTCCCTACACATGGACGGACTGCCACCCAACTATCTCTTCCCTCCTTCAAACTCCTTCTCGTCATTCCCAGACGATCTCACCCAACTTGCCATCCTGCTCACTGGCCCTCAGGGGACTCCATACTCTCAGGGTCTCTGGCAACTGCATTTGCGCATGCCAGAAGATTACCCTAAGAGTCCACCTAAGGCAGCCTTTAAAACGCGCATATGGCATCCAAATGTTGACGAATCGACGGGGGCAGTCTGTGTAGATACTCTAAAAAGAGATTGGGAGGCGAAGTTAACGTTGAGGGATATCTTGATTGTAGGTTCCAACATATTATATTGTTTGTTAAAAGATAACGTCCCAGTTCTATGCTCCTGTCGTCCTACAGATAAACTAACATATTCTTCCTGGTAAAGACGATATCATGCCTCCTCATACATCCTAATCCAGACTCCGCATTGAACTCTGCGGCTGGCAGCCTCTTGCAGGATGATTATGAATCTTTTGCGCGTCAGGCAAAGCTCATGACTTCCATCCACGCACCAATTCCCAAGGACATGAAAGATGCCGTCATGGAGGCTAAGAGAAGGGGAGATGATAGTGGGACCGTCATCGTGGAAGACGAAGATCTCCCAGTAACAATCAGCTCGCGAAAAGCCGTCGCTACCACCTCATCTGCGGTTATTATGAAAAAGCTTGCCGTACATAAGAAACCGCAGAGCCAAGAGATAGGGAAGCTAGATATCAGAATTAAAACGACACCCCAGAATGTATCACCGTTGCCATCATCGTTATCGTCGTTTTCTCTGCACTCGTCGTCGCGAGGCCAACCAGTGAACGACGATGGCTCAGACGACGAGGATACAGGCAGCTCATCCAAGGAAAATGACCCGTCGCTTTCACATCCTCCCGCAAGCGTAACGCCTCCCAGTCCTCGAAAGAGTATTCTCGGGAAACGTCCGCTCTCCGTCCTCTCGACTCCCAGTGAACCCGAGCTTGTGCTGGTCAATTGCGGTGCAAATGACGACGACGATGCTGCTGCTGATAATGATGGCATGACCTCATCGCAGAGGAACATCGCTGCAAACGCGTCAGCATTGGAGCGGCGACAGATTCAACATCCACAAGAGCCACAGCAGCAGCAGCAGCAAAGGAAGTCTCCCAAACTATCAGAGTTAGGCAGAGGCGTCAATACATCTGGTCGAGTGCGGGACGATGGTAATAGCAACGATTTCCATAGCAGCCAGGATGCTAGGCATGGTTCGCGCCAGAACTCCATCTTTGGCGCGCCACCAGCAGCAGCAGCAGTACCAGCATCAACATTTTCAAATGAGAAACGCAGTGACGGCGGAAAAGAAAATGAGGGTTCCTCTTCCATCTTGCCTCCACCCATCACTCCGACTACCGACTCGGCTACCGCCACGGCTGTAGTTGCAGATCCACCTGTGCCGGATAAGTCGCAGCATATGCCAATACACAAGCAAACCCTCCCGCCGTCGTCATCTTTACCGTCGTTAACATCTGTTGCAAACAGCTACCTATCCATCACCTCTCCACAGAATAACATTAGAACGCCGGCACTCAACATGCCCATGTCTACGGGTGGTGCTAACGGTAATAATAATAGCAACACAGCAAAGCGGAGGGTTTCGTCATCGACTGCGAAAGCGAAGCCGAGGATTGGGCTGAGGCGATTGTGATTAAGGCACACACACACACACACACACACACACACACAACTGAAGATGCAAATTGAATTAAAGGAATGACTGCATTATTGGTGTATTATTTGGGTCATTTTTATTTTTATTATTATTATTTTTATCTGCTGGGCTGTCTGTTGGTCCGGGAGGACGTGGGAGTTGACCCGACAGGGCGGGCCGCCGGACTCTGAAAGGAGAGAGGAACAAAAGATCAGAAAGTTGCTTATTAACCTTGAGTGAAGTTATTGGTTAACAGTAGTGTCGTAACATATTGATTTAACGCAACTCAATAAATCAACATTGTGACTGTCAAATGTATGCTCTCACCCTGATTCCCACCATCATTCCTAGAAAACCGCATCTTCGAAGTGTCCAGATTTGGGTCACAACGCGTCTGACACCACCCATGGGGTGATGACTTTATCTGGCACAACCTCAAATCTCCCCGCCAAAACCGCAGCGTGAAAAAAATCTATTTTAACATATCAATATTTTATTTATTTATACTTGCTTAAATGAATATATATATATATATATATATATATATGTATGTATATAATATAAAAATGATTAAAAAGGTATACTAGTTTCTGGGACGAGAAAAAAAAGCTAAACTAAAAGAATGTAAAAAAAAACATAATGAAAATAATTAATGATTTCTTTTCCCTCACAGCAACCTTACACTCTCTCACATCATTCTTCTTTCTCTCCTGATCTGGCAAACTGACAGTGCTGATATCCTCCATCAAAAAAAGTACCATTAAACAAATACAACAAACTCGAAAACCCACTTCAATCCTTTCCCCATTAACTCTCAAGCTAAAACATATTTTACTCTGTCAAACGTCTTCTTTCCGTTTTTAAGGTTCCTGATACGGCCTGAGCTTGTCTAACGATAAAATATCTGACAAATCTCAGAGACAAGACTGGATATGGACAGCAGGAAAACGGGGGCAAGGGAAACGCGAGCTTCCTGTATTGTCTAACGATAGACGTCTGGTTGAAAAAATGTATAACGATATACGATAAACCCAAAGATGTCTTGCCGGAGAAAACAAGTCGAACTATGACTAATTGACAGGAATGACTTTTTTCGAGTTAAAAAACAACGCTTCAACGAAGATATAAATGGACGCTTTGCTATAGAGGAATGCGTTGAAAATAATGCCACTTAACAAATGTGAGATATTTCGATTTTTTGAACACACGTGACAAAAGACGGCCCAAACAACTGGAGGATAAAGTGGCCGTGACCAGACTTGAAGCAGCTGTAGATATAGTGACATAATTTTGTTCTAAACTAAAGAGCATAGGGGTTGACCGAACGAATAGTGAGACACCTAAATATTCAGATTAGTCATTATAATAAATAATCCACGAGTTCATGAATCTGTGACAACTTACGGAGGACTCTTGCTCAGGTCTGTCTTCAAAATAATTGGAACCCTGGTCATTTCCGTGACGTCCTGGATATATTCACCGTCCTCTTCTCGCAGCTTGAAAAGCTTGAGATACTTCTCCTTATTCGACAGTTTGGTTTCAGTAGCCTCAACTGTACTAGATGCGATCTTCGGGTCTGAACGAGTGCGGTGGGGAGTCTGCTGGGGTTGGCCGTTGCGTGTGGGGGATGGGGGCATACTTTGGGTGGGACGATCCACAGGAGAATTAAGAGAGACGCCCGCTGCCATCTCCGTAACCTCGGAGATATCGTCATCCTCATCTTCATCATCAAAGAGTGCGTCAACGTCGTCAGTTGAGATGGTGCCGGTGTCTGTCTGTTTCCGTTGAACCTCTTCCCGTTCGCGAGCCCGCTCCCTGGCAGCCTCAGCCTCACGAGCGGCAGCAGCAGCGTTGGCAGCACGTGTACTCTGAGCAGCTTTGGGGCGCTCATCCTCTGGAATGTAGGCAGATGATGGGACACCTTTCTCCCAGTATAACTCGAGAACACGCTGTTCCTTACGGAACTCGGCCTTCTTCAACGGCAACTGATCACAATGGACGCGTTTCTCAAAGCCATATTCTGGGATGAGAACATCAAATGCGGATTCGTAAACACAGAGGACAATACCCTCGCTGATCAGGTCACCTCCAATCTCCTGTCGCTTCTTGTCCATGATGCGGCATGATTCAATATGGACACTTTGCTCCTGAGCATTTTGGGCGGAATCTTTCTTATTGTTGCATTGCTCAGCAGTTTTGGTGAGATTTTCGATGTCTTCAGTAAATTCACCATTGGAGAGAACAGCCTCAAGTTGTCTGTGCACAACAATATCTGCATACCGTCTTGATGGACTGGTGAAGTGAGTGTATAATGGCAAGTTGAGGACATAGTGGCTGCCGCTGCTCATCTGTAACACTTCCAGCAACGTAATACTTTGCGCGCTGCATAGCCTTGAGAAGAAGTGTTTCCATACCCTATAAATGAACAGAAACATTGTCAGCAAAAAAAAAAAAAAAAAAAATTTAACCCGGGTCGTGACAACAGACCTTGCGAATCTCAACATCCCCAATTTTGAACAAGCTAGTCTGCAGTGTGCCACTGCTGGTAGAATCGATATCGTAGCCCAACCTAGTCATCCGGTCAACAAAGGTCTGTAGACGTCGGAAATTGGGTGGTGCCTGGCGGCGAAGCAATGCTTTCTCTGGAAGAGCGGAGACAAGTTTTTCGGCTACGAAGATATTCGCCTTGTGGCTTAATTCCTCAATGAGTTCATGTGCCGGTGTGGTTTCAAAGATGTTGTGTTCTACCGGAACGTTCTCATCATCAAGCTGATACAGGAGTCGCAGGGACGGTATCCTGGTGGATCGATTCCCAAATCTCGCTTCTTTGAATTTGCTGGCAATATCCTATAGTCAACAGCTTGATTAGCATCTCATGTTTTCCCTTTCATAATATGGAACTTGTAGTCGAAATCGTTGTTAAAACACTCACATTCAAAGTTTTGATGTCGTCTACTGTCACGCCGTGAAGTTGAATATCGGAATTTCCACCGAGAACAGCGTCTACCTCATCGTAAGTCAGCTTTCCGGAACTTTTAATGACAGCTTTTCCAATCCACGGTTCTCCTTCCACGATACCGGTAGCAGGGTTCACTTGGAAAACGACGCTGACGGTTAATCTCTCCTCGCCAGGCAAAAGGGAACATATTTCAGTCGACAGGCGGGGCGGGAGCATGTTAACCACCCGATTCATAAGGTATACACCGGTGCCTCGTTTCTTTGCTTCTCTATCAACGAGCGAGTTGCCCTTGATGAAATGAGCGACATCTGCCACATGGATACCAATTTCCACCTTTCCGTCAGAGAGTGTTTTGACGTGAATGGCGTCATCCAATTCCTTGGTGCCGTTGGGGTCAATAGTGAAAGTAGTTTCATAACGGAAGTCCCGCCTGCTAGATAGCAAGGCTTCTCCTTCGACCTCAACGGACCAGTTTTCAAAGCCAACGTTTTTTAACACCGCATCAGAAAATTCGTCGGATGCAAAGTTATTGTCTCTGAGAAGTGCGTCTGTCTCAACCTTCAAGTTACCCATGGCACCAAGCTGTTCAACGAGGGTTCCAAATGGATGAAGCGAGGTGATGGGCCATCTCTTAATACATGCGACAAAAATATTGTTGGCATAATCGGCGTGCTTTTCAACGAAATCGCGGGGAGCTTGTTCGGTAGGAATTGCGATCAGAGGAACGCGTTTATCAGTAGGTTTGAACCACACAATCTTTGGCTTCTCCTGCTGGCGATCATGATGGTGACGAGAGTGGCTACCATCTCTGGCCTGTCGCTCTGCTTCCTGTTTCTCTTTAGTGGCTTGACTACTGGGCCGCAGAACACCCAAAGAACCGGAAAACATTTGGCCAGCCACACGTTCGATGACAGCAACAACATGGCCAGCATAAAGTGGCTTCTGTTCATCACTAATTTCATCTTCCTCTACAAGAAGCAGACTCTGTCCTTCAACTTCCACATCGTCGTTTTTCTTTTGAGTAGGACGTTGGCGGAGACTTCCTCTGCGTCTGATGCTTCCATCGGGGCCAACTTGCCCGGCATCACCATTAGTGACGGAGTCAGAACGAGAAGTCTTATCCACCCCGGTAGTGCTGCCACTTCTAGTGTCGGTAATATCCTTGCGCTTTTTCTTTTCCTCCTTTTCTCGCTTCTGACTCCAAACTTCATCAACATCAAGCAGTTCAACGGCAACCAGATCACCTTCTAGGGCACGGTTTCTATCCTTGCTTCCGCAAATAAAGATATCTGCATCAAGATCTGGAGTAGTAACATAGGCGTCAGACCTATTCTTCTTGTTGACCCTCAAAATACCGGCCACAAGTTGACCATCATTGAGTAAGGCAGGCAGTGATGCCTGGGGAAGGTAGGGGGTAAATAGCGTTTTACGCTGTTGCTGCTGCTGTTGCTGCTGTTGTTGAGCAGATAACTGGGGAGCAGGGTGTTGAGTAACTGCTTGTAAACCTAGATTTTGACCATTCAGCTGACTACTTTGAAGGGCCTGAAGTTGAGCAATCTGAAGAGGATTCAAGTGCTGACCAGCAAACATTTGCGGAGGTGCCATAACAACTTGTCCTTGGGGAAGCTGGATGAGTTGCGGTTGACCCGCATATTGGAAGGAACCGAGTGCTCCAACTGATTGGTTCACAGAACTACGGACACGATGACCTGTTTGAAAATTTGCTCCACCTTGTTGCTGCTGTCCGAAACTCCCCATGGGAGTTCTTTGCTGCTCTTGAGGTTGAGTCTGACCAGTACTTTGCTGGCGCCAATTGCTGTCAAAGTTGCGTGAAGCTGATCGACCATGCCCTTGTTGACCAGTACGTCGAGGTGCATCCGTAGCAGGAGTTCCCTCACTTGCCTGGGGAAACTGGAACCCTCCAGCACCTCTGCCACCCTGAGGTCCACCACGTCCACTTCCTACAGCTAAAGACTGGCTACGCATATGACTTCCAGCTCGAATGTTTCCAGCACGCTGAACGCCTAGTCCCTGAGGAGCTTGAGCGGTAGATGTTGCGGGTTGGACTGTTTTTTCACTAGGGGAACCATCACCTTGATTCGACGTGCTAGACGCACCGGAAGCACCTGGAATTGGAAATTGGAAGCCCGAGGTTGTTCGCTTCTGCTGTGCCAGTTCCGCAGCTTTTCTAGCTTCAGGAAGGGCCAGTGAATGACGACGTTGATGGCCGCCACCTGGAGGGGCACCACCACGGCCACGAGATTGCTGGCCATTCTCCCGATTTTGATTGGACGGAACCTGACTCTGACCTTGGCCCTGGGCCTGACTCTGGTTGTAATCACCATAGTTGGTACCAGCCGAACCCGAGGAAGGAGCAGGGGGTGGGCCCACGCCCACATTAGGCAGAGCAGACTGGTTGCGTCGGTGGGAGGGTCGATTCTGAGTATTCATTGGGATGCCCAGATGTTGTGGCTGCTGCTGTTGGGCTTGGGGGAACTGAAAGTTGTTATGAGTTGCAACACCAGAGATAGCCTGGGCTTGCATGGAGGGAGAGTAAGTAGCAACATGCTGGAGGGGTTGTTGGGGTTGCAAAAGACCCATGTTGACATATTGCTGATGGGTGGCAGCAATTTGTTGCTGCTGTTGCTGGAGCAACTCGATCTGTTGTTGTAAAGCCAGTTGTTCCACTGTTATAATGGATAAATTAGGACATGTAGATATAAGAGAGCAAGGATGACAGCCTGAGGTAGGGTTATATTGTAAATCGAGGGCCAAAAAAAAGAAGAGAAGAGAAGAAAAGAAAAGAAAAAGGGTAAATAAACGTACTCATGAGGGGAGTGAGCTCTGAGGGGCTTCTCCTATGCGCAATATGAAGGCGTCGACCTGCCGGGCCGGGAATCGACTGGCCTTGCTGATCCATGCTTGGTAGATAAAAGCACAAAGGCTTCAGAATTATGATGTACAACTTAATATGCGAGCAACTTTTTCTGAGCGTACGATGCGTCTGAGAAGAAAACTCGCAAACGAAACGGAGGGTTCATCCACGCCCAATGACAGGTACTTAAACTACGAGCCAAAATAAAAGGAGGCTTGGCTGATCTGGGATCAAGAGGTCAGCAAATGTTCATCGAAGTAAGAGTGATACAACGTGCTTGAGAGGACAGAACGGAGCTGGGGAAGGACGGGGAACTAGGGAGCTATGGGACCAGCGGACCAGGGAACCAGGGAACCAGGCGGGTCGTAGCGCGAATGCGAGATGAAAGGATTAGTGCCATTTTGCAAACACTTACAGGGCCGGCGAAGCAATAGAAAAAAGCTTTTTGGGAAAAAAAGAGTTTTGGAAACTCGAGTACCCTGC